ATACTGGTTATGATGGTGGTTGGGATGGTGGCGGTACTGGTTGTGATGGTAGTGGTGGTACTGGTTGTGGTGGTGGTGGTACTGGTGGTGATGGTGGTGGTACTGGTGATGGTACGGATTGAGATATGATGGTGATACTGGTTGTGATGGTAGTGGTGATACTGTTTGTAGTGGTATTGGTGGTGGTACGGATTGTGATATGATAGTGATACTGATTATGATGGTGGTTGGGATGGTGGTGGTACTGGTTGTGATGGTACTGGTTGTGGTGGTACTGGTGGTACTGGTTGTGGTGGTACGGATTGTGATATGATGGTGATACTGATTATGATGGTGGTTGGGATGGTGGTGGTACTGGTTGTGATGGTACTGGTTGTGGTGGTACTGGTTGTGGTGGTATTGGAAACAGCATTAGTACTGTCGTTGGCGATATTTCTTTACAAATCCTAGAATCGCGTGAAGATTGGGGCTTAGGCTGTGCTAGAGTATTTAATTACCAGGTGAAATAAGCCGTGGCACAATAACCTCCACTAGAGTCCCAAGCCTACAGAGTACTGTTCTTATATCTGAGGGTTGGCGACCACAGTCCTTCACTCTTTAACTGTTCTCGGGCTGTTTTTTTATCAATCTAATAGCGTTTCAAAAATCTTCACCCATACTTCTGTTACATTCCAATCCAACACGAGCGTTCGTCCTTTGTTATGAATGAAGAATCCGTAACCCAAGAACTTGAGATTTTTTTTTTCATCTGCAGTAGAATGAAAATGAGAGCCGACAGCAGTCTTGTTAACACTTAATGTTTACTGCTGAGATATACACAAACTTAACCAATTATTCAAGTTACTAGTTTAATTATGTCTTGCGGGGCAAAATTAGGAGGGGAAAAAATAATATAAATGTTACTGTTGGTGTGTTAGTTGCAGTGCTTCTTGCTTTATCAGGAATTTAGATTAAACATTAATTCTTTGAAAAAATGTACAGATATTTTGTGGTCGATTATCACTGTAAAGAAAGTATAAAAAAAAACACTTCAGATTTCACAACTGGGTGTGTGCGTTTTACCTTATATTTTAACGCCAAGCAAATTCCCACACGAAAATAAATCACAAACTATTTTCATTATTTCCACAAGTAAGTCATTCGGAGAGCAAAGTAAACACTAGTCCTAATTTAGCCAACAAGCACAGTTGAGGAAGTTACACTGGGGGGTTAACCTTGGCCTCGTGCACTGCCTATCTCCATCTGTGAATTACTCAAGTTTACAAAAAATACAAAATATTGTTACTTTTGGCAATGTTATTCTTTACTTTTCAAAAAACACCATATTATTTATTACTCAAGGATCGACTGGCTACGCTCAATTAATCAGAGTACCGTCCACATATCTGAGGGTTGGCAACCACAGTCCTCCACACTAAACGTTCTCGGGCTGTTTTTACCAATCCTCTTTGGTTTTGTATCTCTGGGGACCCAGTTTTTAATTTCATTCATCCATCCCAGTCTCTGACCATCTTAACCTGAACTTTGCCCATTAATATTTCCCTCATCCCTAATTATATGACCAAAGTATCTCTCATTTCTTTTTCTGTACATTTAAAGTTTTTCTCTCAAGGATTTTGTTAATCTTAATACTTCATTTGTTTCCCTGTCAGTGTAGCTTATTCTTACCATTCGCCTGTAACACCACATTTTAAAGGCCTCCAACCTCTTTCTGAGGACTTCTGAATGTCCACGCTTCTATCCCATACGCTGTGTAAATATGCATTGTGAAGAAATTGCTAGTGGTGATAACGATATTTTAATACTTTGGTACTCTTCCTTTATACCGCCATAAAATATTTAATATAGTAAATTAGTTTTATTTTTTAATTAACCTAACAATTTATTATTTGCGTCTTGTAGGTGTGTATTTTTTTATCTTCCGCCACCTAGATAAAAAACAGAAGAAACACACCATAACATTTACTTTTATCCACACGAGTTGATACAATAAGCATCTTACATCACACTACATTTTTTCTCCAATTATTGTACTATTTCAGGGTTCTTCTATAATGTCCTTCGAGATGATTAAATCTAGACGCTATCAAATATTTTTATTTAATTTCAAAGCGCGTCGGTTAGTTGAGTGTTTTAGTTTACCCCAGGAGAGTTTCATAACCGCGTTCATATTGATTGATATGTGTGTTAGCTAAAACTGCCATACTGAACAGCGTCAAACACAAGGACTACTAAACAAATACTCACCAAAACAAAATGTGTAAAGATAGTCATACTTTACAACAACACTCAAATGTTTAGGGAAATTTCTTCATCACTCCTATATTGCCGACTATGCGTTTACAAAAGAGTGCTTTGTGCAACGTTTAAAATACCAGCAGCAACGCATACCCCGCGAAATCTGAGGCACAAGTCCGTCGTGTGGGAGAATGAATGAATTACCCGCAAAACACGTATCACATAACCAGCTTAGCATGAAAAATTGGCCAAGGCACAACACTCCTTAAATACCAGGGCTGTTTCATTGGCTTGATTATTAACATAAAAGGGCATCAAGTATACAAGAAAGTCCTCATTCACAGCTCTATTTCCAACATGATTGAGGAAAAGACGGTTCTTTCATTTCCAATTACGGATAAATGAATTCACGTGAAAACTCAGCGTGATTCTTTGGTCAGGCTGGCACCAGATTCCCTAAGGTTTGTGAGATGAATATTTTCCCGAAGTAAAGTACGCAGACTTCAGGTAAACCACAAAAATATACGTGAGAATGTAGCATCGAAATTACAGCCTACCGTATCTATAGGCGCGTTTACTTAGCACCAGTTGGAATAAAAATTACATATACGATCCTCACAAAAAATCTTATTTTTGTACTTTGGACGAATTCTTAATTGCTGATCGCATTTATAGTATTTTTTTTTTACTTTAGCAAGTTACAGTAGCCTATGTATTAATAAGTCCCGCCAGCCTCACAAAAGGACCCCGATTTATAGGAGCTTTTAACTGCTTTCTTGGGCTATTCTTTGACACATGTATTGTTCTTTACCATTGTACACCTGTCCTATTTTTACATACAGGATATCTGTGCTGTCTTTGTATATGTGTTTTTTATACTGTACTGGATACCTGCAATGTTTATGTACATGTTGAAGTACAGTTGAACCAATGTGATGTAATTTACTGTACTGAATACATATCTTTATCCATCTCAAGAACTTCACAAAACCCCAGATCTGTTTGTCCTGTATCTGATAACAGAAGTCGTTGTCATCATAAATATGTTCGTTTATCATTATCACCCGTCACGGTACTTATCAGCTTCACGTGCTTATGACTACCTAACATATTCCAGACAAGGGTCATACGAGGTCATCATGGGTCACGTTCTAAACTGACAGGTGAGAAATAACATCCATTACATTGACGGTGTTATCTAATGACGCCCTCGTGCATCTTTGAGTTACATGAACAATCTTTCAAGACGATAATTTTGAACAATCTATGCAAGCTCAGATGATAGTGTTTTGGGTTTCATGAAATCCTTCGTTACTTGATGAACCTCTCCCTTATATACCGCATATACAAAAGTACTTGCATTAAACTTATTTTACCATACGTTCAAGGGATGTTTTTGTCGATTGTGGAAATTCATGGACCCAATCGACCTTGAGATGCTAATGGGGGGGGGTGTCGCTCGATATACCAAGTCTTCCCTCGGTGACGGGGACAAGTGGACGCTCTGAGTTTCGGTACCTAAGTTGTGCCATTCTCTGGAAAAGCACGAACGCATGGAAACTGTACAGACATGTACTGTAACGAAATACGTTAACTTCGTAAAAAAATAAAAATATGTACCGTAAAACCATGAAAATTTGCCATATTATGACACGGTTCTTCAAATTGTGCAAATCTATTTTTACCAATGAAAGAAAACAAAAGAACGCATCGCTTAGAGTCCAGTGTTTTCATCCAAGCGAGTCTGGATTTTGATGGCCCGTTTTGAGCGGCGTATTCGGTGGGGAGTCAGGTACACACATCCTCCCTTCTCCAGGAAACTGAAACTAAGATGTGTAATTTCATAAGACCATTGTTCGCAATATAACAGATTCACGTTCGCTTGGGCTCGAAATCTATTGTTATGACCAAACTCGAACCTCCTGCTGACTGTGACTCGCACTCGTGTCTAAGGATCAACTCGGGGGTTCAAGAGTTGATATTAATTTTGAGCAAATACACATGGTAAATGAAAGACCACCAACACCTGTCCCATCACACTACATAAACGACCACCAAACTCCATGAACGACTTCCAACACCCGTACCATTCACACTACTAACGACTACCAACACATCTACCACCACACTTCACGAACGACTTCCAACACCCGTACCATTCACACTACTAACGACTACCAACACATCTACCACCACACTTCACGAACGACCACCAACACCTGTACCATCCCATTACATGAACGACATGAATGAACCAAACTTTTACTATCACAGTACTATGTTATGGTATAAGCCTTAGGGTAATGTTGACATGCTGTAGTATGAGATACTTTTATCTAAAAGATTACAGGAGAGGCCTCAGTTATTAAAGGGGTTGGGGATGATCGCACAGCTGTTAAGGTGTTGCACGTTTACTGTACAATTCTGATATATTTACTTACATAGGTGGTAGGCGTTACAATATTCAAAGCTGGCGATACATGCTCCCCAGGGTTGAGGTTGCGGGCCATATAATGACCTCCAAGGGATTAATTTTGCGTAATTGTGTTTAACATAAAAATACATGACATCGCGTCTCTCCATGTTGTTGAGAGGCGAGGATGAAGCGAAAGCAGCAGGTAGAGAGTAAAACTCCAACATTGGTTCACATCATATTGGGAGATATTAATTTAATAAATTAGCAATGACAATGACCCCTTTCTCTTGTGCCGGGCTATCCCCAACAGGTCTAGTAAACTAAATTATACTTTAATGATACTCACAAGTACGCTTCTGACTCATCACCGTGGGCACAGCCACTCTGGCCTGCTGGGGCACAGCCGCCAAGGCCGCCTTAGCAACATTTGCAAGTGCAGAGGTCATGATGGAAGCAATGGTAGTGCTAGTAAACCCCGTTGGTGTTCCCGACGCTGTCACCGACCACAGACAACAGCTGAGTGGTGGCTTCTCCCCAGCAGCACCCACCCCTGCCACCACCACACTTTTTAAATTGCGTACATTTTCTGGTGTTTTTAAATATAGTTAATAAAAAGTTAGATTAATATAATATATATTTAAATCTAATTTTATATGAAAATTAATAATTTATCTCTCAAATATCTGTTACGAGAACATTATATAAGAAATATACAGTATTGTAATAAGATGTATTGGGTGCGCGGCTGGGCAGCGCAGGGGAGAAACAGCAGACGCTCTCCAGCACTCAGCCGGGCTGGGGCAACGCGTTCTCCACAACTTTCTCTTCGTCATTTTCTGTCTCTAGTTCCTTTTGCCCAACTCAGCGGTAAGTAGGAAAAGATGCGTGAATATTGTGTGGCTATGTATGTATAAATGGCGGTGACCTGACTTGCCATGGTAGCGTTGTAATGAGGTTGATAAGACATCGACATACGAGGGAAGCCGACCGATGCAGTGGAGGGTAGTGGAAACTGCATCATAGTTAAGGCTTCGCGAGTGAATATTCTAAGTGTAACAAATATCCTTATTATTTTATGGTAAATTTTCATCATTTAAAGTTAACGTTGGCAGTAGTTGGGGGTGGGTTGTGGTGAAGAGAAAATAAATATAGCAAGGAGCTACGCAACCCTCACATGGGCGTTGATGGTGTACAGTAGGCCCAGAAATGCAGTCTAATTGACCCGGGCAGGGCACCGGCCTGTGACCTCCACCTGGCCCCTCACTTATGCTGCAAGTTTCATATGCAAGATAAACTCCTAAATTTGCTATTGATTCATTTATATTCTTTCAATATTTTTTAGTTGCTATCAGGAGCAAAGGTGTCATTATTTTAAAGTGTATTACTTTTATCCTCTTCGCCACTGGTCGTCTCGTTATATTATTATAATTGTTGATCTAAGATGTATAGGTTAGTTTTGAGTACAGTGTGGGTAATGGAAGGGTTGGTAGCAGCTGTATCCCACCCTGATAACGCGTCCATCTTCAGTCATGCAGCTGAACTACATATTTATTAAATTTTTAGGAAAGTTTCTGGTGAATTTTATTTCTTGGTTATTGGAAGAGTATTGGGACAAGAGACCTTTATTTTAATACACAGTGTAAACTTAACTCGTCACTTGCCAGCTTGAGCCACACGCACCTGGCGGCCCCCCTTGAAAACGGTTCAAGATTGCCAGCACAGCCACCAGTCGATAAAACTGGTGAGTGTTGAGTGTGGCCAGGTACTGGACATCGGGGTGAGTCCAGGGCGGGGTCCCGGAACAAAGGTATACAGAGATTTATCTACCATTAAAACTGTCAGGATGCCGGCTATAGTGTGTACAGTACAGTAAACTCGGATATTTCTCACGCAGCTGCACCCAAGTTTATTTAATGAAGCGATGTGTAGTGTTTCAGCTCGTGTATGAAGAATTGAAGATGATAAAGTCAGACCGGATAAGTTTTATTGTTGTATATAGGCCTCCCAGTTCACCCAGTTGCGAGTGGAGGACTCGGGTCACCAACCCTCACATAATTATGAAGATGGCACTTTTGATTAATTGATCTAACTTTACAGTCTAATCATACGCGCAATATACCCAGGGATGATATAACTGTGTACGTACTCTATCAGCAGTCAAAGAGACCCACTGTCAAGTGTGTACTATAGATGTTCAAACCTTTTGACTAGTGTACGACTCGGTACTGGTGACGATAGTGATGTCGGAATTGTAAGGAGACTACCGAAAATAATTGCGTTCTGCCGTTATATATAAAGGACAAAGTCAGAGTTAGGTGGATCAGGATGAAACTGGTTTATTGAGGAACATTGTGTTATACAGTGTTCCAGGTCTACCCACAGGGAATACAGCCATTATACGTATTCCTAGAATTTTTTTTATGTAGATGTGTTATGCTTCTGTTTTAATGGTAAAGTACAAGATTAGTTGCTCGCGTGTATGATCTATATAACAGTACTTCTCTCGCTTTGTCGAGTACATTTGTTGATGCAATTAGTTATCCCATTACTGTACTTAGATTTACACTCAAATCGGCACTGACGAATTACAACAAACTAACAGAAGTCTGAATTTATTTATAAAGAAAATTTTTAGTGCGGAACCTCCCGACACGAGTACAGTACAGTATACATCGTCCAGTGATTCATTCCTTTCAAAACTAGACAATTGAACAGTTCAGAGATGATTTTTCATTGGCAGAGATTATTTGTCCGTTCGGGAACCTTTACTTCCGGTATTCGTATGGCATTCGTTCTGATGACGCTGTTTTTTACTAACCCGACCAAACCCTGTTTACAAGTGATCAAATTCAGTAATCTTGATCATCGGGCTCGACTAATCAAAACGAATACCGGACAAATAACGGAAGTAATTAAAGGTCCGCGAACGGATAAATAACCTCTTACGTGTTGACCTACATGCTGCTTCATGGGAATAGATTCACGTGCAGTTGTAATAATATAATCAAAGTACTTCTTGAAATGATTTACCCGCAGTTAAACTTAAATTCATCGTATTTCAAACAAATTAATCATCGAGGCTTGAAACCTGCATAATACCACACTGCCCAAATACCTTCATTTATGTGGTGCCACTAGCGGAGCCTTTTTTCTGTTATCTCTTCAGGCCCCGTTGTGGGTCGATGATCTGTGCCCGGGTGGACCATTTCCCTTAAAAAAAAAAACGAAGATTTGTAACCTGCTTATTTCACCTAATGAGGAGAGTGTGATTAAGTTATCATTACGGTGTTTAATCGTCGGGTGAAGTAAACGGAAGTTACTAATTGTTCCGAGATCCTATGCGTCATTGGATGTGAACATTGAACTTGGAAATTAATTTTAAAGGGTTTCAAGGGTGCCGGGAACTTCTCAGGCACTATTAGTCCCAGTTAATCAAAGATATTGTGTGTCCGCGGTATTGGCAGCGTGTTGGTGTAGTCTTTAGGACCAGGACTTGTTTGGAGGAGCGGCGAAAATAAAGTGTACTGAGGAGCTTAATGATACTGTAAGCGGTCGAGATATTGTGACGCCTGAAATAGTCAGGTGCAGATAACAGGTGTATGTTGCTCTCTCTCTCTCTCTCTCTCTCTCTCTCTCTCTCTCTCTCTCTCATGGTGACTTAATCTGCGTGCCCTGGTGATGTACTCTGCCACTGGTTGTAGTGGATGTCACCTCACTAACAGGTAACCTCCAGATTAAGATATTAACATGCTGAAGGAAGATGGTCAGGTGTAGGCAGAGAGGAGGAGGACCTGAGCATCATAATGGTGCCTCTTCCACACACAAACTAGGATAGGGTGTGTGTGTGTGTGTGTGGTCTTATTAAACTCTTACATTTATAATTAAGTAGTCTGCTCCATTTTATACCTCGCCGTCCTAGGGTCTTAGACTTCCACACACTTTCTATGTGTATGGTTGTGTGTTAAGAACAGTAGTAATGGACTTGACCAAACGTTTAGTACAGAATCACAAGTATAGTTTCCTTAATTAGTCCACAGTTCGTGTCATTCTTGTCTGGTGGTGACGAAACTGAATGGTTTATGTTTTGGGATTTTTATTATCAGGGTAATTAACTAGTGTGTGTGTGTTTCTTTGTTTGATTTAATATAGAAACGTGACTTACGCTTGGCACTTTCTTAAACTTTCAAACAAGAACGAAGTTTTATTTCATACCAAGTACTGTAGTGTGTTAATAAACGGCAGAACTAGCGGTGTACACTTCATGAGGCAACACCTTCTCCCACTCCGAATCATTATTAATAACTATCAAACCAAGAACTTCGGGTAACAGTCAGGATAAAGTTGTACGAACTTTAGTGTCCACCAATCAAGTCTTGGTGTCTACTGGGTAATGGGGTGTCTTATTGTTTGGTGCTGTGACTATACTGTAGAACGGAGTTTTATCTTGTCGATAAAAAAAAACGTTGCACAAGATGCCCCAGTCGTCACTAAGGGGGAGCGGCGGCAGAGTACTCGTGGCCACTACAGTATCCATATTTACCACACTGGGTCACAACGGCTACAATATTGTAGTGCTGTATACTGTAGTACTGATATGGTTTGTAGTTCAATTTCCCAGATTCTTATATTTGTATTAATAATGAAATGCATTTCATGACTAGACTGTCATGGTAATTTCAGTGGCAGTTTAACCACCATCTTGTGCCATTGCTCAAGTTACGTATTTCTTACATTGCCGGTAAGGCGAAGACTTAATGTAACCCTGAGAGAGTGGCCACATCCTCCACGGCCTGCAGTGACCATTCTATAAATAACCACACGTCTAAGCACCACGTCTTGTCCACTAACTAGATACCAATAGTTGTGGATATGTTGTATCTGCCTCCACGTGCAGGGGAAGGCAGAGACTGGGATTGGTGAATGAAATTAAAAACGGAGTTCCCAGAGAGATGCAAAACCTTGGAGGATTGGTACAAACAGCCCGAGAACGTTTTGAGTTGAGGACTGTGGTCGCCAACCCCGTGGACGGTACTCATGATTAACTCCGTACAGAACAGAATATAACGTCGTTCACATACACAATGATATACCTTAAGTATAGTACAGATGGGTATGCAGGCACACCTCGTCTTTTATATAGTTTACACCATCTTCACAATACGTTAACTGTGGATCAGTGGATGTAATGGTTGTGATTCTTGCCGGGTATTTGGCGCAAGGCAGCTGTGTTGTAGTGGTGGGGTGTATGTTGTGCAAGGTTTGCCATAGCCTGCCGTCCTTGGCTCGTGTCAGCTGATGTGCCGGTGTGACGTCAGGTTTGGCAATGACATCATCGGTGGCTCACTTGACTGTGCCAGACTTGCCATGTTTTCTCTCGCCGTAATTACTCCGTACTCCCACACACGAAGGATGGCAACACTGTCCGTCCATCCCTAATAACAGAGGGATGTGATAATGTTGGTGTTTATGACGGATGTTGTAACTTGTAACCTTAGGCCGGTGGCTAATGCGCAATTGGGGTTGGGTATAAATGGGACTGCCCAGTATGAGCCAATAGGCCCGCTGCAGTTTCCTCCATTCTTATGTTCGTATGTTCTTCATAGATCCCTACTTCATTTTCCCCTACAACTGTTTATAAGAAACTTGAAAAGACAATATAATTTCGACGTCTTTTTTGGCCTCCGTCAGTGTTCCTTTGCTTATATGTTATGCAGTTGATCGCGTCCTTGTGTCTGTTTAGGAGAAGAGTTAAAGAGTAGGAAGGGACCTTTAAGAATCCATGTCGTGGGTAGTGGAGAACTGGAGTCATGGTATAACTATGTTCTCCACACTCCCATGTCTCCAACCTTCACTTCCCTGCTTGTCCCATTTGTTACACCTAAGTCAGCTTGCGCTTTTGAGTAACAGCAAAGAGAGATTATTTTAGTGTGTGTGTTGTCGGGGGGGTGTTGCCCGTGTTGTTGGAATTAAAAAAGTGGAAATAAAGTTTATGAAATAAGATATTGTTGAGTTTTGGTCTAATGAGGCTTTCCACAGTTAAATTCACTACGGTGACAACAATAATTATGTCCTTGATCCAACCAACTGAATCTGTGGGTCTTTCAGGTAGCAGGAAACTGTAATGTTAATAAGTAACCAACTTAATACCGTATATCATATAGTTAAATTAACGTCAGATAAAGAGGTGGACAAAGCTGTGTTTTGTAATAGTGGTAAAATACGAGTTAATGGTTGAATAATATGAATTATTCCGTATGCAGACGATACTGCTCTTATTACAGATAATGAAGACCTGCCAAAGCTGCTCGACATGTTAGTGAAAAAAGTAATTGGTTTTAAGAGATAATGATGTAAAGACGAAAGAAGCGTTTGTTTCCAAATTATTTATAAATAATATGAAAAATATAGGCGACTGAAAACCAAGAGGTGAAAATGATTGTGTAATTGTGAAGTTACTAAAGTTAGGTTGGATGTCAGGGAAGCTTTAATACGAGTAGCTCAAGAAAAAAACATTGATATTTCTAAATGCTTCATTCTTGTGCTGTTACATAATACCACCTACCGGTATGACGAGACTTTGGCAAGCAAAGTTATGTTGGTAACCGTGTTGTTGGGGAGGGAGTCGTCCCTCATACTGACACATTTGGTGATGATCTCGTCTTTAACTCACACCCTCACTGGGCTGCATTACATTTCAGTGTCTTGCAACAGGTTTTGGTTTTGGAGAATTACGTCACCCCTGTAATTTTAAACATAATTGTTATATTTCCTGATGTCTTAAGTCAGCAATGAGGATGAGATGCACCTACAGAGGTTACCCTTATGTCGTCTTTAGACCTCCAGGATGTGCCAGTACAGAGCAAGCAACCCTCCCGGCCCCGGGGACCAGCCATGGCCAACGCTCACATGACTTCGCTAACTGCAGTATTATCAATATTCCGGCGATTATTGTTGGCCTCCAGGGCACTGTAGGTTATCATCGCATCGAGCAATCACCGAGGTGAACTGGTTTACGGGTACTTCTTAACGGTCATCTGTTAGGAAAGTTAATATAAAGCTCCGCTAATTGTGTTGTGCAGCCAGCCGGCAAGAGGTTTATTTTCCAAAGTTACACAGTACATTCAGGTACCAGAGTAAACGTAACACATGACCAAGCTGATTTGGTATATTAATGTATTTAATTTTAGATTTAATTGATGAGGTTAACGATGCCATGACGGTAACTTACCTTAATATAAGAGAGTGGGATGGTGGTCGGGTAGGGGGGTCGTCCTGGGGGTGAGCCGGTCGTGGGCATCAGCTGATGGCAGCATTGCCAGTTCACCGGCAGTGCTGCCAATCGTGGGCGAGTGTTACCAACCGTGCAGTTTTGGTGGCCTGCTACAAAGAGCGTTACTGTGAGCCTGCAGCTTGATCAAGGCTTATAAACCATAAATCAAATACCCGATATTTAGGAGACATCGGTGTTAAGAGGTGGGATGGTTGATGCAACCCGACAAATATTCTAAGATATTTTAGGTTCGTGGTTGTGTTGGCATGATAGGTGATTGAGTGGGGGATGGGGTTATTGTCCCGGTGGTGGCGGAGAACTTGACCTTAAAATCCACGGTCGTCATGGTAACGGTTTGCTCCCGGGACATTTAAATGTTGCCGGCAAGATGCAGGGTATCCGTATTCACAACCATGTAAAAGAGGAAATAATAGATAAATTGATTGTAGTAATTACATCCCAGGCAACGCAACTGGAAATTATAGAGCCTCTTAAGAATCGCAAGGTGCACTGGTTACATACAACCTTTCAAGTTTGTGATGATACGTTATATCGCAGCCTTTGAACTTTTCCGTCACAATAAATCAGTCGCTGTCTATATACCAATGATGTGTATTTGACCATCCATACTCCCGTCTCACTCAGGTACGTTAGCGGGATTATATACACAAAAGTATGTGGCACCGACCTGCGGCCCCGTTAGGTATACTGTAACGTACCAGGGGCGGATCCAGGACTATCAATGTTGTGGGTGGGGGAACGGCGCGCACAGCGAGCCCTGTGGGGAGGGGGGGGTGCTACTGTAAGCTCCAATTTGACTTTTTTTAATTGTAACCTATATATATATATATATATATATATATATATATATATATATATATATATATATATATATATATATATATGATAATACAAGGAAAAAGAAAAACACGAAGTTCCTTGTGGTTATCAGCATATACCTGATCATGCGCACCTACAGTGATTTACTTGCATATATATATATATATATATATATATATATATATATATATATATATATATATATATATATATATATATATATATATATGACATGGTATAGAACAACCCTTTATTTTCAGAGATGGCGTCAATACTGCGCTTCTCGTTGACGACGCTCGAGGGAGCAGCAGGGAGTGGACGTAGACCACTTATCAGCGCCATCCGAGGATTACGAACACACACGCGTCTTCGTGAAGCTGTAAAACCTGCTGAGCCAATCCCCGGTATACCATACAAGAACTTAACCATTGGTGTACCCAAAGAAATATGGCAGAATGAGAGGAGGTATGTGAAGATCTGGTGTCATGGGTCTCAGTGTAGGTGTGCAGAGGTACAGGATAGTATTTTGGGTCATAATATAAATATACAGGCAGAGTATAGTGTTGTGGATTTTACTGTAAAAAAAATGTGGGAAGTCTAACTTTAGAAGTCTTTGCTTTGTTATGCAGTGTGTGTGGGGTTGCTCACATATATAATTGCTGGGATACATTCATAAATGTAATTACTGTACTCAGATCACTGTATCAGTAAACCCAACTTAGCCAGTCAGTTAATCAGTGTTGCAAAATGGGCAGTGGTAAGTCAACTTCTAACCTGAATGCATATAAAGTACAGAACATTGTATATTACAAGAAATGGTTTATGTAATATAGTGTACAATACAGATTCTTACATCCAAATCTGAACCTATGACATCTTACAGAGTGGCACTTGCTCCAGCATCTGTGGCTGCCCTTACCAAGAGAGGTTTCAACATAGCCATTGAAGATGGTGCAGGTCTGGAGGCTAAGTACCACAATGTAGCCTTTGAGGAAGCTGGAGCCAAAATTGTGGATAGGAATTCTGCATTTGCATCTGGTCAGTAAACTCAGTACAGTACTGTATATTTGTTAGTCTTGGGTAATTAAGGTTGAAATAGGCTCATGTATAGGCACTGTACAGTAGTTGTGGTTTACATACAATACTGTAAATTTTGTATATTTTATGACTCATAAGGGCCTCGTCTTATTTACTTTAGTAGACTTTAATGTAGGAATAACCTTATTCCTTTTCTGCTGGAAAAACCTGCACTTCATTTTAGTGGGCCTTTGTCCTGTCTTGTTGGGGGGGGGGGGATATTAGCTTGAATACCCAGAAATACATCCATTAAATGGCATTAGTGCCCACAGGAAGTTAAATGGATATATGGTTTTCAGATATCGTGTTGAAGATTCGTCAGCCACAGCTAGAGGAAGTAGGCTTGCTGAAGGATGGCAGCACTTTGGTATCCTTCTTTTACCCAGCACAAAACAAGGAGCTCATTGACCATTTGGCTGCTAAAAATTTGACTGTGTTTGGTAAGTACAGTGTAATGCATTTAAATATTTTCTTTAGAAACTTTGTTTACAATGTGTTTGTGAATACTGTACTGTATTGAAGTAAGAATTTAATTTATATATATATATATATATATATATATATATATATATATATATATATATATATATATATATAGTATATATATATATTGTACCCTTAAATGTTTTTTATGAAAGTATTTGTAGATTGGTATAAAATTCTTCCCAAGTATCACCAAATTTCAGAGACTAATGTGTTATTTACAGTTGTCTGGAGATGGAAATTATGTTTTCTCATAAATATTTGTTAACAAAGTATAAAATGGAGGAAGGGATGGTTGAGCAAGGTCTCTAGGGGGTGGGGGGGCAGTGAAAACAAGATGTAGAAGAGATGATATAGATGAGTAAGGTGGAGAGAAAAATGGGAAGAGGGAGATAAGAGAATCACAGGAAATAATATAGATGTTGCTATAATTTATTTGAATCTATTTACTTTGTAATACTGTACATTCACTTGTTCCTCTTTGAGGATTCATGTATCACATCCCATAACACTATAGATTAAACAGTGGTAAGGGAGCTGAAGGAAACTGAGCTGATATACTGAAATGCCTGTTAGTTAGTTAGTAGTTAGCATTATGCCATAAAGTTAGGTACCCAAATTGTTTGTTACATATATGAATTATAAAATTTCTTTCCATTGAATTGTATGTTTTTTGTTGTTTTTGTTTTTCAGCGATGGACTGTGTGCCGAGGATATCTCGTGCTCAGGTATTTGATGCACTGAGTTCTATGGCCAACATTGCCGGTTACCGAGCCGTTGTTGAAGCCTCCAATCACTTTGGCCGCTTCTTCACAGGTTAGTGTGTGTGAATGGGTGAGTGGGTGGTGTCGATGTGAACTCCACATAGTGTATTTTCTTAATTTCTATTTCTTTCAAAAGTCGTCTTCTATGTATTGGAATCTCATGGAAGGTCACCATTAAATAAATACACCTCTCTGCAAATAACTTTACCTTTTATTATTTACCAATTTCCATTTGTATGCCACCTTGTGGATAAAATAAGAAATAGATATCCATGAGTATGTAAAATAGAGACTACATTTATAAACTGGAGATCATTTTTTTTCTATATTGTGCCATATTTTGTGCTACTGTACAGTATTATGTTGAAAGAAAAATGAGTTCATGTTTTGACCAGTGGTGTGATGTTTTTACAGAACCATAATTAAAGACCTCATTTTTATTTTGCTTCTTGGAGGGTTGAATTATTATATGATGAATATTCCTCGTAAATGAGAGCTATATAGCTATTGTACTTAGCTCTAAAAAAATTTGTATCCGGTACCTCTTCCATTTCTAATTTCTTGTTCTTACACATATTGGGTCTCCCTTCACCAGTTTCTTTGATTTTGAATTACCAATGTCTTACTATATTTTTGTGATTTAGCTCAAGTTAACCGGTGAACAGTGGTATGTTCTTCCATAGGTACTGTACAAAGAAAAGAGGAACTATGGAAGTGCAAAGAAGGTGTTTACAATAAAACTTTTTATTACAGGTCAGATAACAGCTGCAGGTAAAGTTCCTCCTGCCAAAGTTTTAGTTATTGGTGGTGGTGTTGCTGGTTTGGCTGCTGTTGGCCAAGCCAAGAATATGGGTGCCATTGTTCGAGCTTTTGACACCCGAGCAGCTGTAAAAGAACAAGTGGAGTCATTTGGAGCAGAGTTCTTGGAATTACATGTGGAGGTAAGATAAAATTTGCTTCCCTCATGCTGCAGAGGTCTGTGGCAATCCAGTGTTGAACAATTTCCCCGAGCTCTATATTTTTAGACTTCTGCATAGTATATACAGTACAGTGTATATCTTAAATTGAGGTAAAATACATTTTTGGGAGAACTGAATGCTGGTAAGACATGGCTATGTTGCCATATTCATTTATGAATATACAGTATAATTGATATCCTTAATTTCTAGACTTCTTAGCTCAAACTTTAATGATCTTATTAACAGAGGTTTTAGAGGCCTTAAGTTTGGTTTTTAATTTTATTTTATATGGCAAAATATTCCATTTCAAATTACTTCAAATTAACCTCATGTATATGAAGGAATTGGTTGGTATGGAATGAGCCTGAAATTCAAAAGGATATACTGTACTGTACAATTCTGTATACCTGGAGTAGTTAACAATAATTTCTAACTACATATGAAAAAGAGGTGCAGCTTATAAGGTTATAGTGTTGTCTGAGGTAGGCTTAAGGTTTAAGAAAATACTCTGTAATATAAATCAATGTAAAGAACATTTAGAAATGGCAGACAATATATACATTAAATTTGTGTGTCTCTATTTTTTTGTCTTTAATTAACTACTGCACAGTAGTCCACCATTCCAATAGTGAAATTTCTTTATATACGCTTACAATACACATTGTATGTGGGGGATGGGGGTTACTGGCATTGTTTATAGTAAATCTTAATTTCCATTGCACTTGTCTCATTTCAGGAATCTGGTGAGGGTACTGGTGGCTATGCAAAAGAGATGTCAAAAGAATTTATAGAAGCAGAGATGGCCTTGTTTGCCAAACAGGCTAGGGAGGTAGATATTATCATCTCCACAGCTCTTATACCAGGGAAAAGGGCACCAGTTTTGATTAAAAAGGTAAATAATGTCTGCTTATATATGGTACTGAACATTGTATTGTAATTCTCCTATTGTGTTAACAGCAACATTTTTGTTGTTTGTGGATCAGCAACAACATTCCTGAAACTTGTGTGTCAGCAACCTTGTTCTTATAGATTATTTCATTGTCCTTAAAATGATCTCCACATAGCTTTCTCCCATTTTGTCTATTCTCTTCAGATTATTTTTTATTTTTTCGTACTTTATCTTTTCTTGCTTCACGGAAGAATACTAACACTCATTCATCCCCTAAGGTGATAAATTCAGTCGCAGATACCCTGAAAGTAACAGTGTACCGGGTCAGTGATCAACAGTAAAGTTTCCACAGTGTGTGGTGTAGTGCTAATCTTTTGTTATTCTTCACAGTCACTTCACCAATCAATAGACGGAAGTGATGAAACCATTGTAGTGGATCTTGATGTTTCCAAAGCATTTGAAATAGTTCAGCACTGACCCTTGTTTGTAAAATTACTCTTCCATGGTCTTTTCTTTTATTTTTTTCTATCTGGTCACCTTTTTTCTATCAGTATCGATTACAAAGTTTCTCAGGGTTCTGTATTAGCACCATTTTTTTTTAATTTCATATTATTGATCTTTCTTCATTGACAAAGAAGTCTATTCGCTCATATGCAAGTAATACAACCCTCTATACTTAGTTCCTTCACTCAAACTGTCCCAGTCTCTTGAGATAAGATTTTGAGTACTAAACAAGATTCCTTCTAATCTATGGGAAGACCTAGCATGTAATAGCATAGAGAGGTGAATCCAACTCTGTTTCCTTCAGTTCTTCTAAAACAAAATAACTACGTAATTATTAGTAACTGGCCTAATGTATACAGTACAGGGTTCAACTTAAATTTTGACTTCATCCCATCATTACTCACTTGTGCGATTTTAGTCATTACTCTTACTTCAGGTCTTACCATGCCAAAACTGTTTCAATAAAGCTTGGTCTCCTGTTCAGAGCCAGGCCATACTTTACTGAGGTGCAATTGGTAATCATTAATGTTAAGTCGTGGGCACTCAGGTGGAATAATTCTCTAATGTGGACTGGTTGAGGTGTTAGGGCACTATATAGCCTACTTGATTCAGTGAAGAAAAAGACCATCAAAACAGTCAACAATGATAATCTTACAAGAAAATTTCCAGCATCATACAATCTGATAAATATCTCATCACCTTCCTCATTCAGTAGACACTTCATCACTGTTCAAACCACTGCCATGGTCGTTCAGTCAGCCTTCAAGGTCATATGGAAAGGACCGTGAATTTCCTGTTGTAATTTCACTTTGCACAAACCTCTCCCTACAAAAAGCCATTTATACCCAAGAGTTAATTTTTTATGTCTTTTAACCTTTCTCAGTTTAAATCATCATCTTTCAGATATCTTGAATCTTAGGCAAGGAGACATATCAGTTAAAATATTTGAGAACAATACTTATTTGATCTCTCCCTGCACTTTTTATTTGATAAAACTTATGTAGCTGACATGTTGAGAAAGTTTTTCATGTTGTTACCCCTATGAGGAATGTTACTACTGATGAATGAAGTAATTGAAGTACAAGGAATTGACAAAAAAAAAAGTAAAATTTTGATGAACTGTTAAATAACAGAAAATTTTAATGAATTTCTCAATGGAAGTACAGTACAGTATATGTGATTATCCCTATAGATAACTGGGTCATTATAGCCATTATTTCTCCAAACTTCCTTCGATCCTCACATTTAATTCCTATACTCTTCAGGAACATATAGACGCCATGAAGCCAGGATCGGTTGTAGTTGACTTGGCAGCAGAAGCCGGTGGTAATATTGAAACAACTGTACCCGGTGAAGTATCGGTTTACAATGATGTCACTCATGTTGGACTGACAGACCTGCCTTCTCGTTTACCCACCCAAGCTTCCTTCTTGTATGGCAATAACATTTCAAAGTTCTTGCTGTCCATTGGTGAGAAAGATCATTTCAATGTCAATCTGGAAGATGAGGTAGTAAGAGGGTCTATCATCCTCCAAAATGGAAAGTTGCTTTGGCCCCCACCACCTCCCCCAGAACCATCACCAGCTGCATTGGCAAGCACACAAGCAGCAGCAGCAGCAGCAGCAGCAGCAGCAGCAGTTGTGAAGGAACCTCCACCACCACCCAATTACTTCAACATCACCATGAAGGATGCTCTAATGTATTCCTCAGGCAAGTGCAGATATTTCTGGAATATGTTCACCAATGGAATTTTCCTTTACCCTTGTATCACAGCAAGTAACAGGTTTATGGTTGTTTTATTTTTATGATGAGGCCACAGACCACAAAGGAATATTGTATGTTATAAAGAGCTAAAGATTCTTCATTTTCTATAAAATAATAATTATTCCAATGCATTAATGAGGTTATGCGTGGCCATGCAGGTCAGAAAGTAAAGGTCAGATAAATGGGAGAAAAAGCTTACCAAACAAATATATACTGTACGTACTACCTTAAATTTTTGGTGAAACTGAATAAAGTTGTTTTCACTTTCAGTGTAACATTAAAAAGTAATGACAATCACCAATCAGTGCATGCTGAATTTTTCACTCCTACCTCTTTTTTTGTTTTGATGTGTCCATCTGTTTTGAAAACATTCTGATGCAGAATGCTTATTTCATACTTCATGAACTTTTAACATACACAGTGTGTATAATTGATCTTATACTGATTGCACCTACATTAATTGTGTACCTTCATGTTATTCCTCCAAAAATTCCTTCCATATGTTTGTGAAAGTAACCAGAACTCCATCATTTGCTCAAATCATCTGTTCTTGACCACAGTATCCAGCATTGATCTTTTTTCTGTTTTTCTACTTCTTTTAGTTTAAGGCAGACCAATCGCATCTTTGTTACTCATCCTCAAGGTCGCTGGTAATTTGTCTTGTTCCTCATGTCATTTGCTCCAGTCTTATTGTGTGTAAACAGTTCACAGAGTGTGTTTGAAATGCTTTCACAATGACCTGAAGAAAATTAGGTAGATTCTTCTTGTGGCTAGACTCCTCCATTTATAACTGCATTTGTAAATCTTTTAATATGCACACACACCCACACTTTTTAAATGAAATCTTTCACAGGTTTGGCCAGCTTGGCAGGGTTGGGCATGGGTTCACCCAATGCTGCCATGACTCAGATGATGACCACATTTGCCTTGTCTGGAATTGTGGGCTACCACACAGTCTGGTCTGTCACACCTGCCCTCCACTCCCCACTCATGTCTGTCACAAATGCCATATCAGGTGAGTCAGAATGAATAACTGACATATTAAATAATTGATTTAGGTAAGTGCTATGTAGGGAAGATGTCAGTGTTGTTTAACTTGGCTCCTGGAGGTTTCCCTAAGCTGAATAAAATCATCTGGCTACAGCCTGAATAAAATTATAAAATGCAACAATCGGCGCAAAAGGGTTGATGGTAGATCAGTAAATGGATGGGTACTCCATTTAACTCATGAGGAAGTATTAGTCTTAATATATAGCTGACAAAGAGCTTTTCCTCTATAAATAGACTATAAAAAATATTTACCTAACTTGTGGAGTATCGTACATTGCATAGAGTAAATATTATAGTTTTTGATGATAGAGCCTGTGAGGGAAGAAATGCCAATTAAAAGAAATTTAAATGGCAAAAAAACTGGAATCTGTATGCAAACATGTTACCACTTTCACTGTAGTAGAGAATTAAAGATAAGAATCTTTTCATTCAACCATTAATTAGTCCAGCTTTCTCCTAACGTGTCTACATGTTTGAGGGGTCATGACATGTAGTAACGCGCTTCTTTGGGGGTAATGGCCACATTTAGACTACTCCAGCATACTCCTATTGACCGTCTTATCACATATTGCAATGTTTGAAACTTGTGCTGAAGTTAACTCATTGATCAGGTTATTGCACTAATGAAGCAGTTACCATTTCTTACACTACATATATACAAGAAAAACTATTATGGTAGGAATTATGAACAAGGCAGAAAAAAAATGCAAGAGCACAAATGTGAGACAAAAATATTGGAAGAATTGGAATTAGGAATAAATAGAAGTATTATGGAGAGGCTGAGGTGAGGCAGATGGCCAAGAAGCCACTGTTTGAAGGTGACCAAAGAGGCATCAGGGAAGAGTAGGAACCAATCCTCTTTTCCTTTCTAGTTAACCACCACAGTTTTTTATTTGTAATTACAGTAGAAGTCCAAAAATCCGGACTGCTTGGGGATTGGGTCGGTCCGGATTTTCGGATTTTCCGGATTCTCAGGCAGTACTTTTAAAATTCAAATTTAAGGAGGAATAAAGAAGGGATGAACATGTACATTTTGATAGTTTATTCATTAGGAAATATAGCATGCTTCATTTATCAAAACGAGCAGTTTTAAAGAAAAAGCTGTGAATTCTAGAATTTTATTCTTTGCCTTTTTTATATCATAAATTGTAGACTTTTCAATGTCGTATGTTTCCATTAGAAATGTATTGCTCACACCACGTTCTAGTTTCTTAATTATTTCAATTTTGTCACTCAATTTCAACGTGTTCTTCTTTCTCTGCACACAACGAAGTTTATCTACTTTAGGAGCCATTATTATGGGCTTGTACAGTACTCTGTAAATGGAAAGAGTAGGATTCAAAATTACATACGTTGTCACAGTTTGATTGCTCGTTTTAAAGTGGCGACTGCGTGGTCGCTTGTTGTCGCTGTGCAGCCAGCTAAAAAAAAAAAAAAATTGAGGTTTCGAAAAGTCCGGATTTCTGGCATCTGGATTTTTGGAGTTTTACTGCATAGTCATCTCCTCAGTATATAAGACCCACCAGAAATGTTCAGAAAATACAACAGATTTATCTTCAATATTATCCCTATTAAATAATGTAAAATTCAATTCTTGTTACTGAAACCATTAACTCCTGAACAACACAATTGTGATGCGTTGAATGTTAGGTCGCTCCTTAATTGTAGGAAACCCTATGCATAATACCAATATGTGTACAGTACTGTATAGTGTCTTGTTTGTGTGAAGACCTCTGGAACAATGCTTAGCAATAGTTGTGTTGCAGGTATTACTGCTGTGGGTGGTCTATTGCTGATGGATGGAGGTTACTACCCCACCAATGTCATCCAAGCCTTAGCTGCCTCTGCTGCCTTCATCTCCTTCATCAATATCTTTGGTGGTTTTCTTGTTACCCAGAGGATGTTGGACATGTTCAAGCGGTATGCATAATCTTTTAATTATTGAAATTACACAGTTATAAGTCAGCAGTTTAAAATACCATGTTCAACCAAGATATATCAGATATTTTCATTAAGCAGTATGAGTGAAAAGTATCTTGAGAAATAGAATAATTTGATGGTGGTATTTTGGGGTCTGGGAAAAGTAAATGATAAGAGTTGATAGAAAAGTATTGTAGGGATTATTGAGAATGTACTGAATCAGTGGAAAATTGTCAAGTGCTGTACTGTACAAAGTTTTATTAGAATGAATCTTGTGTCAGTATGTTGGAAAGAGTTGGAATGGCTCCGGAAACTAATTCTAAATCAAGATTGTGTGATATTGATATACGTACTGTATTGGTGTGACATTTTTAAGAATAGAATGGTAAAAGAGCTGAAAGCAAGAGAACTGCTGTGAGCATATGACACTATCTTTATCCACATGTCTGGAGACCAGTTTTTGTAATTTCTCTTCACTATTTGCAATAAGAGCAGTATCATGTGCATACAGTACTGAATATTTTTTATAATTTTAAGTTTATTTTTCTTTCATTTATTCTTGATAATGTATACGTTTTGAAATAGTGGAGATTCCAATCATCTTAAAACCATACCTGGTAAGTTTAAAATTACAATTCAAGTGACATACTAATTAATTGCTGAAATTCTCCTTAGTGTATATGCTTGGGCATGAATGAATGCTATTTGACATACTATTGAAGTCAGTAACTGAATAACGGTTACTGACTATCACTATTGATGTCATTTCATATGTGTAAATACGGATTTCTTTACCTTTCCTTTGGTCCCCTGGACAATACTGGAGGAAAAAAGCTATCAACTACATCACTACACAAAGCTATTTTTTTCTGTCATGATGTTTAGGGTATACAAGAGGATTTTGTATGAAAAACTGATAAACTGTACTGAAAGTGAATTATAGTTTACTTGTTATGTATGTCACTTATTATAGTTAAAAGATGTTGGCTCCTGTAGTCATCAGTGTAAATTGTTTGATTGGAAAATGAGATCAATTCTGTTTTGTATTTTTAGGCCAACTGATCCTCCCGAATACAAATATCTGTATGGTATTCCTGCTGCAACCTTCCTTGGTGGTTATGCTGCTACTGCTGCTGCTGGCTACACAGAGAGTCACCAGATGGCCTACCTTGCTGCCTCCCTCTGCTGTGTTGGTGCCTTGGCAGGACTCTCAAACCAGAAGACTAGCAGACTTGGCAACACACTAGGCATGGTGAGGTGTTAGGTGTTTGTAATGCCATGCTGGATGAACTGGTATTGACTTTAAATTTGGAAATACCCATAGATAGATGCAAAAAAATATATATATTTTTTTAATAGTGGAACTTACAATGAAAAAAAAAGGTTGAAGAAATATGATGTTACAGTTGAAATTATTGGAGAGAGAGATGATCAGTGTGACATGAATTTTGTCAGTTGGTATGTGGATAATTGGAAACCATGCTCAGTGTATGTGTTAAAATTTAAAGAGTGATGCACAGTAGGTGTCTTGCTTTAGATTGTTAATGAGCAACACGAGTAGTTGTGATTTATTCAGGCATTTTGAAAATCTTATATAACTGATTGTGAATGGAAATAAATAGACGGGAAATGTTAGATGTTAAGTCATAATAAATAAAGGTTTTGTTTATAAAATTCAAGGTTAAAAGTTACAATTTGTCACTAGATAAGATGAAATAGTCAATCTACATGAAAATTGAGGACATAAAAGGTTCAAAAGTGCAAGATAAAGTTTGGGAGGATCACTGTATGGAATAGGACAACAAGTAAGACGACTCCAGTGGAAGTGTCTGTAGTTGTGGTGGATGTTTGAGGTCAAATATGTGGGATAAAGACAAGTAGAATAAAGGGAGTTTATGATGGAATGAAGGTGTAAGAAAATTAGTTATAGATTAATTAAATACTTTGAGAATAATAAGCTTGCAGAAATTAAGGAAGATATTGCAAGAAACTTTTTTCTTTTTGATAACTTTGTGACCAAAGGGAAATAATTACCTCTATTGATGCTATGTAGGAATGCTGATATATTTTGGTTCACTTAATAGAAGTTAAGGATAATTATAAGTACAGTACTGTATACTGTTTATAATGTTATCTCTGATGATGAATTAATTTAATTTATCATTGCATGTACTGTATTTCTTTTGTATTATTGTATACCCAGTACTGTACTTCTTATAAGTCTAATGCATCAGTTCCATACAAAGTACACTCCGTAAAAAAGAACTATCTTTACAATTTGTGTGAGATACAAAATTACACCACAAATGAAGGTTTTTGATAAAGGACCAGGAGGCATACTGTTATTCACCCATCATATTGTAACAAACTAATTTAAAATTTCGAAGGAATTAACTAAATTAGACCGACCATAATAGGTAGAAAATGTCTCTCAACCACACATACCAACCTTAATGAGACAACAGGATTGTTCAGTTCCAAATTTGTTGGACCCCTCCTGAAAAATACTTTTTTTTACCAAGTGTGTATTATAGTATAGTATAGTACAGTACTTGGGACTGGAATAAGATTGATATTGTGGTAATTAAATCCAGAAGAGGAACAGCTGAATATAATATCTTATTTTCAAAATATAAAGTTGATTTTAAAGTAAAATTTAACTATTTTTCATAGCCTATTCAAACTTTCCTACAAAGCTGAAAATTTATAATACACCAATATCAGTGTGAACTCTATTAACTTGTTTCAAAAGAGATCATGACAAAGCTGATTATAATGTGAAGAAATATTAATAGTACTGAGGCCACCTAGTTACAAGGGAATTTTATTATTACGTATACAATACTGTACTGCATATATTTTCATTTTATGTAGAAATTGCAAAAATAAGTTGTTTTTAGTGTTAGTAAGAAATAATTGGAAAGTCTAAATCTTTCTATTTTCTTATCAGATTGGTGTATCAGGAGGAATTGCTGCAACCATTGGCCAGCTTGTGCCTTCTAACCCAGTGTTGATGCAAATGGGTGGAGCTGCTGCCATGGGTGGAATCATCGGTACCACCATTGCCAAGAAGATTGAGATTACTGACCTTCCTCAGCTAGTAGCTGCCTTCCATAGGTACATATCTGGTGCTGTATCTTTTATCATTTACAATTTTTATACCCTCACATTAGTTCATAGGCACTCATTTGTAAGTCTAAAGGTTGGAAAACAGCCTTATCCTCAACAGTGATGGTTGGTACTAATTAGATAATTAATAAAACCCTCCCATTGTAACTACCTTCTCAAGAATGTTCTTTGAAGTGACAATTATCAATAATGGTTGGGGGATGACAAGTCATGGTGCTACATTAGTCTGCACAGCCTTTCCCTTCCATTGATCTTCATCAGCCATATTGGATTTCAAGGACCAATGACAGCCATCTCCTTGGTCGACAATTGATATCAACCTGAAAGATCAGTTTCTATACCCAGAGCCGAGTGCCTAACCCCAAAACATTTTAGCCTTTTAGGGGATTATTACAGTGCTGCCACACTCATAATGGAAGGTTATTAGTACAGAGTTTATGGTGTGTAATCAACCCCTGCACTTTTTCATGAAATATTCTAAAATGTTTAAGAAAGATTTATGTGTACAGTATATTGCATTATTGGTCCTCCATAATTTTTTTTTCCACTCTCGCTCCATTTAAATCTAAACAGGCACATGTGTTTTAGAAACAGATAGTTTTTTTATACAACTACAGTTGATTTTGTTAACTCCATATGTTAAAATTGCATTTTGGTCAAAGGTAGATTACATGATTTGAATGTTAAACTTATAAAAGTTTCCAATACAAAATTAGACTGTGTTATGTTCTTTACCCTGGACAGTTTGGTTGGTGCTGCTGCTGTGTTGACCTGCATAGCCACATTCTTGCACGACTTCCCTCACTTCGCCACTGACCCAGCTGCCAATGCCATAAAGACTGCTCTCTTCTTCGGTACTTACATTGGAGGAGTTACCTTCAGGTACATCTATCCTTATCACTTAAACACTTCTTTCTATGAGGATACTATTTGTGAATGTGTATACAAAAAAAAATACTGTACTATACTTAGTTTTTCCTTTATTTATAGATTTCTTCTGAACTTCCTCTTATTATTGTAGTACCTAGGTAGCAGAAAAAGTTAGTAGAGGAAAAGTTTGGAAGAAAAGTAATAAGTATACTGTTCTTTTCTGTATTTATGCTATATTGACATGTTTGACTGTCTTCAGTGGTTCACTGGTGGCTTATGGCAAACTGCAAGGTCTCTTAAGTTCGGCACCCTTACTCTTGCCTGGCCGCCACGCTTTAAATGCTGGTCTTCTTACTGCCAACGTGGGGGCTATGGCTTACTACATGATCGACCCCTCTCTCAATGTGGGTCTTACTATGTTAGGAACCACGACTACCCTGTCGGCTGTTATGGGTGTCACCCTCACAATGGCTATTGGAGGTATGTTGCATTTGTTAACACGACCAAAGTGAGTGAGTGTCATAAGAAATATCTCATTTATTTTTCACAGGAAGTAGGTCATCACTGTGTAGTTAGTAAAGGGTTAATATTTTTGGTGTCAGAATAATCACACTAGGTGATCTACCAGTAAATTTTAACCTATCGAATTATATATTTCCTATTGGTGGTACAAATTACTACTGTGATTCATTTGTATTATATAAGCTGTGACAAGATGGTGTAAATTGTGGAGTGTTTCTCCTGAATTACATGGACAAACTATCAACAGGTGCTGACATGCCCGTTGTGATCACGGTCCTGAACAGTTACTCTGGCTGGGCGTTGTGTGCTGAGGGCTTCATGTTAAACAATAACCTCATGACTGTTGTTGGCGCTCTGATTGGTTCCTCTGGTGCAATTCTGTCATACATCATGTGCAAGGTAAGTGGTGCTTTGTCTCAACTTCTGATGATATGAGTATTGTAGGGAAATTAACTTTGTTGTACTGTATTTATAACAAAGCATCTGTAGATTTTTTTTTTTTTTTAAGGCAGATCCTGTTTACAAAAAGGAATCGGTCATCCTGACCAAAATGTGATGTAATGAAGTCTTTGTAAAAAGGAATATTACAGGATTTAATATTAATTTTCTCTGATTCTGATGACACTCAAATTTCTCCTTAAGGCAATGAATCGATCCTTACCCAATGTCATATTGGGTGGCTTTGGCACTTCCTCTACTGGTGGTGGAAAGCCCATGGAGATCACAGGAACACACACTGAGACCAATGTTGACCAGACTGTGGAGATGATGACTAATGCCAAGAACATTATCATTGTACCAGGTAAGTTGATAACACTTGCACCTTGCAACAATGAACACTGACATTTTGTTTGTAGAATGTCATAGATCATCTTAGTTACCATGAAACAATATTAGTGAGCAGCTCATGCAATCTAAAATTTTCTACTTTTTAACAAATTAGCCTAAATTTTACTGTCATGATAAATTTGTTTACTGATATATACAGTACAATATAATCCAACACTGCTGTACAGTACTCGATATGATATTTAAAAGTAATTTTTTTTTCATTTTGAAGCTTTGGAAGCATCACTGTACTGATGCTATTGCCATGTACTGTTTAGTATTTCAGCAGCTGTTGTTTGTTCTTTCACCAAACATTAATTGTTTCATCTTAGTTCAGAAGTACAGTACAGGGGGTCTCCGGGTTTCGAACGGGTTCTGTTCCCAAGGACGTTCATAAGTCGGAACACATGCTATATGCATACCGTACTTACAAAACAATGTTTAGAATCCCACTATATCATAGCTAAGTCCTTATATACATCTAAAATCACTTAATTTAAGACAAATGAAGAAATAGAATGAAAAATACAGTAAATGAAAGTAAAAAAAAAGTCATCAGGTAAATGAAATACTGTAAATTTCAAGTTAACCCCATTCGTATCGGTGGGTGTTCATAAGTCGGGGACCTCCTATTGTAGTAAAAATTTTAGAAATAAACGGGTATTTGTATGATCATCATGTAAAACTAATTGTAACTTTTAGAATATTGAAAGTGGGAAAGGATGTAATTTTACTTAAATAAATGTTATATGTGTGTTCATGCCAGATTGTGGTTGAAGAAGGGTGTATAGGTGTAGTACTATATATGATATACTGTGACACAGATCCTGGCTTGTCATTGTTTCTCTGAATGTAAAAGTATTTATATAGATAAGTGAATAAGAAAATTAAAATATTTGTTCACCAGAACAGCCATGGGGAGGAAAAATGTACGTTAGTACAGTACCATATTTAACGGTATCTAAGACATACCCCCATTTTAGTAGGGAGTATTTAGGAAAAAACTTTTGTGTAGATTTTCCTCCTGCAGCCATAGTTTTCTTAAAATAATATATACAATACCAGTAAATGTGAGGAATAAATAAAAAATACCAATAAATAAGTTGCAACAAAAAATACTGTATTGCCAAACCAGTAAATAAGCCAAATGAAATATAACTGTCTCCATTTGTATATACAGCTCCTCCCCGACTTACGACGGGGTTAGGGACCCAAATCCAGGTCGTAAGTCAAAATGGTCGTAAGTCGTAAATGCTTAAATAATACATAGAAAATCTAAAATGGGTGTCTCTTTTTCATCTCAGCACCACAAAACTCTCACTTTTAAGCATGCCAGCCATTTTAAAGTGAATTACAAACGGAACTTTTGTCAGTACACAGCGCAATCATTAATGTCGGGACTCGAAAATACGTAATTTGACAAAATTTTGGTACGACTGAAGCGGTTGTAAGTCGAGTAGGTCGTAAGTCTGGGAGGAACTGTACGGTACTCCCTGTTTCTTCATAGCAACGGAGATGCCATCTCCGTCGATTCCCTAGCAACGCCTCTACCCCACACACACGTCTCGCCTCCTCCCGCTCCCCCACTGAACCAGCCAGTTAACTTGTGTGGAAAGAAATGTATATTCCCTTTGTGTGTTTGCCCTTAGGACAATTATTTCTTTTACTTTTTTCACATTATGTATGTAGGATGGTGTGTGTATGTAACTGATTAAAAATAAATAAAGAAAGCTACATATATCTATCCAAAAATACGAAATGAAAAACCATAAAACCTTACAGCTTGGCCCAGTAGCCTGGTGGTTACAGTGACACGTCTAACCTGGCTACAATGCCGCCAGCGATGTTAACAGACGCAAATGTGAAAAGAAAGTTATATGTAAATCTTCATTTGTGTCAGGTTTTTGTAGATTTTAAAATAAATGTTGCAGGTATGGAATTATTAGATTGTAATGCTTGTAAGAGTTCAGAAATGGTTACTGCTTAGCTACCTCTGAAGAGTTGGGTGTCTGCCGTACGGATGTTAATCGTCTCGGATCCATACAGTAGTTATAAACCGAGCTTTTATATTCACAAAAATATTTTTTTTTATTAATTGAAAATAATAATAATGTGTATAAGTAAGCAATAACAAATTTTTTATTCTGGAGTTGGGTTAGGTAGAATTTAGTATACAACTATAGCTTACGAGAGACCTCAACTTCACATATAGGATGCAGCCATTTTTCAGACAGAAAAGTGTACTATATGCCATAAAATGTGTACAAGTCAGTGGACAAAATTTAATTTTAACGGTCAGAGTAACCAGAAGCCCCCATTAATGTATATTAATGATTTGCAGGCTATGGATTGTGTGTTGCAAAAGCTCAGTACCCAATTGCTGAAATGGTGGATATTCTAAAGAAGAAGGGCAAGAATGTTAGGTTTGGCATCCACCCTGTAGCTGGTCGCATGCCCGGACAGCTTAATGTCCTGCTGGCAGAGGCTGGAGTACCATATGACCTGGTCCTTGAGATGGACGAGATCAATGATGATTTCTCAGAAACTGATTTGGTGTTGGTTATTGGTGCCAATGATACTGTCAATTCTGCTGCTGAAGATGACCCCAACTCCATCATTGCCGGCATGCCAGTCTTACGTGTCTGGGTTTCCAACCAGGTAAGAGTTCTTTAGCTTTACCATAAACCTGTCAAAAAAGTTATGGGCCCTTTAACCCTGTAAGATGGAATGCTAGAATATTGATGTCTTGTTAGTTTTAAAAAAATAATAATAATTTTTCCAATTTTTATAATATTTCTCATAATTGTTTTATTTTCTTCAAAACCTTTACTCACTCCTTCAACTATATATAATATTCTGACCCCTGTTAATTGAACACAAACTTAGTCCCTGCATTTGCTGGAGATTAGACTTTCTTTTCATAAACACAACCAGAATTCTTCACCACTGCCTTTAACTTGTATTACTGTAGTTGTGATAGTAATGCCACATTTTAAATGCAGGTTGTTGTGATGAAGCGCTCACTGGGTGTGGGCTATGCTGCTGTTGACAACCCAATCTTCTTTAAAACAAACACCAACATGCTGCTTGGAGATGCTAAGAAGACATGTGATGCTCTCCTCACCAAACTCAAAGAACACTATGATTAATTCTTATCAGAGCTTACAAGAAGATGCCAGGCAACTAGAGTCTCTCAAGTCAACATAACGGTTCACTATTTTAATTTATTTAAAATTTTCATTCCTTCAACATGTCAACAAGATCTCAAGTTTGTTCCCTGGGTTGTAGACACTTTATTTAGCATCTCAGTATCTCAGTTTTGTTTCTTGGTAAGTTAATAGTAAAGGCAGATTCAGTATTGTTCAGTAATATTGTATCCTTAAAATTTTGGTATGAATTGTGTTGACCTTGGCACTTGTCAGTGATATTGGCATGTATATAACACATAAGCATACAGTGTACCAAAATATCCTCAGTTATGCCTTCACTAGTGTAATTACATAGTATATAGTTTTCTAAATTTCAACAATTAAATGCTGGTGGTGAGAAGGTGTCTTTGGCATTGACACACAGTTAATGGCCGAAATGTATAAAACCATGTAAAATATTGCTGTATTTTTCTCAGAATCATGTAAAATTGTTGTTTTTATGTTTGAGTAAATTAAAATGGCAGCATCCTTGTGTTAGTGAAGCTGATAGTGTTTTATCAATGACAAAAATGACTTGTGCGTTGTTGCAAGTTCAGGGTGTGTATGGGGTCTGAGTTGTGAGAGAATCTATTTTAGCTGTAATTAAATACTTAATGCCATGTGTTGTATTCTTCTAACATCTTGATGTTATTATTTTAAAATTAACATCCCCAAAAGTCCTGGATATGAAGGTATAAACCTGTACTGTATTTATACTTCAATCTTAAATCACATGCCAGTTAAAGAATCTTTTTTTAAAGGACTTCATTGCCCACGTGATAATGAAAGAGATGGGTATAAAACTAAACAAGGAATGGTGCTAAGAACTGGATACAGTACATGTATATGATCATTGGATCTCAGATCACAAAGTACAAGACAGTAAAAAAGAAAATAAATGAGTTTCACAGGTCTGTTACCTCCAGGGATACCATATGAAATGGCACAAAATAGTCCTGTAAAGACACTGGACACATCACTGAAGTTCACAGATATGATGAACTCAGTCACTACAGTTTTTTAAGTAGATACATTATGTTAGGGATTGTGGAGGTAATTGTAAGGTTAGAAAAATACTACACTGCATACCACACATAAAGTATCTTGTCTATTACTAGTTCAGTAAGCAGTGAGGGTTAGTACAAGGTTAACATGGCAAAGTAATGCCCTTCTAAGTGGAAAAATAAATGGAACTTCATAAATCTGAGGATTTGGGAGCACCTGTACCTGTATAGTATTTACCAATTTAGCTTTCTCTACAAGATGGACAAAAACTTTGATGAATATTTATGATAGAAATTGGAACAGCACTGGGGCACTAACATTTACAGTAGAAATTATATTTATTGACATGCCCAATAACCATAGCCAAGAATATTACTGGCCCCAGATGGTTGCCTTAAGGAACTAGAAGAGATGGTGTCCTAGTCTAATAAAATACTTTGATAGTTTACCTTATGGCAATGACCTGACAGGAAGTTTTGAAAGAAAGGGAATAATAACCTGGCAACATTGCTTGTACTGTTCCAAAAGGGGCAACAGAAAATTATCATATATTTTTTGAATATCAATTGGGGATATAAAAGCAAATTGGTCACATGCATCAATGCTCTTGTAAATTTTGTATGGGGGGGTGGGGTCGCCACCTGCGACGCTTGCATCCGGGTTTACTTCCGGTGGCTGAGTATATAAGCTCTCAGCCTCGCCATTGAAATTCATTCTAGCTACGGCCCTGCAACACGCAACACCTCCTCTGAGCAAGCTCCAAGCTGACCAGCTCTCTCTCTCTTCCACGCTCCCGCACCAACAAGCCCTCTCAACTACTCCTCTCAGCAAGCTCCTAACCACACAGCAACTTCCCAGTACCAAACTGCACTGTACATTCAATATATTTATATACAGAAAATGCATTGTGAGTTTCCTTTCTCCAACCCATCCTGAGTGTGAGACCACATCACGAAACCCCCGGAAAAACGCACTCACACAGGATGGAGGAGGAACGGATCACTCTTCCAGTCTTCAATCACAACATTGAAGACTGGTTTATCCACACGGAGGCAGCTCTCTTCGGCTCTACAGCTGCAGACAAACAAAAGTACGTCACCCTGGTCTTTTCCCTGCCCACAAAAGTCACCAAGCAAGTCTCAGAGACCATTACCAACCCTCCAGCTGACAACAAGTTCGCTGCCCTGCGGGATGCTCTTAAAAGGCGTTACCAGCGGCCCCACACCACTCTCCTACAAGACTTATCAAGTCTACCCCTCGGCAACTCCACGCCTGCACGTCTCTGGGACGAGATGCGACCATGGCGACCCACAAGCTGTCCTCCTCTGAGCACCCTCACCAATCAGCTCTCTCTACATCACGCTTGTAACCACACTGCCACTTCCCAGCACCAAGCTGCACTGTACATCCAATACAATATGTATACAGAGAGCATATTGTGAGTTTCCTTTCTCCATCCCACCCTGAGTGTGAACTAAATATCCCGTACCCCACAAGTCCTCCACCAGGCAGAGCTAAGTCTAGTACACCCGTCGGCCTCACATTTAATAAAAAAAAATCCTAATATGTCATGGTTTCATGGTTGGTATCTACGGTATTTATGTCACAGCACAATAGACCTCATAATCTTTAATTGGTATTTCATTTCTTTAATTCACTCTCAGGCCGCTTTATAACATTTTCGTTCCACAACCATTACGTTGGCGTTCACCTGGTTAGTATTGTCAACAAGCCTCGGGTTATCTTCACTGCATACATTTACAGTACTCCTCTCTTGTTGTCACCTTCCTCTGTAGCCGCAATATATATTAATGATGTAACTATTATACTGTGGGGTATAACTTGTGTTTGTGTTCACACTCAGATGGGATGGAGGAAGGAAACTCACAATGCGCTTTCTGTATATATATTGTTGTACAGTGCAGTGCTTAGGAGTGACTAGGTGAGGAGAAGCTTGCTCAGAGGTCCTGTAGGGCGAGGAGGTTTCTGAGGAAGCTGGGTGGTGAGGAGCTGTGAGAGATGTTGCTGGGCCGGTAGCCGAGTGTAGTGTAGTGGATTTCTCCCCTACAAACGCTGTTTGTCGCTGAGTAGCCAACCCCACCAATTCCCCAGTGTATGCCTCGTGGTCTAGGTTAACCAGCGCCGCCATACATCACGGAGCGGGGGTCAACTACTTAGCCACGCCTACCCCCCGCTATTTAAGACCTGACCTCGTGGTGACCTAGCTCTTTCTACCTACACCAACCAGCCAGCAACACACCTCCTCCTCTGCCTGCCTGGTGGTCCTCGCTCCCGCCGGCGAGCATGGCGACCCACAAGCTGTCCTTCTCTGAGCGTCCTCACCAACCAGCTCTCTCTACATCACGCTTGTAACCATGCTGCCTTCCCAGCACCAAGCTACACTGTACATCCAATACAACATGTAGGCCTATATAGAGAGCACATTGTGAGTTTCTTTTCTCCACCCCATCCTGAGTGGTAGTAACTCTCGACAGGAGCTGCCATGCACAGGCCAACCGGCCTATTGCAGACTCCTTATTTTCTTATGAAGTAAAGTATGAAGAAATCTTGATGCAGGTGCGTAGATTGGTGGTGCGGGAACTGGACTTGAAGAATAATGGTGGAATTTGGAGGGACTTGGGGTTGGTGGATAGTGCAGAAGAAAAGCGAGGAAATTGGAAAATAGTAGTAGAATGCTAGGTCTTGGGGCTCAACCCAAGTGCTTCTGTTTTCTCATGTTTGTGTTTCAGCTAATTTTCGTCATAGGTATTATATTTATGTCAGGTGTTTGTATGTTTAGCAAATAGTTTAATGGATTAGTGTCCCTGTGTTTTGACCTCAGAGAGACGACTGGAAAAACAATGGGCAAATAAAGATTTCATGCACGATAATAGGGCTTTGAATTATTTAGTAGGGCCACTCGCCCACTCCCTTTAGTACGGAATGTAGTGTGTGTTATATAAATAGTAAAGAATTACAAGTCATACACGCGTGCAGATTTTGCACAGACTCCTCCAAAGTTAAATAAGTACAAATTAGTTAAACTATGAATACATGAAAGTTCAGTTCACCTTTAATTCGAGAATAGAAATCCAGGAAGCAGGTACCGGGAAGAGAGTCAGGGACAGAGCCTGGTATTGAAACATTGTGATCATGATTTAAGATTACTTTATCCTTTAAATTACTACAAATGCACATTAAATACTGCATCTTGGAAAGTTTGTGAAACTTACGTACTCTAAATAGTTTCTTGTGTTCAAATATTAATATTAGTAAATAATGTTCATCAGTTGTGGGAGAACAGATTATCTATTACGAAAAAAGTAGTATTACAGTATTCTTACAAAATTATAAGAAAATTAAAATAGAAAATCTTCTCCTTTTTCTAAGTGATTTTGTTCAGATAGCGGGAAATATTGGCAGCTAAGTGGGTCTTTGTGTTGGACGCGCCACTCAGGTGTTCGAACAGGGCGTGGATCCAACAGGTGAGACCAACACCTAGTTCTTCCCACCCTCACGTGACCTTGCCAAGAAGAATCAGTGAGAATTAATGCACCATCATACAAACGTCTCATCAGAGTTCGGTCTCACGCTTATCAAAACTAAAGCTCAGAAAAAAAAGCTTGAATATGGTGTAATATATAGTGTAAAGTGTGTTTGCGGGTTGACAACTAATCACTGGTGTAGGAAGTAAACAATGGCGTGGGTGTGGTGTAGGGTGTGTGTGGTATTGTTGGTGTGTGTGGAGTGGTGTTTTCCTCAGGACCTGGGTAGACCAGATGATGACCCCAGAGGACTACGTTATGGTACTGACAATCGGTGGAGGGGCGTCCTTTACAACAAACTACGGCTACAGAATCGCTACAACCACCCGTAAGCATATTGTGTTTTTTATTCCCTTTTTATCATATCAGAATTTGAAATAATATAAATAGCTAAGATATGGTGACTGAAGGAGGTGTAGCAAACCTGTAATGGTGTGAATTTCTTGAAGTAACTTTCCAAAATTATTGATTATGTTTTTGTCAGTTATATTAAGCTGGTGACAGATGATACTTGATCTTAAAACTTTCTCAATCATGTAAAATATGTATGGTCATTAGAGAATATGTTGGCTGTTTATATTAATTAGTATTTTATTATTTCACCACTTATTTGCTTCTTGCCTGTTCAGGTGGTTGGTCTGTTATGTGTTACTTTGTTATGACTTTCATTGTTGAATATTAGTACAGGAGAAACCAGAGTGCTCGGAGAAAACTAGTGATGTTTGATGAGAAGGAAACCAGAGTGCCCGGAGAAAACTAGTGATGTTTGATGAGAAGGAAACCAGAGTGCCCGGAGAAAACTAGTGATGTTTGATGAGAAGGAAACCAGAGTGCCCGGAGAAAACTAGTGATGTTTGATGAGAAGGAAACCAGAGTGCTCGGAGAAAACTAGTGATGTTTGATGAGAAGGAAACCAGAGTGATGAGAAGGAAACCAGAGTGCCCGGAGAAAACTAGTGATGTGATGTTAGTGATGATGAAGGAAAACCAGAGTGCCGGAGAAAACTAGTGATGTTTGATAGAAGAAACCAGAGTGCCGGAGAAAACTAGTGATGTTTGATGAAGGAAAAAGTGCCGGAGAAAACAGATGATGAAGGAAACCAGAGTGCGGAGAAAACTGATGTTTGATGTGGAAAACTAGTGATGTTTGAGAAGGAAACCAGAGTGCGGAGAAAACTAGTGATGTTTGATGAGAAACCAGAGTGCCCGGAGAAAACTAGTGATGTTTGATGAGAAGGAAACCAACCTGAGAAGAAACCAGAGTGCGGAGAAAACTAGTGATGTTTGTGCGAGAAAACTAGTGATGTTTGATGAAGGAAACCAGAGTGCTGAAAACTAGTGAGATACGGAGAAAACTAGTGATGTTTGATGAGTGCCGGAGAAAACTATTGATGTTTGATAAGAAAACCAGAGTGCCCTTAGAAAACTGTTTGATGAAGGAAACCAGAGTGCCGGAGAAAACTTGATGAGAAGGAAACCAGAGTGCCCGGAGAAAACTATTGATGTTTGATAAGAAGGAAACCAGAGTGCCCGGAGAAAACTAGTGATGTTTGATAAGAATGAAACCAGAGTGCCCGGAGAAAACTAGTGATGTTTGATGAGAAGGAAACCAGAGTGCCCGGAGAAAACTAGTGATGTTTGATGAGAAGGAAACCAGAGTGCCCGGAGAAAACTAGTGATGTTTGATAAGAAGGAAACCAGAGTGCCCGGAGAAAACTAGTGATTTCTGATCAGATCACACTGGATAACACCCTTCCCACATCCGTTCTGGACTGGGTTATCCAGCTACATAAGGAAAAATCTCTATAAAAGGAAACTTATTTCTTATTCAGGTTTTTGTCTAAATGTACTTTTACATTTTACTTTTACTCCCTTTACCTCTGATCGGCTTGTTAGCTGCTTGGGCGGTCGATCATGTCTCTCTTACACACTGTTGGCAAGTACTGGGCATGCACTGGCTCCTGAATGTATTTGAACCTGCTCCAGTGTTGGTCAAGTCTGTAAATAAAGACAGACGTCTCTCTCACGAACTTTCCCGTGCAATCTTGTTTGGTTGTCATTTGCCGATATGAACCTAAGTATTTTATAATAATTATATACTGTACTGTACAACTGCTACTACTACAACTAATAATAGTAAACTTCTATCCTAGATCAGGTTGGTATTTACAGTACAGGTACTGTACAGATACTGTACATGTACAGTACATATTATTAGTTGAAAATTATAAATCATATCTACCCATTACAGTATTATTAATAATAATGTCGCTGTCCTTTTTTGGTTATTTGGTAAATAAGATTTAATTATGATTTTTAATATTAGCATTAATATAGTATTATTATTATGGTAATCCTGGAGCAGATGGCTAACACCAATACATGTTTGATTTTGTTAATTTTTTCCACGTGTTCTTTTGATGATACGTAGTAACAAAAATGATACGTCAATGCACAGAATCTGACCTAACCAACCAAAGAAACCTACCTAACTTTCTTGCCCCCCATAGACCCCCTCGCTATATTAAACAGAAAGTACTTATTTGATATCTGCTACCAATGAAAGCAACTTTGTTGAAGCATCATGGAGTAATTTTACATTTTCCAGTCACTGGGAACCTTTTGGTCCTCCAGGTATTTACAGACCAGGATCTTGGGGCTCAACAAGCTCGTTGCACAGCTTTCTTAGTACTCTGGGATGAACCATGTCAGGGCCAGGACTCTTATGAACCTTAAACTTTGACAATTTATTTCTTATACTGTACTGTACCCTCTTCTGAGAATGCAATTTGGTTCAGCACTGTCAAACTGTCTTTCCTCAACTGCAGGAAGATTGTTCGCATTCTCTCTTGTGAACGCCAAGGCTGATGATGTCATTCTACATTCTAGGTTTCTGAATTCAGTCACTTGAAAACCCAAAATATAACCCAACTCTGTTTTCCAATGATGGAATTCAGTAATCTAGGATAGCCTTGACTAATCAGAACAAACGTCGGAATAATAATGGAAAGGAATTAAGGTCCGTGATCGGAAATATAACCACTGAATGAAAAATAAGTAAAGGTTTTAGATAACCTGTACAGTAATCTAGTTTGTATCATATTTTAAAAATTATTTTATGTCTTAGTCATGCATATCTGGCAAAAGTAAAATGATCAAATAGAACACTGACACTGTACATCACTCCTCTGCACAGATCGAGCAATTCTAATTACAGTCCATGGTGGGGGGAGGGTGATGGTACGGAAACCCAGGATCTGGGCCCAGGACATGTGTGGGTGGTGTTAAATTTTCTTGTCTATTTAGCTGACCATTCCTGAAAATTAAATTCTGAATCATTTAATTCTTCACAGCCACTTTGCTAAGGCTCAAAGGGTGACAATGGACAGCTTAACTCTACCCAGTGGATGTAGGCTTAGGACTCTTAACACTGTGCAAATAGGAGCACTGTGAAATTATCACCTCCATGACCTAGGATCAGTCCCTCTCATTGTCTAGTCACTTTAGTGTTTGGACATTCATCTTTCTCTGTGTTCTTGGGAGAAAATAAATGCTGCTTCATTATATATTTTCTTTTGCCTGTGCTCCTGTTTAGGTTATGCAGTCTAGAGATATATGCATAGCTATTCTTTTTATATTTACCTTGTAGTGGTGGTGTAAGAGCATTTATAATAGCTAATGAATCAGTTTAAGAATTAATTGGTGTCTTGGGAATACACACCATCACTGTCCCAGTAATATGCCTATACAGTATATGCATACCTGTGACAAGCAGAGTACTACAGGGTAGTATACTGGGCCTGTTGTATGTTCGTTTGTTTCATAAATGACATGCCAGAATCTATACATACCCCCATACAGATGTTATTCAAGGAAATTAAGAACTAAATGGACTGTGAAGAGCTACAGAAAGATCTCTGTCAGCTTCATGAGTGCTCAAAGCAATGGCTGTTAAGATTCAATGTCATGAAATGCAAGAGGAAGCAAATAGGTTGTATCAACAGTAAGGAAGCATATCACATGGTCCAACGGGACAAAAAAGTGGCATTAATGGAGACCAAATGTGAAAGGACTTTGGTGTGTCAGTTGACATAGAGCCAAAGTTTGTTTGATCATTGTTACTTGATTGAGGGTGTGGACTGTTCATGCCTTAATCTGTTGTGATGCTTCACAGTTACTGTACAGTGCAATAAAGGATTTGACTCTATTTTACCCGTAATAGTTGGCAGACTCCTGATTTGAATATGATTATTTCTTGCCTTTGAGATTAATGAATTTTAATGTTTAATATTAACGATGGTTATTTAGTGGAGATAGGCATGAGAGTTGTGGCTTGCAGGTGCTAGGTCAGGTTAGATTACATTTAATGAGTCTTTTGGGCTACCAGCCTACAGAACTTGGGTGTTTGATTTCACCTTGCTGTAATTTGAAATGACAGAGTTCTTCATTTGACCACTCATGATGACGATAGAGGCAGCTTGTTAGAGAGTCTTCCACTATTATGCCCAGAGTTAAGACAATTTAAACTGGGTTCCCCATATAGTTTTACAGTGGGAGGCATGTATTACCTTGCGGATTAACCTTGGTAGGTACAGTATAAGGCTACGAGAGTAAACCCCGAATGAAAAATCTGCGGTGGAGCCCCGCTTCAGGCAGACATGCTTACAGGGCTCCAACAAGACCCCAACAGCAGTATAGGTGGAAGAGGTAACCAACATGGGAACCCAATGACTACACCGGCGGAATAAGGCATTGCATGATGGACAGGCTACAAAGGCGAAACCCAACAAGCTGGGCTATCAGCACTCCATTGCAACTCTCCCTCTCCTCAGTCGTTGGAACACTTGCACCACTGGATCAGGAAAAGGGAGAGCCAAGATGTGTGGTTGCAATCTGTGCTCCTGCCTCACCACATAAATCAACTCATTTGCAGTTATCATCCAGCTCACCATACTCATCATTATCATCATCAAACCCTTATACCCCAAAAGTCCTCTGGCGACGGGGACAGGCAGAGATGACTGCCGGGAGTCTCAAGCCACAACTCTGCACATGGGCGGCACAGATAAGATGGTCATTTATGCACTGGGATCTAGGCAGTAGTGCAATCCAGTCCTGTCTGTGCGACTGAGCAGCCCTTTCGAGGAGCCACTCTGCTCACCCCACGTGGGGAGAGGGCTAGAAATGGTGCCCTAAACATAGCCTGCCTAAAGAACCAACCTGACTGGGCAACCGCACCCAGTAAGGTCATCCTTATGCGGTCAAAAACACAATTATAATCACAGATCAAAACAAAAACGAACAATACAACCTCTTATGGTCGCTGCATGGAATGTCAGGACCCTTCTGGATACTGGCACAAATGCAGCACGTAGCAGCCATTAGTGAGTCCCGGCTCACAGAACGGGGGTCTGGCTATACCTTGCTCTGGAAGGGTAAGCCTGTTGTGGAGAGAAACCGCATTTTGGAGTTGGCTTTGCCATCCACCAACGCATCCTACACAGGCTAATGGAAATGCCTGTATGGATCAACGAGTGCCTCATGACGCGCCGAGTCCCACTGAATCACTAACATCATGTCTTTTTCATCAGTGCATACGCCCCAACACTGGATGCAGAGGATGACATCAAGGAGGTCTTTTATGCCGACCTTGACAGAGTGCTAACCTCTATCCCCAGAGAAGATAAGGTTGTGCTCCTTGGTGACTTCAGTGCCAGAGTTTGTAGCGATGCTGACATTTAGCAGGGAATCATAGGGAGAAATGGACTAGGCAAGTGTAATCTTAACGGCCTACTCCTCCTCAGCAAGTGTGCTGCACACAACCTCACTATCACCAATACCTTTTTAGGCAGGCCGACAAGTTCAAGGGTTCATGGTAACACCCATGATCCAAACACTGACTACATCAATGTCAGAGAAAGAGATCGCCAAGATGTCCTCATCACCCGATCAATGCTTGGCTCAGACTTCTGCGACACTGATCATTGGCTCGTCTGGAGGATCCAGCAGTAGCACATGATTTCAGAGAGCAGCTCGAACATGGGCTGATAAACAACCCAACAACAAACAACCCAAACCCCAGTGCTGAATGGTGCATTCTCGACACTGTCATGACAAAAACCTGCAGGGAGACCCTCGGCCAGGTCGAAAGAATACACCAGAACTGGTTTGATGAAAATGACCCAGAAATCAATGTACTTGTTGATGATAAATGTGCTGCTTTAACTTACTAGCAGAACAACCCTCAGTCTAGGACCAAAGCTGATACCTTCCGGAAGAAGAAAGTGGTGGCCCAGCGAGAGCTTTGCAAACTAAAGAATGACTGGTTTAAAAATAAAGCATGTGAAATTCAAAAACTTGCAGATCAACACAATGTGCTCACTACCATTCGCTGCTCAATCAAAACACTGATGTGGATGTCCTGACTACCCAGCAGGCCCCTCAGCGTTCAGAGCTGATCTATCTCGGCTATCTTCCATCCTTGGATGAGGTAGCTACTTCCATCAAACAGATGAAAAATACAAAGCCTCAGGGCCTGATGGAGTCACAGCCAAGGTGCATAAAGCAGGAGGACCTCTACTTACCAGCCGTCTCCACTCTCTCCTGGAGAATATATTAGAAAAGGAGAAAATCCCGCAAGCTCTTAAAGACGCCTCCATCATCAATATTTATAAGAACAAGGGAGACGGTCAGACTGTGGCAACTACCGCGGAATCTCGCTACTGTCTGTAGTTGGCAAGATTATCGCCCGAATCCTTCTAAACAGACTACTAACTAAGGCGGAAAATTTCCTCCCAGAATCTCAGTGTGGCTTTAGACGATCACGTGGCACCACTGACAAGATCTTTGTTGCCTGCCAGATACAGTACAGGAAAAGTGCAGAGAACAGAGTAGTGACCTGTACATGGCTTTCATCGACCTAACCAAGGCTAGGTACTACCCTCTCTAATGTTATTCACCACCGTGGACGTTGATGAAGAGATTCAATATCGGATCAGATGTACATCTCAAGCATTTGGCAGACTCCTTACCCTTGTCTTCAGCTGTGGGGAGCTGAAATTATCTACAGAGTTGCATGTATATCGAGCAGTGGTCCTCCCCACCCTGCGATATGACAGTGAGACATGGGTTACATACAGGTGGCACCTCAAGGCACTTGAAAACTTTCACCAACGTAGTCTACGTTCCACCTTCTCAGTTTGCTGGGAAGACGAGAGAAATAATGCTAGTATTCTCTCTGACACCAACTGTAGGAGCATTGAGGCTACCATTATCCATGAACAACTATGTTGGACTAGCCATGTTACCCGCATGGATGACAGTAGACTGCCAAAACAGCTACTTTACTGTCACCTAACGAATAGTACAGTAAACGTAACGCTGGCAGGCAACTGAAAAGGTATCAGGTTAGTCTTAAGACAAACCAGAAAAAGTGTCAAATCGACCCCCTCATCTGGGAGACGATCACTCCACACTGTAACGCTTGGAGGATCACCACACGAGAAGGTGTCAATACTTTCGAATTAGCCCAACTGCAAACCGAGGCAGACAAGCAGCAGTGCCAAAAAGACTCTGCCACTGCCCCTCCTGCTCTAGATGGAGCCCTCCACATGTGCAACATCTGTGAACATCTGCCGGTCCCATATCGGCCTCTTTAGTCACCTTAAAACTCACCAACCTAGGTGACATCCTTAATAACTCATATCATTGTATCGTAGCTGGATGATTTTCATACTCGATTCAGAGTGACAGCAAAGTAGTAGTAGTACAGTTTGACTACATGAGACAGAGGTCTAAGAGTGGGTAGCTCATTTTAATGGGTTTAAGAGTAAGGTTATAGGGCATTGGAAGGTTTTGGAAGGGTTAAGGTGAAGAGGAGAAAGCCTTATAAAATCTTTGCTCATTGAGAAGAAACTAGATGGTTGGTCTGGTGTATGCTTGGTTAGACAACCTTTAATCTTTTCTCCTGGATGCTAATGTATAAATGAACATTATCCATTAGTGTTCTAGCTAAGGTTAGTAAACTGATTTATGGAGTACGAGATGACTTATATTTGTATGACCCTCAGAACGCATATGATCCTAGCACCACGAACACTACGTCCTGGAGCAGTGTACAGGTGTGTCGTTTCCATCTTGAACCTTGATCATCCCGTCCATGTCAGGGCATCACTACAGAAGGATGGAGTGGAGATTACTTCATCCAAAAAGGATATCATGAAAGGTTATCCTGAGACACTCCTCCTACAGGTTAGCAATATATTTTATGTGTATTATAGTTGTGTTGCATTGTTACTGTTGCTTACAAAGACTGAGGAAAATGCATTAGAGTACAGTACTGTATTTGAGTGCAGAATGCTGCACAGCATACTGTACATGTATATGTTGGTTATATTTTTGTGTCAAATAACCCTTTTTTGAATATTTTGCCCTTTAAAGACATTATTCATGATGTGTTACATGGACAAATTTCAGATGCTGCACCCTGTGCATATGCTGCACAATATTGTGAAAATGCATTTAAGAAGAATAAAAAGTTTGCTAATATATTTGTGGAGAAATAGGATTTTAATTGATGCGTGGCCATGTCAGCAATTTTAATTTTAAACAATCATTCATTAGTTTGTACTCTTGTATAAGCATTCTCTGAATGTAAAAAGTTGATGTTGCTGACCTAAAACTGTCTTTTGAGTGTTTGAGAATGACCTTCCATAGGTGCTTTGTAGGTCACTGTTTTTCTAGCCCAATACCCTGTATGTTGGTAACATGTAGATGAAGCTGAATAGTTTTTTGCAGGAATTGAAACCAATCAATCAACCCTGTGTACTGTCGTATAACATCATTGGGGTTAAGTTAGGTTAAGTAATTTGGGGTTTTTTTTCAAAAAACCGTGTTATTGTATTTTCCAAGTGCTTAAACATTAAACTGTTAAGGCTTCAGGACATCTTAGCACTGAAAGAAGTGGTTTTTTTTTCAGATTAACTCCTAATTGTATTCCAGCCTAAACAGCTTGTGTGTATTTTTGATGAATTTTACAATGTAAATTATTACATCCTGACTAGAAAAATTTCTTTAAGTATATACAAGTGTCAATTATTTAACAAATGGGATTTACACTATGACCAGAGATTTTTCCTGCGTAGATAAGTGACACAGGATCATTTCATGTGTTATTGTGTAGCATGTGTCAGTTGACCATCTGCATATTGATCAAAATGCCCTATGAATATTTAGGAATAAATGCTATTGCTGCCACATACTGTATTACTGAAGCTGGCGGAGATACTAACTGATATATTTTAGCCAGGCGTTGTTAGTGTATTTTGTAAAACTAGGTGTTAGGATCAAAATTGTACAATATGCATTCATGATAGAGACAATAGTATTGTACCTGTACTGTATTACAATTGGACAAGAGGAAGTGTAAACATGTGTGATGGCTACCTTGGAGAGTTCAAGTTTCTGGCCTGTGCAGTGTGTTCAAGTATATTTACCTCTTGGTATGAGTAAAATTTTACAGAGCCATTGTGTACCATATTATCAAAAAGAGGATATATGTAGGGTAATTCAATATTTTGAATGTGGGTTTATTTTGCATGAATTTTCTTTACACTGCCTTTATTGGAAAGCATAGTAAAGTTTGTGTGCAGGTACAGGCATATCTATTATTGCAAACTGGAATCAAATTATTGAAGTACAGTACAGGTAGTACACTTTTGGGAAATTGGAATTTTCACTATTCACACATTAATTATTTCCATATTTATAAGCTTTGTTGTTGCTTGAAGGAATTACAGATGCTAATTGCCAACCAGTCCAATTAACTTGTACTGTACTTAACAGATTCCCAGGACCAGTGTGGATGGGGATTACCGTCTGCGCCTGGAGGGTAACGTGCCAGGAACTGTTGGTGGGACAGTCTTTACAAATGATACTCGTCTTCATTTTTCTACACGTTTCCTCACCATTCTCATCCAAACCAACCGACCTGTGTATACTGGTGATCAGGAAGGTCAGTTGTGTACAGTACTGTAGTACTGTATTTCTGCTCAGCCTCGTGTACAGTCTCCCCTCGACTTATGACATATTCGACTTACGGCAACCTGGACATACGACGGCCATGGTCGTATAAAATATTTTCACATTTCGTATTTTTGAGTCCCAACATTAGTGATCCCGCTGTGTACTGCCAAAATTTTTGTTTGTAATTCCCTTTAAAATGGCTGGCAAGTGTAAAAATGAGAGTTCTCGTGGTGCTGAGAAGAAAAAGAGACACCCATTTTAGAATTTCTATTTATTATTTTCACCTTTTCGACTTACGACCTGATCGTCGGGACGGAACCCCGTCGTAAGTCGAGGAGAGACTGTACTTTGGTCATTTACTCCAGGATGATTTATTTGATCAACTTTAAGGGGAGCGTCCGGCTGAAAATATGATTAAAATCGGAAAAATATGAAAATGTTCAGACAAATTCCCGAGGAAAGTTGTTGCCTATGGCTATATGCTGACATATTTTTACTGTATAATTCATAATATTTATGTAGCTATGCATGGTTGTTATAATCCCCTTCATTTAGAGGACTCTTCTGTTTACATAGGAAAAGCTGTAGAAAAGTATTTATACATACGTACTAATAATATTTTGGTGTTAAGTAATATCAATCACTTGGTAAAAATCAGTATCTGGCACCTTTCTCAGAAAGCTAATCACTAGAGAATGTTGTCACGAGAGTCAGTAACCCATCAAACATGCAAGAGTGAGGTACGATCGTGAGTTGCTCTCACGCCACCTTTATCGGCCCATATCTCAGAACGAGTTTTTCTAGCATTCAAATCCCTAGGGTTCGGCTATTTATGGGCCGATTCTAATAAAACATAAACTAAGTAGTAGAATAACATATTGTGTACGGTTTAACTTATATATTTTCTTTACATTTGGCTTGGTTTATTATTTGCTGAATTATCTTTATAAATATTTGGAGGAAAAAATGGTAAAGAAAAAAAAAATTATGCATTCAATACGAAAGCGATAATCAGAAATATGTATATATTATGTTCAAAAAGAGTAAATTACCTATACAGTATTCCACATGAATTTCAACATAATTTAGCAAGAAGTTATGGAGAAGTAGGATTTTGAAAATTGATAAGAATATAAGGGAAAATTCAGATTAGGGATTAGGCAGAACTGATTCAGGGGTATAATAACAATGTATCTGGTGTCCTTAATTGCTGACAAGAAATTGATATTGATTGATCAATTATTGATGAATTTCGTGCTTCAGCCACACGCTCCCCTTAAAAGAAATATTGTTACTTGTACTTAAATTGGTTCATAGATATACTGTACCAATCATTATACAGGGTAAGTAGTATACTTAAACATACCATACTTGGGGGAGAGAGGGGCATGCCATGGAGCAGCCAGCTACAACAAGAGCTGAAATAGCTACAGTTCTACCATTCACAACTGCAGGCTTCTAGCAACCTCATTATAAACATCCAAAGCACACTGTTTGAAAAAATGGAAGTAGAATATCAAGAAATAAAGAGGTTCTTGGCATTTTTGTGTAGCACTGCAGCGGTGTTTGGTCCCAGCTGAGACTGTCCGAGTTACCTGCTGAACTGTTTACAATGGTTTTCCGGTTGCTTACCAGCTGTAGTAGTTACCAGCTTGCAAAGTACTGACCCGCTTACTGGAACCTTCATTATCACTTTTGGCTTTTGTCAAACTTTTTTCTTTTTTTTTTTCCCCACTTCATATTTTTATCCCCCTCTTCTACATAGTGTGTGTGTCACAGCTCTTGGAGGACCTGAAGGGATAACTCCACCAACCAGCCTCCCGGAGTATGTCTTACACCCTCTCCTGTCATCTGCTCCTCATATTGTACTACACTGCTATCACTCAGAAGATGTTATAAGATGGCCAACTTCAGCGTTTTACCAATGAAAGCATAGTGGAGGCCTCTGGCTTTGAAGCTGAATCTAGACATTAAAAAAGTCATGAAACCAAAGCCAAGGCTTTTCAAGGCTTCATGAAATCTTAACACCATTATTTATATAACACTGTATACTGTACTGGTTTGGGTGGTCCAAAAATTAAAAGTTGGAATTTTAATTTAGACATGTCACCCTAATACCGTTATCCCAAACATGTCTTCAGGCAAAATTTCAGTTCCTTGTCTCAATATTCAAGGGTCCCGCATTTTGTGAACAGTGAGGGTGAACTGCTCTCTGAAGAGGAAGATCTTAAGAGCATAAATGGACTTTGCCATCCATCTGGCTTGGTGGAAAGCCCCAGGTGCCCTGATCTTCACACCTCATTCTGGAATTTGCCCCAAGAAGGTGTATGACAGAACAATGAGTTCCTTGTAATCGTCCCTGAGATGAGCTAGAATTTTTATGAGACTAAAATAACTAAACATTTTGCGGGACCCCTAAACATCATCCAATTTTCTTCAAATTTTATATAAAGCTTCACTAGTGTACATGAAGTGCAACGAGGGCACCATGTGCTCGCTTGGTTCAGACAACTTTCAAATTTTCACCCTATAATTTGGACCATCCTAATACTGGTACTGTATTACCTTATGTTGATGGGAATATGTATGATATTCTGAGGCTTTTGGGTAACCTGACTTTATTTTAAGCTCATTGTTCTTGGATTAAGCTTTGACTCTCTCTATAAGCTGAAAAAGGTTATGTATAGTAAAAATTTATCTTATTAATTTATTTTATTCATAATAAATAAACATAGTAATATACAGTCACAAATCACAGAGAAGCATTGGAACGAATCATCATAGGATTTTCAAAGTACAAAGTGAGCTAATGTCAGGTCAGAACCATTTGGTATCTTTGATATCTTCTTACATTTAGGTTAGGTCCTTGTGAGAATAGACAAGTAGGGATAACTTGTGATGTCAGTGTGGATCTCAGCTCTTTTAAGGTCAGATCAAGGTCACGGGGTCAACTGACATTTGACAAACCTCCCTTAACGTTTACCCTCCCCGGCACTACCTGGGGGTGGAGATTCTGACCTGATTAATCTGTGACAATATGTTCTCATGTCGGCACTGGTCACCGACATGCTGGTCAATAATTTTGGTGCCCGCAGGGACAACCCATGTCACTTGTCAAGTCGTGTCAAAATTACAATGCCTTGTATCTGCCACTAATTTGATACTGTATATGGTATTTGTTTATTATGACCTAAATACAATTATAAAATGGTCAGTGTGTCTGTGTTCAGGTGAAATTCTGAAGCCGAAGCCAAAAAGTATGGCTTTCTGAAGCCGAAGCCGGCTTCAGCCCCATACCAACTGACTTCCACCATATAATCAAGAAGATTGAAGGCATTGGTGGACACACCCTATCCTTCTACTGCTGTGTGTGTGTGACAAAACCACATCAAAATTTTTTTATGTTTCTCCCCGAACTTGTATCATCGAGACTTTGTGTATCTGGATGGGTCTTTTCGCTGCTCTTAGGTGAAACATTCGAGAGAACAACAGGGAATCAATCAGTCAGGACATAATTTACGCAAGGAATATGCAAGTATAAAATATTGTACACAGAGGTTTGATACCTGTACGTAGTAGAACTGGGATGGTAATATCATTTATATTAAGCAATACATTAGCTGGTGGAGAGTGTTTCGTCTAGCCTCATCCCTCACTGAGTTATCCCCCATGATTCGCCCAACTCCATGAATCACAGGGAATCTTACTGGTGGAGAACTTATGGACTATGCAGGAAGTTTTCTGATGGCTCGTGACCACTCAGCTTGGTTTGGATTATCATAAGCATATTGGACTTGCATTAATGCATATTATTGGGTGTTAAAGATGGTGTCATGTTATCACAAAATCATTGTCTTGATGCACAGAAACAAGCAATTTTTCCCTAATATTAAGTATGACTACAACCACCTGAAGAATTTTTAGTTTCTCTCTGCCTTTATCCATTTTATGTGTATATACAGTACAGTACAGTGTAGTATTTGTAATAATTTTGAAATACTGTACAGTACTGTATCTGTATGTATTTTTCAGTTCGTTTTCGGATCATCCTCCTGACCACTGAATTGAAACCTTATGATGATCCTGTAGATGTGTATATCCTGGTATGTATAAACATTTCTTATTGTATTTTTCCCTAAGAGAAAAAAGTGGTGAAAGAAGATAGGATTAAGGCAGTAATATTTTTGAGACATGTTTATTTAACACTGTACAGTACAGTATAATGGTAATATTGGAGCATGAAAAAATCGATTTTTAACGGGTAGTGGATCTGGGTTTTCTAAAAGACTTGTAAATGTTAATTTTTCATTAACAGGATGCAGATGGCTTTGTAATGCGTCGGTGGCCATCTCGACCTACTAATGTGGGTGTGGTGTCCATGTCATTCACTCTCCCTTCCCTGCCCAAAGTTGGCTGGTGGGCAATTAAAGCACTTGTAAATGGTCAGGAAGAACTGAAGATGATCAAAGTGGAGAAGTGGTACACACCACGATTTGAGGTGAGTTATCAAGTACAGTACAGTACAGTAAAGATAAGAGTAAATGAGTATAGAAAAGAAAGTTGGTAAAAAGAATGTGGAGAAATATGGCTGCCAGAAGAGACACCTCTTTTCATATACAATATGTTTTATGACCTTACTATGTTGTACTGTACAGTACATCATTTCAGATAAGTCAAATTTACAAGCACTGTGCAAGATGGGTGTATTTGCTTTTTCAGTACTGTACATATCCTAACTATGGTAAATAGATGCATTGCATTAGGTTGTTTTTCACTTGAATCAACTAGGTTTTTACCTATTCAGGTTTTATGGTGAGTATAGAGTAGGCCTTTTTTTTCTAATGGAACCCAATGTAAAAGATGAGACAGCTTCAGTTTGTGTTGAAGGTTAGAAGCAGGTGACCCAGGAAGCCAAAATGGTTGACACAAAGAGGATTATAAGAATAACCATGAGAGTATTTGGTAATCATATTCTTGCATTTGTTTTAATTGGAAAAATAATGCAGAGAGTTAGATTGTGGAAGAATGTTTTTGATTGTGATAAGATTTCCCACCATACAATGACTTTAGGAGGTCTTCTCCGCAACAAATTGAGACAAGTGCCGTACTTTAGGAGTACAGTACTCTGCTCTTGGATTCCTAAGCCTATTCAAATTCCCTCTCTTAACCTCTTGTGTATGGTGTCGCCACTGATCTTAATAAAATTATCTGGCTTTAGCCAAATAAAACAGTAAAAGTGGCATCCCCGTAGTGAAGGGTTGAATGATTTGGAAAGTAGGAAAGGAAATGGTTATCTGTCCTTTTCCTCAATCTTATAAACTTAATATTCAAGTGTTCCAGTAAGTATTCCTTGTACTTTAGTCAGTGTCTGTAATTGAGTTTTTTAGGAGTCTTATAACTACAGTAATCAGTAAAGAAGCACAGTAAATCCTCTGTTTTATTTCAAAGTTGTTACCCTAAAGGGTTTGTGAAATCATGCAATTGTGGATTTATTATTGAATAGGAAAATAATGGTTAAGGTCCAGAAACTAACAAGACCATCACTTACTGCCAGAAATTTCTATCACTATACCTGTTTTGTATAAAATATATAATCCTGTAAATTTCATCATTTGTACACTAAAACATGAAATAAATAATTAATTTCTTTACGAGTAATTAAGTTAATAATTTATTATTATATTTCTGTGACAAGGAATGGTTACTGTTTATGTTATGAATGCCTCACATCCTCACACTCCCTGCTGCTTCCCACACTTCTTCCTGTCTGTATATTAGTGTATAAATGTATATGGGAATGACTAAATAAATAAAATTATTAATGAATGGCCAAAGAGAATACTGTATTGCAATAATACAAATAAAGGTACAGTATGTTATGGTCTTTAAACATTAAGAGATCAGCCATATAGTTCATTAACCCTTTCTTATTATCAACAGTAAGACAAACCTCATCTTCTCACTGGCCGATGCCTTGTCTAAACTTCACCCACTTGCTGGCTGACAATGCTGAATACATTGGACAAAACTGTGCTTGGAGTTTTGGGTTTAATGTGGTTGGAGTATTAACATAAAATTCTTTATGGACAATTGTTAACTGTGAGTGATGCAAGGGCTTGTGGCTTTACCCAGTACAAGCCACAGGGGGAGGCCTGGGGATTGTCAGGTTCTTAAAAATGTGACTTGCATCATCAGCCAGTGAGAGGGCTAATGTTGGATTTTAATGTAATACAGTGACAATTTAATCTTGGAATCTTTACTAAGTACATGTAGGGATACTACCTTGAATCAGGTACAGACTAGTGTGGAGCTTCCTGAGGGCATGTTAAGTCTCTTTTACAAGAGGTGCTGAGTCTTTGGCCTAACATTGATTACCCTGATGCCTAGAATAAGTTTGCAAGACTGTGTGGCTTTGGGGAGGTTGTAAAGTTAGGTCCTCATGCCTTATTCTTGGAGTAGGGTTAATACTGTACTCCTACTGGAGTGTGTCACATTAGTGTACCTCCTAATGCTTATTTTTTGCCTTCTCAATAATTTATCTTGTGGCTTCCACTATATGATTTACCTAGAGCAGATGTAAGGTCATGAATGATGGATTGGTTCTGGTACAGTATTCCTATTTTGTGACCAAGTGTAGACATGATAGCTTAGTTGCTTTCCCTCCCTGTAATGGGTGTCTTGTGATGTCAGCTGATGGAGAGTGAGTGGGTCATAGAAGTTGCAATATGGCCAACAATAGTGAACAGGCAAAGTGCACACAGTTAATGTGACATTACAACTCATTAGTCTTCTGCTTTACCAAACAAATATTGCTTCCAGATTCCTCTTTTCTTTTTTAGGGCTATGTGTATAACAGGCAGGTGCTGTTTTACTAATCAATGACAGACAGACAGACTTTTACGGAAAATAGTATCAACCATTCTTGTTTACGGTTTATCGGGGTTTTAAACCCAAACACTTAGTCTGAATATACCATACACGATTCATTTAGTCCAGACTCAATCATAAGATGCAATTATAAGAATCATTGTATATGATTTTTAGTTGTACAGTAACTCTAGGTAGGCTTATATGGGTAATTGAGGTCATCTGTTCATCTGTTTACAATTAAAATTTATGCAGTTATTTACTTAGTAACAGATTCGCCTGTTTTATTTATTTGCAGGTGAAGTTGTTCATGCCAAAATACTTCCTGGAGACTGAGGAAGCAATCACAGGTGTCGTGGGAGGAGAATTTGGTAATGATAAAGGTGCATATGGTAATGCCACTCTCAAACTTTTTGCGCGAAACAGGATACAACCTGACTGGGTCTTTGTTATGGAAGAAGATTTTGCTCCGGTAAGTTTTCATTAAACTTATTTCCTCTTATAGAGTTAAAAGTAACTAAACGTATACCTGTATAAACTTTGTACAGTATACACAGCACAGTACATGCATTTTATAATTCATTTCATTTATTTACTTCATCATATATGAGATCTTACAGGCAATCTGTTGCTGCAGTCATACAGTTTTCTCAGATTTATTGTTTGTCATACCATGATAACACTGACTGCCATACCATGATAACACTGACTGTCATACCATGATAACACTGACTGTCATACCATGATAACACTGACTGTCATACCATGATAACACTGACTGTCATACCATGATAACACTGACTGTCATACCATGATAACACTGACTGCCATACCATGATAACACTGACTGCCATACCATGATAACACTGACTGCCTTACCATGATAACACTGACTGCCATACCATGATAACACTGACTGCCATACCATGATAACACTGACTGCCATACCATGATAACACTATGACTGTCATACCATGACAACACTGTGACTGTCATACCATGATAACACTGACTGCCATACCATGATAACACTATGACTGTCATACCATGACAACACTGTGACTCTCATACCATAATAACACTGTGATTGTCATACCAGGATAACACTGACTGTCATACCATGATAACACTGTGACTCATATAATGGTAACACTGTGACTGTCATACCATGACAACACTGTGACTCTCATACCATAATAACACTGTGATTGTCATACCAGGATAACACTGACTGTCATACCATGATAACACTGTGACTCATATAATGGTAACACTGTGACTGTCATACCATGACAACACTGTGACTCTCATACCATAATAACACTGTGATTGTCATACCAGGATAACACTGACTGTCATACCATGATAACACTGTGACTCATATAATGGTAACACTGTGACTGTCATACCATGACAACACTGTGACTCTCATACCATAATAACACTGTGATTGTCATACCAGGATAACACTGACTGTCATACAATGATAACACTGTGACTCATACAATGGTAACACTGTGACTGTCATTCAATGGTAACACTATGACTATCATACAATGGTAACCCTGTGACTGTCATACAATGGTAACACTGTGACTATCATACAATGGTAACCCTGTGACTGCCATACAATGGTAACCCTGTGACTGTCATACAATGGTAACACTGTGACTATCATACAATGGTAACACTGTGACTATCATACAATGGTAACCCTGTGACTGTCATACAATGGTAACACTGTTAGGCTGTTGTAATGGTAATCACTTCATCTGAAAGTCAGGAGGTAATACTAGCTCACAGCCCCTCCGTATTCTTACAACTTATTGAACAAGAGTCTTGACTCATTGTCTATACTTTTATTGACGTAAAGAATCACAGTCTTGTAGAGGGAAGGATGGTAGAAATTAATGCAAGTGGAAGATAAGTGAAGAAATACAATTGAACAATGAGGAGAGAATGAATGAGAATTGAGAAGAGAAAGAGAAGGATGTGACACAAGAATGAGAATTACCATTAAGAGTTTTGAGAATACTACTGTATGTACTGTATTACAATGTATGTTAGGTGAGTAAGTGTAAGATGGTTGTATATTCTTTTATGTTACTATAATATCTATGTTATTTCAGTTTGATGGAGAGGATGAATTTAACTTTCCAATGGAGGAAATATCCAACAAGATTGGCTTACTAGATGGATCAGAAATTCGTATTGAAGCTGAGATTCAGGACACATTTATGATGATCAATGAGACAGGTTACTCAATGACCAAGATCATCAATTCGTCTGTCGACTGTCGCTTCTTAGGATCTGCTCCATATGTATTCAAGCCAGGAATGCCATTTGAGGCTTCTGTAAGTTGAAAAGTGGCAAATTCTCTTAGTTAGGTAGTGGTATTAGTAAACCTAAACTGACATGTCTTGTGGTTGAAATAATACATATTTTTCACCTGCTAAATACAGTTTTGCAGTACTGTACTGTACTAAGGAGAGAAAGTTGGGTTGTCCGAACAGACTAACAATTTGTACTTGCCCGTTGATGTTTTAGATTGTCTGAGGCAAGCTGACAGGGTAATATAGTATTTTGATGCCTGATATATTATTCAGTAGGAAATCAGAATTTGTAAGTAGAGTAGTCCAGTAAACCAAGTAAGTCTTCTTCAGGGCAACTTTCTTAAGGGTTTCATGCCTATATGATTAACTAAATAGTCTAGTTCCCTTTTTTTCCTACATTCAATTTTGCTTCACATAATACAACTAAATCTTTATCAGGTATTTTACATTTGGCTTATTTTCTGAATCATTAAAATTCCATTCGTTAATACCCTGTATATGGGATTTTTTGTATCCTGAAACAATTAACTGATGTAATTATTAAGTAATATTGAAATTAGCCAAAACATGAAGAAATAATCATCAATATTTAAGTAGACAACTCAAGCAAGTGTGTTTATGCAGGTCGCAGTCTCTTATCATGACCTTCAACCGCTGGGTGAGGAAAAGTTGCATGTCTCCAAGCTTGTGGTGAAGGCTGAAGCTGTGTCTGAGTCTGGCGGCAGAGAGACAATCTTGACCATAGAGGTGAGCAGCCTTACTAAATTATAGACATGTTAATATTGGCCTTGTTTTATATGTATCATCGTAAGCCTGTCATGCTTTTCATGTTTTTAAGATCACAACACAAGTCTGTGGAATTAGTTAATTTCAGAAAATAATGTTACAGTATTATTATCAGCATAAGGGGTATCTAAAGTTAAATGGTTTAATTGTCAGTTTATAGAGAAAACTGTTAAGTGGTATATATAGAGTACTGAAAGGTGTTGGTGTTGAATATAAACAGTTGATGTTGTAGAGTATTGTTAATTGTCATCATCATAGGACATGTATATTATATGGTATGTGTAGATGCAGAAGTCGCTACAGTACTGTGATTAATATTCCACAGATCCCACAAGTAAACTCAGAAGTGGAGGAAGATGCATTCCTGGAGTCATCTTGGCTCTACAACAAAAGGATGCAAGCTATTCTGGCTAAGGACCCAACTTATAATATTGAAGATTATGACTATAACTACAATTTTGACTATGAATCTGGAGCACGTTACTTGACAGAAAATGAACTAGTGGAGAAGAAGCTGGAGAAATTCTTAAGAAGTCAGCAGTTTCAGGTAGCCCAAACTGGATGTCTAGTTTTTAAAAGATCACTCTTGTGCCTAATGTGCCTCAAAAGTAGAATTCATCAGTTGAAACTATTCTTTAAAAGGCACCTAATATAACGAAGTGTGTATTAGATGCCTGGTAAATATGAGAATAGGTGATACAGGAATACCCTAAAGGTTGAAGGTAGATGCTTCACCTACCTACATAGGTGAGATGGATATAGAAAGAGGGGTCTTTTAATTCTCAGTGTTTTTGGAAAGACTCATATGTTAAAGTAGTTTTAACAGGCAGCAGCTTATTCACCATGGGTAATTTCTCTAGTTCTTAGAATTGATACTTCCTGTATGTATGTGTGTTATTCATAAGGAGAATTTATATATGAGACATGTATAACCAGAGTGGATAAAGCACCACTATGGTCAAAATCAAGATTTATTCACAAAAAGATAAGGAAACTACCTCTGTACCCCACTACGTGTAGGGCTGGCGGTGAGTGTGGCAAGCAACAGATCACAGAGAGGAAAGTGCCAGAGGTCACCTATTTTTTTTTTCTGGCACTTTGTCCACTCTGGTCGTACACGACTCATATATCAGATAGCTATAATGCATTTTACATTTACTAACACTTTTCTTTCCTTCAGAAATACCGTGAAAAGGGTGTGTTCCATTTTACAGTGGATGTGCCAGACAAAACAGCAAAGCTCACTTTAACCGCCTCTTATCAGGATGACTTGGGTTCAATTGCTTCGGCAAATGCCCAGGCAATTGCTTTCTATTCATCAAAGGTGGGTATATTATATTTGGAAACATCTGTTACTTAGCACATCATTCTGTAATTTTGGTCCATTATATATATATATATATATATATATATATATATATATATATATATATATATATATATATATATATATATATATATATATATATATATATATATATATATATATATATATATATATATATATATATATATATATATATATATATATATATATATATATATATATATATATATATATATATATATATATATATATATATATATATATATATATATATATATATAATTACTAAAAAAATAAATACAAAAATGTTAAATGCTTGAGACCTGATCAGGTTTTGTTAGCAACACAGTAAAAATGCAAATGCTGTAAGATGAATGATGATAAATAAAAAAACAGTACATGATGTTATGCAGATAAACTTGCAGTCAAGATTTTCTCAGATGTACATTATCCATCATCAGTAAGTGATTTGTTAACTCTAAGATAGCTTAACATGCCTGTGGGTGTTATTTGTCTCATAAACCATATTCCAGACTGTCAGAGTAAGTTTTAGAAGTTAATACCTGTACTTCTTTGCAGAACACTGAATCACTCTTTAATTAATTTTAAATTCTTTACTGTACTGTACTAGCACAACTCAGTAAAACACAGTGAATTGGAGAATCAATTGATACTGTATACATAATTAATGAATGTTGTTCATCATCATTTTCATAATATTTTTATATCCCACAGAAACAATATATTGGTGTAGAAACAAGCAGCAAAGGAGTCACTGTTGGTGAATTTGTGGTTTTTCATGTCCGATCTAATTTCAACATAGACTCCTTCCACTACCTTGTAAGTTCTACTGAGCTCTGTTGTTGTAACTTAATATTAGATTCTTGAATTTTTTGTCGATATTAATTTACAGCTTACAAAATTTGACCTGTATTTAAGCATAATCAAACGATGCTCTAGTTATTATGGCCTGTGGGTCCTCATAAGTGATTTGCTGAGATCCAGCCATTCAGCACCAATAGGTAGAGCCTACCAAATACCCACAGGATTATTTGCCTAATTGCAAGATATTTGTACGTCCTTGCACTTATTGTTTCTATTTTCAACTGGAGGCATAACAGGTTTCTCATCCTATAGATCCAAAGTTTGCTAGATCTGCAGTTTGGAAAACAGGTCAGAATGTCTTTTACTAAGAGATTCATTTGCTTTTTAAACACAATCCACATTCCAGAATTGTTTCCCATGTGGGTTTTTGTTCATTGGATACTTCATTGTCCAAATATTTTCTGTTTTTACTTGTCATGTGCCATATAATCTGCACAATTTCTTCAGATATTAATCAGGCATTTACTAAGCAATATTCAAATACCCTATGCCACCCCTCAAAGTTTGTTCACAATTATCAACTTAGATTTCATTTTTGCATGTACCAACTCATAGTCAAGCAGTCCTCAATATTCCTAATTTTTTTCCTCCATGTTTACTTAGGAATTTCATTTTTGTTAAGCCATGTGTATTATTATTAGTTTCCATTTCCATTAATTTTTGGCACTATTTTACCTCACAGTCCCTCCACTTTTCAATTAACATCTCTTGCATCGGGGGTACAGTAGTAGGACATACTTGTATACCTCTTACCACTGTGTCTTGGGTTAGATGTGAGAAGGGTGTTATCCACTGTGACCCTATCAAGACATGCAGATTTTTTCCAGGTACTCCAGTGTCTTTCTACTCTAACACAGTACTTTAAAGGCCACAGCAAAGAACAAACTGGTTGTCCAATTTGCTAGGAAGCTGATAATTGGTGGAAATGATGAAAAAGGAAAAAAATAACAACCTCTTCATTATTTGTTCTAAAGCTTTCATTACAATTGCTGAGGTTTTGTTAAGACTTGTTTCTGTCCTACTCATTCACCTCAGTAACTGTACTGTACTGTACTGTATTCACAATGACCTGCCTCTCCCTACTTTTTATCTAATATAGCGGAGTTGCAATTATTTGCTAAATACAAATTTGTGTACAGTACTTAAATTCTCAGGTACCTGTATTACTACCTCATTTTTTTATATTTAGTGGTCAGATATTCAAATTTGCAGCCAAGCGCTGGCTACATAAGAAATCATAAAAGTTGTGGAAATATCATTTCATTGCTCTAATATGACTTAGAAATAAAGAAAATACAGTATTGTGTATAATATAAAAAACTATAGAATAAGAATAATGAAAAGTGGGAAGTGAATTGTTTTGGGACCGAGATTATGTGCGGCCACCCCTCCCCATTCCCAAGTGTTTGGCACCTCTCCAATTTCATTAATAATTGTACAGTATTATGCAATTTCACCATAAATCCTATGTTATTTAGGTTCATTTTGTACTGGGTTAATTAAACATTATTGTAAAGTACTGAACCAGGTAATATATTTTCATAAAAAAAAATCCCACACTCAACCCCAGATGAGTTACTATGTACTGTAGTATTAAATTCGTGGTTCTTTGTTGAAATAGCATGGTCACAGTCAGTTCGGCACCTGCCTGTCTTGATGTTGGTGTATTGGCATAACCCACATAAAATTATGAGAAGGGAAGGACCTGTTAATATAATATAAAACTACTCTTTGTACAATATTTATGTTATTGTATTTTTTATGTGATATTATTAAAGCAGTTTTGGAACAGTTTATAGGTATTTCAAGGCCTCTGGAACCAAATCAGTTATTTTCATTTAAATAAATTACACTGCAATTCACGATTTGATAATTCACGATCTCTTCTGGTACCTAACCCGTGAATTATTAAGACTCCACTGTATACAGTACTGTACTCTGGAAGTGACCCCTCATATTCTAATGTATTTACTCCTCATAGCATCCCTCAACATAACCATCACACCCTCTTTTACCTTATTCTCACAGACAGACACTCCCTTGTCCCCAACTCACTTTTCATTCAGTTCTATGAAATATGAAAATTTTATTTCTGTTTTAACAGATTATGGCAAAGGAGATGATACTGTATGCTTCAAAGGAAGAATTAGACAGAACTAGTCGGTCTAGTGTGAAGACAGTCTCGGTTCCAGTGAGTTCAGAGATGGCACCAGCATTTAAGATTATAGTGTATCATCTCACACAGAATTATGAGATTATTTCAGATTCTCTCACTGTCCCAGTGGATGGTATTTCCCGCCACAAGGTAGAGTAATCTTTCTCCATTGTAGACCTCTTTATCATGATGTATGTTTAAAAAACTGTCTTGGGGTAATATTTTGTGCCTTGAACTAAGAATACTTGTTGGAACACTTAAAGAACATATTTGGTGTTAAAGAATTATTATGCAGTATAAATGTGTGTGATAAGGACATGGTGTTTGTATTCATCAGAATACTTTCATTTCTGATATTTGTTCAGAGGGTGAACTACTAGGCAATTGATGAATACTGGATAGTAATTTATTATCATTAGTTTTAACTTCTTTTCGTGGTCTAGACATCAATAAAAGGCACATTTCATATATTTCTGATATGTAGTGTGATAATTAAGATGGAATATCTATGATGGTTTACTAATTTCTATATACTGTATGTATTTTTTTTTACATAATTAATTCATCAATAGGTGATTTAAATACAGAACATAAACTATAGACATTTGTTCCTTGAATGGTTCAGAGAATATGTTTTAACCCCTTCACTATGAGGACACCACTTTTAATATATTTTTTGGCTAACACCAGATGATTTTATTCAGCAGAGAGTAGATTCCATACACAAGTGGTTAGATAGTTTGAGAAACTTCAGTTTAAGATATTAATAAAAATACTAATATCGTTAAAGTCTTAAGGTTATGACCAATTTGAGAATACCTACTCGGTAATCAATAACTCAAGGGGACACTAATAAATGTACTGGTCACGTAAAAATAATTGTAGAGTCACCGGTTACCATAAATATATAAATATCCTCCATGCTATGTTGAATTGGGCGAATAAATTCAACACATTAACCAAGATAGATCTAAATAGGGTGCAACAGAATTATAGCTACTGTACTCATCAAATTAAAGGTGTTCCACCTATGTTCAGTAATAAATAAAGGTTTGAGATCTTACCGGTCAGTGAAGGTTGTTCTTGTCATGTGGTAAGGCCAAAGGTACAAGCAGCATAGGAAAGAGAACTTTGTCATGTACTGTAAATAGATAGCTGTAGGCCACTAACTGGTGCAAGATGTGTACCTGTTATTGAACTGTATAAATAATAATAACAAATGTTTTAAAAATTTTAACTAAATCTCATAATAATACCATAAAAAGTGAAGATAATTAATGCAGAAGAACTTTTAATGCACTTATTCATAAGTATCCTTATTCACTATGTTACTTATAAGTAAGACCCTTCTTGTAACAGTTATCACAAATAAGATTAATTCACTGTTAAATCTTCAAAACTGATGTGAGGGTCATAGAGCAGTACAGTATGACATCCAGGGTCTCCAGCCTGTGCAATTTTTAGAGTTCTGTATAATTGTAAACACCTCTATATAAGTTAACATTTAGGTATAAAACTTGTAATATTCATCATTTATTTTGTTAGGTGAAGTTGGTGATGAACCAGGACAAGGACCACAGTATTCGCTCAGTGGAGATGGGTGCTTACAGCACACCAGGAGCCTTTTACGGTGTATCAGGAGTACGAGAGTTTACTTATGCCATGAGAGGTGGGAATGAGCTGTCCCATGCCTCTGTGCTTAACTCTCTACATGAGTTCTCCAACAGCACCAGGTATGTAAATGTTATCCCAATAGGCACTAAAATCCCCAATAATGTTCTTCGTGCATCAGTATGTTTGTTTTAGAAAATATTTGGCATAATTTTTATACTGTAGAAATAAAAGTACAGTACAGTAGTTTGCATGGATTGGATTAAACACATCCATTTAAAATGTGAGAAATATAACTAACTTAGAAAACACACTACAGTAGCTTAATAGAAAAATATTTACTGTACAGTAAGTTTTCGCTTAATGTCAGGGTTACTTTTCTAAAAATGCGACATTATACGAAACAACGTTAAGCGGATAAATTTTCCCCTTAAGAAATAGATAAAATACAGGAGTTACATTCCTGAACCTTCCTTTGCCCCATGAAATACATTACATACAGAAAATCATTGCCATTTCTGTAGAAAATAGTGCATACATAAACAACTACGTACTAAGTTTGTATTGGTACTCACCGATGGGCGGAGATGGTAGAGCGAGTGTGTGGTGGGTAGTGAAGCGGAGGAGGCAGATGGAGGGAGGGGAGGAGTGTAGCGGGAGCATTGTTTTGTTCCACCCCTGGTGTAAACTGCTATGGATCATTTGAAAACATGATTGTGCTTGAAAAGCATGGTTAAACTATTTTTGCTGCATTGTTCTTTCAGTACAGTATTCTTCTTTCTCTCTTTTTGCCTCTTTGTTTTCATGTTGTAATCTTTGTGTGTTTGAGTCCTTGCCTCTGTACCTCTATCTTTTTTATAACCGTGTTTGTGTGTTTTTGTTACTGTTTGTGTCTTGCTTGGTATGTTTGCATGACATAGATAACTCGCATGTCCTCAGGTCTGTCCACAAAATGACATGGAGGTACCGTGACGGCTACCAGCCTGAGGAGGTTGAGTACTACACTGCTGGCAACTATGGTCCGGATGCAAATAGGACCTTTGAGTTTAATGGAGTTGTTATATTCACTGATGCTGTTGTAGGTGTCATTCCTGGTTATGCTGGTAAGTTGTGGTAAAATAAAAATTATTTGTTGCATAGGTTACTGTGCTTGATGTACATACATCCATGTACCTTCAATTTTATGGTATTTAAATGTAAGTACTGTAGCTATTTTAAAGGAACAAATATAGGGTGTCTACAAAGAATGCATTCACACTGCCTTATAGATTTATATGGAGTTTGCTTGATTGCTTGTATTACATTAGCAATATTGTATTTTCCTAATTTGTGGGATATCTTGCATATCAACAAGTGAGGACAATGCTGCTGTCCTCATGGAAATCTGTAAGGGATTTTTCTGAGACATCCTGTATATTTGTTTTGGATATATAGAATGGAATATGGTGACATAACCCTTACTAGTTTTGTATTGAATGAAAACATGATATAAGTTTACCACAAAAATGTAAATCTTGGATCATCTGCTTCACTCAGAGTCAGTATATTATAAGTTAACATGGTAATATGTGTTTAACCATGAAATCATTACAACTGTCTGTACTGTTTGGTATTTATATTTTCAGAGAGCAGATGTAATGAAACAGAAGGTTATTCTCGTTGTCTTGTTGGTGGCTGTTATGCAACCGTGAAACGATGTGATGGTTTTGTTGACTGCACTGATGGCTTTGATGAGGTGGATTGTGAGTACAGTGGACAGTGAGGATCTAGCCAATATTATCATGATGAAACAGTTTGTTTTAGTAGAGATGCAATTATGGTGAGTTTTAAAGTGTGTTGTATCATCTTCGGACAAGTTGATAATCCTTCTTGCTGATTTTACATAGATGTAGTTAATGCTACTCAGCCTCCATAATATTAGGAAGAGTGGCTGAAGGATATGTGAGTACAGTACTGTGTTTATATTGGAAGTCACAAAATTATTATTGAAAACTAAGTTTAGGGAGAAAGATCAGTGCACCAAGATGATAAAAAAGTATTTGTTTGTGAGTTTGTTTATTTCTGGGTTTACTGTTTCACACATTAAAATTATTCATCTGTTTCAGGTTTTGATCCGCTGGAGGACAGGGAGTTGGATTACCGCATTCATCGCTACGTTAAATTCTCTGACTTTTTTGATGCAGAGGATGGTGATTGGCTCTGGCTTGATATGAATATAGGTAAAGCTATATATTTATTATGTTATCTACATTTTGCTATTTAAGCAATAACTACTGTACTGTAGGGTAGTACAGTACTTCTTAAGTGTTGTTGAATTAGGGAAATCTGAATAATCAGGTACAGTATTTTCAGTTTGTACTAAAAGCTTGCCTTAACATTCAACAATGTGACAGACAGTAATATGATGTTCTTTGAAAAAGTAGTTGTAATATGAAATTAAAATTAACTATGTGACACAGTACAGTACATCATATTTTACTTTAGAATCCTTGTGTTACTAGGTAAGCACAATTTACCTTTAAACTAGACTACAGTAATATCTCCGTTTGCCAGAATCCCTCAAACCTGGAAATCTCCGATAGCCGGAATTGAAATTTGCTCGGAAAATCATTCCCAAAGCTGGAATTAAAAAAAATTCCGGCTTTGGGAAAAAATTTTCCAGGTTTGAAAAACGAGAGAATTTTCTGAAAATGTCTTAAATAAAGATGAAAGTTAAAGTATTTTTTTGGGTGGGGGACCTGACCTGACCTGACCTGACCTGACTCAATGTCAGGTGGAGGTAGGGTCGGGGATTAATGGTCTCATATTACTGTACTGACCTTCTGATGGAATGTCAGGTCACCTTTCTTGGCTGAAGGATTAGTGGGTCTCATGACCTGAAGATGTCTTGAATAAACATGAAAGCTAAAGTATTTTTAGGGAGATTGTGATAAGTATAAGTATAAATGAGCAAAGTTGTATCCTTTCAACATTACATTACACAACATTTTAAAATATGGAGTGAGAAAGCAGAAAAGTGTGGGTGATTAGAGGGATGGAGTGGAAAAGAGTGGTAACATGCACCAGTGTTGCCAAGCGATAAGCTCCTCAACAGCTGATCTTTTAATTCGCCTACATGCAGTCACACAACAAGACCCTCACTGGATGCTTGTTGTCTTAATTCTTGTGTGTGTGTGTGTACTCAAATGTACTTAGTTAATTACTAAAATCCTAATGTCTGGTGCAATATAAGGGATGTTTATACTCAAATTAATCACTATCTTACAAGAATTTCAGCAATGCAAGTTATATTTTCTTAGTCAAAGCAGTGACATTTTAGAAGGGAAAAACTAAACACCTTCATTTAAAATCCTTGAGCAAGTGTTAATCTCCCCTCCTGGGAGAAGGGTCGGGGGGGTAAAAGTAACCACGACAACCCCCCTCCCCCCCACAAAAGGTCCCCCATTGTGTTTATTATTTATTTGTTTTTCATTAATTAGTGCAGATGTGTTACTGTAATAATCTGTGCTTATTAATACTTAATGCCTGTACCATTTATATACAATACAGTATAGTATTGTACTATGTATATACCTCAGGTAAAACATGTAATTCAAGACATCTTCAGGTCATAAGACCCACCAGTTCCCCTCTGTGTGTGTGTGTGGGTGGGTGCGTGCGTGCATGCGTGCGTGCGTTTTTTTTACTAAAATTATTAATCTTATTGGAAACGTTTGGTAGAGAATTTATTAAGGATCATTATGGTATCAAATTCATCTCCATCACAATTAGTCACGCTTGAGTGAGGAAGGGGGGGGGATGACCACTCGACCTTACCCTCCAAAAAGATTCTCTGCTTCCGTCAACACACCAACACCACCTACACATCACACACAAACACACCCTACACACACCCTCACACACACACACACACACACACACACACACACACACACACACACACACACACACCGCAACACCACTCACACACCCCCAGCACATCTGCATGTGTGTGACTGCATGGTCACTTCTTCTGTACATACACTACATAACATTAAATAAAAGCTACATACAGTATTTTTTACGTTAATTTTACTACATCTACAACCATCGTTAGTTGAAACTTTAATGTACACAATAAGCTCTAATACCCACTCATTTCGTCCCAAATATTAATGGATAATTGCTTTGGAAAATCCCTAAATGGCAACTGGAAGCTGACAGGAATCAGTCCTGTCTATATGGTATTCTATGAGATACCTACTGCACCCCTCCCTCAACAAGAGATCACTACACATACGTGTATACGTAGTTCATGAAACACAACTCAACTTGTGGCATGCTGGATGACTTATTAATGGTATAAAATCAAGAGATTTTCTGGGAATTTGTTGAATATTCGTACTTATAAAGTATTTATGAAAAAATAAAAATAATGATGGACCATCCAACTTTTTCCACTTTATAAACCTATTACTATTTCTAATTTCCATTCATTTTTATTAATGTATTTTATAAATTTTGAGAAAAGGGCCCTAGCTATAAATTCCAATATAGTACAGCGATACACACACCACCAACATTTGTTATATTATGTATTTTCATCTGATCCTGCCACTTAAGGTGTATGTTTTATCATTGATAATATAAAATATTAAAGACTGTGTTATAACATCTTGTTAAAATCACACAGGAAAAAGGGGAAAAAATGGAGCACTTTAGCTTTCGTCTTTATTCAAGACATCTTCAGAGGCAACTGAATTACATGGACTAAGACTGAGAGAGGCTTATGTACACAGGGTGACCTTACAAATCATGAGGTCAGGTCAAACACATGACAACCACTAATCCACACACCACCACCATCGCAAACATAAGAGGAGCTTATAAGAGTGGGTGATGTAACTAGTCATGTCAAGTCAGATAAAAAGTATGAGACCCACTAGTCATCTATCCTACATCTACCTCGAATTCTTTCAAAGCAATTTTAACCTTGGGCCACTGACAAATAAAGTTGTGTAACATAGTTTTGTGCTGACCATCACTAAGGTTTATAGAATTCATTTCCCTAATCAAACTTGCTTCAACCAGAAGTCTTTCTGTGACACATGATGATTTATACACTTCTAAACTGTTTTCCCAATCTATGGGATGATTATTGTTCCTTATTATGAACTGTTCTATAACATGTATAGAAAAATTACGAAATATTGCGTCATGCTCCCGGGTCCTTTTGTGTTGGAGGTTTGTTGAGGAAGGGAACTGACCGCACACCTCCCCTAAAAAAGGTTCCTGCCTCTCTCCATTCCTCCCCATGCCTGCCATTCCTATTGTAAATTGTTTTACTTTGTTTTTTATTTATTAATTAATAAAGATATGTTTACTGTAATAATTTGTGCTTAATGTGTTTAATATTTTATATTAACCATGATAAAACATGCACCATAAGAGGCTCATCATTGGTGAAAAGGGGAGTGCCAGCCTCCACCTGGCCTCCCTCCTGCTTCCCTCCAACTCAGTGTCTCACACAAAAGAATGTAAACTAGATGTTGTGTGTGTGTATGATGTGGTGTTGGGGGTATTAGTTAATGAATAATAAATAAACAATATTGTATTGTTAATGACAGTACAGTAGTTTGATGAATAGTAGTGACAGTTGTAGTGCACTACTATTCATCAAACGCCTGTCATTGACGATACAATATTGCTTATTTATTAATTAATACCACAACATCACACCCAGACACCCTAACACCACCCACACACCCCCATATTGTATGACATAAATTTATGCATGGTTAACTACGGGTGGTGAATTAAAAGATCAGCTGTTGAGGAGCTTGGCAACACTGGTGCATGTTACCACTCCGTTCCACTCTATCTCTCTAATCACCCACGCGTTTCTGCTTTCTCATTCCACATTTTAAAATCTAATGTAATTTAATGTTGAAGGGATATAATGTGATAAGTGTAAGTATAAAAAACATGTATTTTAGCTTTCATGTTTATTCAAGACATCTTCAGGTCCTCAGATTCACTAATCCCCCACCCAACAATAGGTGACCTGACATTGCATCAGGTCAGTAATATAAGATCACTAATACCCCACCCTACCTCCACCTGACATTGTGTCAGATCAGGTCAATTACACGAGACCCACTAATCCCCCACAGCTCTAAGGGAGTGGAAAATACCAGTCCTTGCTGTAACACACAGCTTCATTCACGACCATATATAGATTTTTAGTTTACTCTTGGAAAACTCCCCAGCACACAAAAACATTCTGAGGATGTGGGCTAGTGTTTGTCTGTGCAAGATGCATAGTTTAGACACTCGGAAAGTTTTTTCCAGTAACCGGAAATATTTCTGGGGATGGGGGATTTTTCCGGGTTTGAGAAAGTCGTCTTGTTGGCCGGAAATCTCTCATCCCTGGAAGTGCTCTGCACCAATTGTTCCGGCTAACGGGGATGTCACTGTACAGTACCTCTATTCATCGTGTATTTATTCCCTCAGGTCACAAGGGACATGAGCAGAATAATATTGAACTGCCCAAGGTGGATGACCCATATGTACTTAATGCATTCAGTGTCAGCAAAGAATTTGGTTTTGGGCTCATTGACACTCCACAAGAAGTAAGACTATTGATCATTTATACAGTAGTTCATTTGATATACGTACCATAGTCTTTGTGCAGTGTGCTGTTTTGCATGTATTTTGTGTGTTATTTTTATGGGAATTGGTGTATGTGTCATATTGTGTGCATCTTGTGTATCATATTTGTTTTAACTATGTTGTGAGATTTATGACTCTAAACTGTGTGTACTCTTGTGTAAGTTCAGTATTGTATTGTATTGTGTTGTCTGGTGTGTGTACAGTATTCTGTAAGATTTGTTTTACTGTTTTCTTATTCTGTATTTTCTTGTGTGTTGTGCTCAGTATTGTCTATTGTTAGTTAGCTCTTGTGTATATGTACAGTGGTCCCTCGGTTAACGAGCACAATCCGTTCCAGCAGGTTGCTCGTTAACCGAAACCATTGTTTCAATGAGTTTTTGGGTAATTGGTTCCAGCTCACCGAAAATTGCCTAAATTCAACAAAAAAGGTAGAAAAGTACACTTACTTTGAGGTGTGTATGTAGAAGGCTCCTGGATGATGATGATGGGAGTTAGAATGGGGATAGAGGAGAAGGGAGAAGAGAAGGCATTGGGGTGGAAGAGAAGTCACTCCGTGGTGCCATTTCACCCATAAAATTTTAGTTCTCTTGGTGCAATTCAAGATTATTTTCTTTAAATCAACACTGCACTGCATTATATATTGTCAATATGTAAAATAAATTTCAAAATGACCAATAATTTGCTTGGAAACACAGAAAAAACCTTTTAGTTGAAGAGAGTCTCAAGCAAGATGTTACCTCCACTGAAAAGACAGAGTGACTGGCGCCTGTTTGGTGTGTTGTCAGGCTGGATGGCGCTCATGAAACTAGTTTCCCTCCTTTCAATTATGTTCAATAATTGTTAAAATGACTAAAAAATTTAATATTAAACTTTTAAAATTATTGAATAGTATAAACTTCTTGATATTTACTAAAATCGTAAGGAATTTAAGCCCTAAAACCGATTACTGTATTGGCGGACTAATGCTACAGCTGGTGGACCGCCAAATGCAAGTGAAAACATATTGAGGTCGGCTCGCAAAAAGCTCGTTAATCGTGGGATTGCTTGTTAACCGAAGTTAAGAATCTTAGGGAAGGTAAATCGTTAACCGAAATCTCGTTAACCGAGGCGCTCGTTAACCGAGGGATCACTGTACATATTTTACCAAGTGTGTTTTGTAATCTGGTGTGATTGATTTACTAACACCAGCAGCCATTGAGGTCACATGGGCCCATCCCAGTAGGTCCACTTTAACCTAACCTAACAAATATAACTAAAACCCAGTCTTATTATGCTGCAGACAAAGTATATGCTATGTTCTGATTGGTTCATTTTTTTTTATATTATCAATGCCTAAGTGTTGATTGCAGAATTGTTTTGTGGAAGAAATAAATAAAAGTGACTTGTTACAGTGTCTGTGACTATGACACTATACGTACAGTCGAAGTCAAAAGTCTTGAACACTTGACAGTAGTTGGCATGTAAGTACCCAAAGATCTTGGGTATTAAGGAGAGTTTTATCCCATTTTGTGGTTTAGGCATAATATGTGATGACAAGTAGTGTTATCAGTATATCCCAATCATATATATATATATAACTCAGAAGTAGATGCCAGATATTGCCAAGTGTTCAAGACTTTTGACCCCGACTGTACATACAGCTAGTAATCACCATCAGTCAGGCTGTAATGGGTGGAACATCTGACAGAGTACGTAGTTCTATTGGTAGATTTTATGAGTTTTTGTGAGATTTCATTTGGTTAGATTTAGTTATGAGATTATATTTGTTTGATTCATATAATTAACCTCAGAACCACTTCTTTCATAACTCTAGCTGAGCACAGCCTGACTGACAGCTGATGACAGATATTAATTGTTTTGTGGGGAGAGCTGGATGGGTTTGGTTCATAGTTGTAATATAATGTTCTGTCATTTAATTACATAAGGAATTCTAATCAAGACAGCTCCAATAATGGAAGTGGAATAATTTTGTGGTTGAACATCAAATCTCAAGTGGAGGAAATGGTTTATATAGCAAAGCAAGTTGCTGTGTGTGTGTGTTTTAAGTATATTTTTGTTTTCAGTATTCTGCAATGCCACCGATGTATATCAGCTTAGAAATGCCTGATTCTTGCCGACGAGGAGAACAGGTAAGGCACTATGCGTATCTCTTCATTCTTTCACATTAAGAGTGTGGTTGAATAATGACAAAATCTACAATAGTCAAGAATTTTGAATAACTAAAGTGCAGGGAAACACAAGACACAATGCAAAACACATACTACTGTACACTTAATACTATACTGTAGTCTCAAATGTCGTGCAGTAATTGCCTTCCACCATGTAGCTCTCATAATAGAGGACTACTTTTGGGGGAGTTTTTGATATTTAGATACAGGGTACTTGCAAAATATAGCCAGGTTGATTCATTAATTAAATCGGACCATAAAAAAGGTTTTCTTTGACAAAAGCCACCTGGCTGTAGGATCTGCTAGAACAAGGCATTTCAGAATCAGTTCTATTTACATTATTATTTCTGTAAAGTCTATAAATTACTGTATTGTAATCTCTTTCTAAAGATTATGCAGTACTTATGGGCAGTTATGACTATGAGTTATAAGAAGTTTACCTTATGTTAGTTTCTCATTAAAAAGTCACAAGGTAATATAATTGGTTGTGGTTAGTATGAAGACTGATACAAAGAAGTTGTATGACTATGATGCTCTTTGAGATTTTATCCACTTTTTTTATTTATTAGTATGATCTTGTTACTTCATGAGCTATGGCCCATGACCAACATAAAAAGTACTGCACATAGAACTACTGTATTTATCTCCACCACTGCTCAAGGATAAAGAATTAGAAATTATGGTTGTTTGTGTCCATCTGTGTATAGGTATGCCTCCAGCTTTGTAAACAAAATATTAAATGGACAATAACCATATCTGGCATGTTGATACTTCAAGTGAGTTATGTATATATCTACGTACAGAACTGTATTTCTGAAATTATTTTTCCCCAGACTGGTTTGTAGAATGGGACTTGACCACCTTTAGGAGCAAACTCTTGTTATATTTAATGTTTATCTCTTTACAGGTTGGTATGCGTATTATGGTGTTCAACAATCTGCCACAGGAGATGATGATTTTATTAGTCCTTCATGGAGCTGACACACATCGTTTTGTGCTGGTGGAGGATAATGGCGTGGTGGACTTTTATCGGCCACGTACAAAAGCTGGGGACCATCAACATCTTGTCTCGGTGAGTGATGGTAAAGCTTCGGTGTAAAATGAAGTGGAGTCTTTGTGTCTTGAGACTAGAGTGACACTGAACCCCTTCTAATTTGATATCATCAGGGCTCTGGGTTGAACAAATTAACATGAAATATTGAATTATCCCAGTTTTGAATTTACCTCACTAAAGAAAAAATGCCAGAAAATGTAGTTAACTTTAGCAACTTTTAAATAAGTATAATGGTTCAGTATTATAAACACATCTCATGTCACTTCATATATTCTGTATATACCGTCATCATCATCATCATCATCGATGTTTAACTGCCATTTTTGGTCTCCATAATAGGTCCCAGAATCATTCTAAATAGCAACATTCACAAATACCTGTACAATTTTCAGTCTTCAGAAAACTACCCTTTGAGTGCTCTACCTTCCATGAATGTCTACTAAATAAGTAACGCAATATATTATAATCATAATAACAAAAGAGATTTAAATAAACCAAAAATTATATCTACAGTAATAGAATATATTACAGTAATAAATAGGAAGTGCAGTACTGTAGTGTGATATAATCTGCACACTGTCTAAATTTTTTTACCATATATTGTGGCTGTGTTTAGTTAAATATTGAAGGTTCCTTGAAAAATATACCAATGTGGTAAATGTTATTCATATTTTAGAGTCTATAAGAAAAATACCGGTAGTTAAATCATGCACACCCAGTTAGAACCTTGTAGATGTAAGAGATGTTTGTGGTTTACATACGTACGGAGTCATTTCTGTATAAACCATCCCAAATGAGTACAAAAAAGACCTGCCAGGGGTTTGCCAAGCACACCTTTTCTCAAGAAAGAGTGTATGTAATTTTAGAGGTGAAATTATTATACTTTATTGGGTAATATGAACATCAACAACAATAGACAATTGGCTGAGAAGAATACAACACATACTGTACACTTCTCAGTAAAACATTCATTACCACATCTTATATTACTTTTGTGCATTCTTATAATTATTACATAATTATTCTTTTAATATCATAAGATTGGTAAAAATGGATGTAGATAGACATATGGCTAACTGATGGTGGGAGTTAGTGTGTTGTTAGTTGACAGACAGCCATCAGATGGATATCATGCAGTTGCCTTTCGCTTGTATTTTATTGTGAGTTGTATTTAATTTATATGCAGTTGTACCCCACTTAACGCGGTCAATTGAACCCAGAGGGTCCCGTGTTAAGTGAAATCCGCGTTAAGTGAACAACTGAACATATGGGATTAATTCCAATAGAAACCGGCCCGACCCCCAAACTCCACTTTTTGAAGGCACATACCTATGTTGTAGTAAAAATAACATCTTAATTTTATGATGGTACATGCACACAATTAATACTTAAGAGAAATAGAGAAATACAGTCGCCAAGTTAATGTCCATTCAAATAATGGACTCAATTCCCTCCCCCTCTCACACTACACTGCTTGGGGGAAAACCACTAAATTTTAATAAATAATACCTCAAACTAAAGTTAGGATAATACAATTGACATTGCTGGATTCCTTGTAAGACCAGGAATATTTTGAATATAAATGTCATATATTTTGCACAAAAGATAACATAGTTACCTAGAGAAAAAATTTTATCTAAAAATTGTACAGTATGTTTAATGCAAAATATATGTTGTTTATATTCAAAATGATCACCAAATTATAAGAATTCCAGCAATGTAAATTATATTCTGACCGGGTAAATTGTATGAATTTTATGAGCTAAAACAAATATCTTCAGTTAATAAAAAAAAAAATAATCTTCACAACACTATCTGTCAATCAAAATACCCCACCTTGCCTCCCCCCCTCTTCCAACCGCGCGGTCAGTCCCAACCCTCCCCCCCACCCCCCACCAATCCTCCCTTCCAGAGTTTATAACAGTATTAAATAATACCTCAGATTAAAGTTAGGATAATATAATTGACATTGCTGGATTCCTTGTAAGACCAGGAATATTTTGAATATAAATGTCATATATTTTGCACAAAAGATAACATAGTTACCTAGAGAACAATTTTTATCTAAAAATTGTATGTTTAATGCAAAATATATGTTGTTTATATTCAAAATGATCACCAAATTATAAGAATTCCAGCAATGTAAATTATATTCTGACCGGGTAATTTGTATGAATTTTATGAGCTAAAACAAATATCTTCAGTTAATAAAAAAAAAAATAATTCTTCACGGGGTAACAGATGGTCGGTCGGTCGGTCGGTCCCTCCCTCCCCCCCACCCCCCACCAACCGTCCCAAGGAGATGTGTGGGATAACCACTAAATTTTAATAAATAATACCTCAAACTAAAGTTAGGATAATATAATTGACATTGCTGGATTCCTTGTAAGACCAGGAATATTTTGAATATAAATGTCATATATTTTGGACAAAAGATAACATAGTTACCTAGAGAAATATTTTTATCTAAAAATTGTATGTTTAATGCAAAATATATGTTGTTTATATTCAAAATGATCACCAAATTATAAGAATTCCAGCAATGTAAATTATATTCTGGCCGGGTAATTTGTATGAATTTTATGAGCTAAAACAGGCAGTCAGGCAGGGTGGCGGGTGGGGCAAATCTAAAAATAGCGTCTCGAGCCGGACACTCACCGCGTATATGTGGAAAAAATCCGTGTTAAGTGAAAGTTCAGCTCTGGCGAGGCACCGCGTATATGATAAAACGCGTTAAGTGAAACCGCGTTAGGCGGGGTAATACTGTGGTATGTATTTGATGTTATTTTTATTGATTTTTAGGTGTTAGGAGAAAAATGGGAAATTGCATGAGTACAACTGTATGGACAAAAATGATTGAATTATCACAAATTATGAAATAATTAATATTAAATTGTGAATATCAAATTCAATGTACAGTACTATGGTTGAGAAACTGTTTTGTGTTGTTGTTACTTCTAATAGTTCTCTCTCCTTAAGATACATTATAACCTATGAGTCATCAGTTCAGCCTTGGACACTCCACTAGCTAGAACACTCGTGGCAGAGCTTTCCTTGTCCAGTTGTCCACAGGGCTTGACATTCATTTACAAAATTTAAACATGGTAAGGGAGCATAATGTTGTAAGGTAGGATAAGGTTAACCTACCATACACAGTGTTTAATGGCTTAAGAATGTGGTCACATTGTTACATAAACTTTGTTGTATATTTTCAGGTTAATGCTGACAGTGCAGTGGAGATCATATTCCCAGTAGTTGCCACCATTGATCAGGGAGAAATTGAATTAACTGTGTCAGCACTAACACAGATCGGCCGGGACGAAGAAACAGCCACACTCATGATAGAGGTCTGTGTGATTTTTTTGTTTTCTTGACTTAGTTGATAGGAGTACCTGTATAAAGTAATGAAATTTTAATTATACAGTACAAAAATTATACACCTTTCATTCTCTATTTACATGTTCAGGATTCATGGTTTGACTTAAGAAAAATTGGTATGTTTGCCAATTCACTATTCATGGTATTTTCCCTCAAATATTCATATATTTTAACAGAAAGTCAGATATTTTTACCAGGCCATCATACCAAAATACAACTCAGTACAAGTAAAAAATATGGTAACCAAACATAAATAACCATAAAATCCTTCAATGTTCACACTGAACACTGCTAAGGTTTTGGCTACATCATCATCATCATCATCATCATCATCATCATCATCATCATCATCATCATCACAACTATTTCAATTCCATTTTCTGCACTTTCATGTGTTGGTTAGTGGTGATTACCTGATTGCATGGTGTCCTGGCTTCCATCACACAAATTTAATGCAAGTTTTATGGTTGGATGCTATTCCTGTTGCCGTTACACTTTTAAAGAGTGGGAAAAAGGACATTATATATAGGCCTTCCAAGTGGCCCCTTAACTGGTAAAGAATTGACTCCATGTCAGTCTGGTTCTGATGGACATTCCTTCAACCTGACTACCACTTCTCCTAAGCTGAAATTTACTCACTGTTTTATTTACAGTACAGTGTTACATTAGTTGGTCAGACAAAACATTACCAAACTCTAAAGTATTGAAGAAACCTAAGCAACATCTTGTTTACAGTAAAAATACCTTTAAGGCAAAAGTCAGGAAGTGGTGGTCAGTGTTTTCTTTTTCCACACGGCAGGTGGAAAATCTCCCTCTCATGGTTCCCCGTTTTTCCATTACATAGTGTTTTCTTGTTGATGCCTCATTTATTATTAATGAATGAAAACATTTTTACATATAAAAACAATCTTTCTGTCACAGCCTGAGGGAGCAACAATAGAACGTCATACATCCACCTTACTTGACCTCAAGAACCGGGCTGTTGTCTATGAGTACATGGATATCATCGTGGAGGAATCTTTCGTCATTCCACTGGACATTCGACGACGTTTTGTTGCCGGATCCCCAAAAGGCCATGTGTCACTCTGTGGAGATATTGTTGGTCCATCCTTTCCATATGGGGTAAGTTTGACTGGAATTATTGTGTTATATTGATGTGTGATTTTATATATTTGTGTGTGCAAGACAAGACATTGGCTATAATAAGAATATTCTCACTCCCTGTCCTTTTAGATATTCTTGACAGTGTTTTTAATCACCCATTTAAGATTTCATTTTGTTTGACTTACAAAAAGTTGCTTGTCTCATGACTAGTAAGTTGGTAAGTGGTGAAATGATAAATTGAATAAAAAATAAATGGGGAAATACAGTAGTGTATACTGGTGTTGATCCAAATTAATTTCTTCTTATAATTGTTCAGACTCTTGACTGTCATCAGATGTATCATGGGAGGCACATGATCCAGCTGCTTTACACAGTACTTAAAATTAATGATTTCCTTTACACATCACAAAAATTATTACTTACTCATATTCTTCAGGGCCCAGTCAACTCCGAGCAAATGTTACGTAAAACTCTAAAAGGAACAGAAGCATCCACTTTCAACTTTGGGGCTAACCTCTGGACTTTGCATTACCTTCGTCTCACAAATCAACTTGATTATGCAGAAGCCCGAGAAATTTTTGATCAGCTGAATGTAGAACTAGCAGCCATCATGTTCAGGTTCAGTGCTGATGGATCCTTCAAAATGTGGGACACTTCTGCCCCAAGTGTTTGGTAAGATCTATGATAATTATTTTAAATGCTGGGCACTGTTCTCTGGTGCTTTATATATATATATATATATATATATATATATATATATATATATATATATATATATATATATATATATATATATATATATATATATATATATATATATATATATATATATATATATATATATATATATATATATATATATATATATATATATATATATATATATATATATATATATATATATATATATATATATATATATATATATAATAATAATAATAATAATAATAATAATATATCACTGTACTATGGTATAAATGTAATGAGGGACTAGTTAAATAAGAGATTCACTCATGATACTGTACTATTAATCAGTCAGAGTGCCTTCCACATATCTGAGGGTTGGCGACCACAGACCACCACTCTAAATGATCTCAGGCTGTTTTTTATCACTCTGGGAACACAGTTTTTAATTTCTTTTATCCTTTCCAGTCTCTGCCTTCCCCTGGTCCTTCTACCCTCAACTTTGCCCATTAATATTTCTGTTATTATCCCCTCATCCCTAATTATATGACCAAAGTATCTAATCTTTCTTTTTCTGTACGTTTCAAGTATTTTTCTTAAATTTTTTTCTGATCTTAGTACAGCTTCATTTGTTTTCCTGTCAGTGTAGCTTATTTTTAGCATTCACCTATAACACCATATTTCAAAGGCCTCCAACCTCTGTCTGGTGTCTGCTGAAAGTGTCCACGCTTCTGACCCATACAATAGTTCTTGCCATATAAAGCCATTCAGTTGCCTTTTTCTCAAATTGAATTTAATGTCCCTTCTCATAGGTCTTTTTGATTGTTAAATGATGTTTTGGCTTGCTCTATACTTGTTTTGATTTCTTTCGTACATCTATGATAAGAGCAGTATCATCTGTATAGTGTGTATTTGATATTACTTTACCATTAACTTTAGGCCTTCACTATCACTTAAGAATTCTGAACATATATTATACAATGCTGGAGATAAAATACAGCCTTGTCTTACTCCCTGTCTTACTGTGATCCAATTAGTAAGTTCATTATTTACTAGCACTGCAGCCTCTTGTTGCCAGGGAAGATTCTTTAATATTCCAATATCTTCTTCTATACTCTACTCTAAATAGTTTAACTTTCATGGTACACTCACCTCTAGCCAGACAACTCAAGTACAGTACTTCAGATTGTCAGTCATTGGTAATAATGCTCTCCCATCTATACTGTGCTGTATAAGCTTACAAATCTAGATGTGTTGTCTACATTTTCCAGAGTTTTATTTTGATTTGAACTCAGAAGAGGTTATTGAGTATTACATGTATACACCACCTCTTATGTGATTGCTGTCCTGGGTGATTCACTTGGATCTCTTGTTTACTTAATGGCTTACCCTTCTACCTGGGTGCACATACAGTGACATCAAACTGACATGTTTGGCCAATTTTCTTAACATGAATTTTTTCTGTTCAAGTACCCTGGAAAGTATGTTTAAATTGTACATATTTAATTCTAATTATTGCGAAATTTAACCCACTCTAACCCCCACATAGTGTTCATTAACCCTTAAGCCCCGGGTTAGGGTGCTGGTAGTAGTACCCCCACGCGGGGGTAAATCGAGAAAAATCAACTTTTCAAAAAATAATTTTTAACCTTTTAAAATGATAAAACAATAAAAATTAAGCAAGAAGAACTATATACTGACCCTCTAGAAACTTTCGTGACCACGCAGAGGGAGGGAGGAGGGGGGGGGATAAGGAGACAGTGTTGGTTTGACAGCTGACGCTCGTGGTCCCTATGCACTTAGCAGCTATTTTTAGCTCGCCTTTGTGTCCAAGGTGGCCAATAATGTATGTATTTACTGATCTTAATACTTATTTGCTATAAATAATTCATTTAGAATATTTTATTTGCATAATTTATCATAAAAAAAGTGCTTGGCAACACTCACCTGTCGGTCGCCAGTCTGCCTGGCTGTCTTTGTGTTTGGTAGAGCAAGTAATGCATAAAATAATAATAATTCCACAAATAAATACATTTATAACATAATCATAGCATTGTTTTACGGTAATACTACCCTACAATACAACTACACTACTTTTAGCAATATTACATTGATACAACATGATAAAATGGACGAACAATGAAAATGAAGCAAACAAAAGTAGGTAATTATGTTCAGGAAGCTTCCCTGTGGCCGAGCGTGTGATGTGAGAGGTAAATAGTCACCCTGGAACTTGATAACCCACGCTGGGCATTTAAACTGGCGGGAATAGGCACGCTTTCTGGAATGTCACCCGGGGCCTAAGGGTTAAAGAGATTTAACTTTTACGGGAATTAGCCCACTCAGGCACAGGTCACTGACCCACATTGGGGCCTGGGGGGCGAAAATGTAATAATAATAATAATAATAATAATAATAATAATAATAATAATAATAATAATAATAATTATAATAAGTGGTACTGTATGTGGTAGCTCATATGATTATCCTAAGTTTAAACTCAAGAATTGGAAGTTACTGTCATATAGTGTCAGGGGATCACTATCTACAGTCACCTTCACTACTGCATTTACAGAGGCTGAAGCAACCTTGCAGTAGTAGTTAGACTAAGGATTCAAAATAAGCAGAACTCCCAATATCACGGAATGTAAACATTTCTTACATGTTTAAACTTTAAATATAGAGTGCACTAAATAGAGCATTATTAGCTCTGTCTGGTAGACAGCGATATGGCAAGGTGATGTGACGTAAGGAGACAGTGGGGAGGTGTGGGGGGGGGAGGGGGGGTAGCAGGTGCCCCTTTAGACACACTGTCATATTTCATTTATGAATGCTGATACAGTATATAATATTTAGTTAAGCTTAAATTGAGATTAATGAAGAAAACATTATTGCTTGCTGCTCTATTGTAAGTCTCGGTGACAATTATGTACAATATAATGTTTTTTTTATGTTGTTTATACAGGAAGGTATTACTGAAATCAGTAAACAAAGAATAGTTCTCATACATGGCTGCATAATGTTGTTGATATTTGATGGCATGGCTTTATGGTGTTTTGCTCATCAGGTTGACTGCTTGGACAACTCGCATCGTCCATCAAGCTCAATTCCAGGACTGGGAAAACCTCATTTATATTGAACCCAAAATAATTTCCACGGCTGTGGAATGGCTTGTCAAGTGGCAGGACCCTGTCAGTGGGGCCTTCAGAGAAACACCTGGATATGAGGATGTCCCTCTTGACAAGAAAGCAAATGGCTATGTATGTTTTTAGCAATTGTTTAAGTTCTCTTTTCTTTTAGGATTATTCATATAAAATCTTATTGAGGATAAATAGTTATATATATTTACTGGTTATAAGTCTGTTATTTGATGGGGACGAAGTGTCTTTGTAAATGATGGATTATGCATTAGAAAGTGTCCAGGAGTTGAGAAAGGCATTAGTAGAATGTGGAAGTCAGAAAAACTGCATTAGGATTGGGTCGAACAGAGATATATGATCATGCCATATGACTGATCTGTTACAGTAGGCTTTGAACCTATGTGTCAGAGGACATTAAGCAATAGATCCACATGTTGTGGTCAAACAAGTCTTAAGCTATATACTATACGGAGACCATCAGATGAAGGATAACTCGGTAAATCCACCAGGCTTTTAAACTATATACTGGGGCCACCAGATTTTTAATATTTTGGGAGGCAGCCATTGAGGTAGGAAGCTTCTTACTAGATCTCAATGACCTGTGAATTAAATGTACTACAGTACATGTATTAATTACTGAGATGACATATGAGGTTCAATGTGGTTTGAACTCCATACACTGAAGCCATATAAAATTAGTATTTGTTAATTGTGAGAATAGCATGTACTGTACATGGCCATTTGGTGATATACAGTATTCCTAGTATCCACTGAAAAGGTTTTGATAATTTTTTGCTTTCTAGCATAACAAAGGGGTGAAATAACCAACATCATCACATTGCTTATTACAACAAAAGACTTCTCAAGTGTAAAATTGATGTAAAATTAAATGCTCTCTATGTATACTTATTTCATTCATCACAGTGTAGCATGTTTTGTTCATTTTTATCAAAACTTTTTTCACTTTTGCCCTTATCATGTGTTTACCCAACAGTCATATGGGAATGAATGGCGAGGTCCAAAGAATATTACCTTAACTGCTCAGTGCCTCATCACACTGCAGTTTACTATGGACTCACTGCAAGGGAACGTCCGGGCAAAAGCCAACAATGCACGTACTCAGGCCCTCAGGTTAGTGAATCTCACTTTGTTATTTTAACCTTCATAATCCTGATTGTTTAAAGGCTGTAATGTATGCATAGGTTTTACCAAGTGATTTGTATACAATACAGTAAAACTTTACAGTAATGCAGTACATCAAGTTACTGGACACCTGCATGTCTGAACATCATAAGACCAGACTGGGGATTCTCTGGTAATTATGTTCTGAGAAAATTAACAACATAATTGTATCAGTGGAACAAACATTTGAAAGGTTATTGGTGAGGCTGAACATATAACAAATGTGTCTAGGACAAGTATAATGTCCAAGTTATATACAGTATACTACAATGAAATCCTAAATTTACATAGAACAGTGTTGTTTTATCAGAAATGCTAGTGATGGGCTGTTAAAATTTGAATACAGTATACCTTAATACCCTATCATTTCAAAATTTCCCACTAGTCATAAAATTCAGTCAATTTTATTTTACTTTGATAAATATAAGGGGACTGCGATTTTACTGGAATCATAATTTTACTTTGTATTTTTTAATTCTTTAGGTTTTGGTAGTTTTTTGTTTGATTCACTGACATTGCACAGCACTGTAAATGAAACACTGACTACATTTCAGTAATTAAATTTTGTCACATCCATTAATGCCTCTAAAATTTAAATATATTTACAGTAATTTACAGTAAACATGATTTTGCTTAGTTACAGTAATCTTCAGTACTTTAGGTTTTGGAAATGATTATTTGATCAACTGTCATGACACTGTACATAAAACATTGAGTAAGTTTCAGCACTCTGTAGCACCGCATCTTCTCACCACATACAGTTGTTGCCAGTTGAGTTGAGTTTATAGACTAGGACATTTTGACAGTAAACATGATTTTGCTTAGATATTTTTTTATGTTATTAAAATATTGAGTACAGTTGTAGACAGACCTCTATTCTTAATGTCTTATGCATGATAAGGTTTTGATACTTACAGTAAACACCCTATTATTCTGTAAGCGTTCAGCCTCATAAAATAAGGTGTGAATCCATACCTCTCAAATTTAATTGAAATCCTGTTGGAATACTTGGCCTGGTCCTGATATTCTCAAGCATCTTCCCCTACCAAGGAAGGAATTTTTATTGAAAAGTTGCTATTATATTTGGAGTACAGTTTGTTGCCTAGTTGTCAGAAGGAATCCGATATTCTTCCTTTGCCAAAGCCAGGGAAAATTTCTTTCCAGTCAGGCATTTATAGGCCAATAGTTGATGTTGTAAATTACCAAGAAAATGGTAAATGAAAACTATACATGTTTTGGTTCTTGGAAGATGGAGGCCACCTTTATTTCACCCATGCTGGTGTTTATTGCCATCACACAACCTGTGACAACTTGCCTGAACTCACAATAGTATTTTTTTTTAAGTTGAGAAAGCTTTTAATAATTTATTGATTTATGAAAATGCAGAACATCATAAGAGCTTCATCGTTTATAAAAGACTTCCTCAGAAGAGGGTGGTAGAGGTGTGTCAGTTGGCAGAGAAGAGACCAAAGGCAATGGAGCCTTGAAAGTAGGTCATGTGACTTCCTTGGAACAATATTGAAAGATTGTTATAGATTTGTGTCCTACTTGTACTAAAAGAATAAGGATATAGTTTATTATTTTTTGAAAAGTTGATATATTGTTCACATTTTTCATTTTCTAAAGTAGGTGTTTTTAGATAGGTAATAATAATAACTAGTCTTTTTTTTTCTTCTCAAAAGTACCAGTTCTTCTAAAGAATTCACTAGCACTTGAAACATTATAAAGTCAAAGACTTAAGAATAAAAAGAAATACTGTACATTGTACTACAATAAAAGATCACAAAAAGTGACAGTTCAACTTCTAGCATTCATATACCCTTGAAGTTTTTATATTTTCTAAACCCTGTAATTCTCCATCACCATAACCTGTTCAGGATCATAAGTTTTCAGAAAAAGAAAGGTCTCAAGTTGTTTCTTAAAGACCTCCACAGAAGTCAGCTGCTTCATGGATGCAGGCAACAGATTGTACAATCTGGATGCTGTATAGGAAAGGATTGTGCAGCAAAAGAACACTCCACTACTGCTCTAGGCTCCTCAAAGCATGAAGGATCATCACTGCTATAAAAAATAATTTCAGAATGTGTAGTCAGTGGAATTAGTAGGTTGATCAAGTACATAAGCTCACCAAACATTAGTGTCTTAAAGTTATTAGACAAAGTTTTGCTATCATTCAGCTTAAGTTTTCTCCTAGCCATCCAAATCTTAATATCAGACATCAAGGATTTCATTACTATATCTCCTCAATATCCTCAACTTTTATCATTTTCACATAAAGCTGTGTATCATAGGCATAGAAATGGTAGGCAACACCATGAGCATCCAGCAGAGATGCAAGACTATTGGTACAGACTGTAAACAGAAGTGGTCCCAAAACTGATCCCTGTTACTAAGTCAATGACAAAATGCTACTTCCTTCAATGTTAGTAATTGAGTTTTGTTTATGACATACAGTAGCCATTAAAATAAATGGGGATATACAGGGAATCTTGTGTCTGTATGTTAAAGATGAGGCAGAGGTTATATCTTGAACTTGGAAGATAGTATAAACTGCCAGACCAAGTACCGTATATGACAAGATAAGAAAACTATTATGTTTGGATTGTGAGTGTGAGATTGAATATCAGTATTTTCAAATATTAGCCCTCACACTTCTGGCCATGGTTGAAAATCTCAACCCCTTGCGGATTTTCAACACAAATAGCATCGTTTACAGTCTCACCCCTTCACTGTCTTTCGATGCAGGTTGCGTCTGTAACAAGAACTTTTTTTTTTTTTTTCATTTTAGTAAACATTGGGTAGAGCGAGCCAGACCCAAATTGCATCCACCTTTAGAGATGCATCTGCCAGCCACGAGGCTAGTGGGAGGAACTTTGGTTGTCCACTGTTCCAGCATTTCTGCTTACAGGAGGGGTGCTCACAGTGTGAGATATGGCTGAGCAGGAGGGGTCATGCCAGCACAGGGCACAGGAGCGCTTAGCAATGCAATCTGTGTCAGAAGACCATGAGAGGGTTAAATTGAATTTAAAATTGTATACTGGTATTTAGTTTTGCTGAAGAATAGTTAACCACCACTTATGTTTTAGGAGATGAAAACTGACAGGTAATGTTCATTTAATTAAGCTTTGTGTATATTAATCCTCTCTAGGTACCTGGAACGGGAACACAAGGCCATCCGTGATCCATATGAAGTGGCCATTGTAGCTTATGCACTCTCTGTTGCTAACTCTGTGGAGAAGGAAGCAGCGTACAATACTTTGGATAGTTTGAAAAGGGAGGAGAGTAAGTTGATAACATATCTTTCATAATTACCTTTAGTAGACCTTGATAAAAATTCATTGATAATTATTTTACAGGGTTTGCCAGCAAGGATAGTACTCTATAGTATATTCTTTTTCCTCTAGTTTAGTTATATTTTAACCAGGATGTGAGGAAGTTTATAGAAAGATATACATTAGTTACAGATTAAATGTTAATTTCTCCTCTATGACCAGTATTACACCACACTTAATTATGTATGTCATTAAGACTACGGTAATTAAATAGGATAGATCCCTTGACAAATGTAGCCATGGTTATTATTACAGTAAAACCTCGCTAAGGTGGACTAATGGGGTCCGGGATAAGAGGTTGTCCACCTTAGAGCAAATTTTTCCCTAAAGACCACCATTTTAAACAAAGAAAGAGTACAACATCAGTGTATCTGATTTTTATGAAAGAAATATGCTTTTTAATCAGAGTTAATTAAAAAAGTAATGTACACAAAGTACTGTACACTTAATTTTAGTTCACTGATAAGGTCTTAGGCTTAACCTTCTCACCACCCTTATGGATACCAAATACTTACTTAGGGGCCATGGTTATAAGTAACATCCTTTTTAGTGTAGTTACAAGTTATAAACCTTATTGCAAACTTTAAAATCTTATTACACTTAAAAAAATATTTTTTATACATATACCTACAGTATGTGTCTGATGAAAATCAATATTGCAGATGGACTTGTCTATTGGTCTCGAGCGCCCATCAAGACCAACAACCGGGTGTATGAGAACAACCAGAGGAACCTGTTGCAGCCTAAATATGAAGAGGAGTGGGATTCTCATGCTGTTGAAGCGTCGTCCTATGCACTGCTTGTGTACCTCATACGTGATGGTGTCAACATCATCCAGGAGCGTATCGTGTTGTGGCTGAATGCAATGAGGATGCATGATGGAGGCTTCATATCAACTGTCGTAAGTAAAGTTTTTATTATAAGAGTTTTCTGAGAGCGTATAGTGTACAGTATGTTCCCAAATAGTAGAATAAGTATATTCTATATGATAAGTCAATTTTAGGTTGTAAAATCAGAGAAGGGTTAGGACTGTGTGTGATACAAGTATGATGTACACTTGCTCCAAAAGGTATCTTTATGGAGGAATCCGATGAATTTCAAAATGAACACCATGACTTCTGTTGTCTCTGTAGGGTTATCAAAGTCCTTCATCAGTTGTGTCATATTGTCTCAGTTAAAATAATATACTAGATACTTTCTGGAGTAAGTGTACATATAGAGAAGTGCTAAATTCTTCACTTTTACTTACATATGCAAAAATAAGTGAAATGATTAAGATAATACAGTAACTCACATATGAGAAATAGTTTTAGTTTGTAGCAGATCTGTCTATATAAGTTGTTTAACATTTTTAAAGTTTCCACCTTCTGACTGAAGCCATGATGTTCTGTATGAAAAACTTTCTTTGCAGGACACACTGGTAGCAATGCAGGCACTGACAGAATATTCATACCGTGCACGTTTGAGGGACATTACAGACATGCGTGTAACAGTTGAGGCCACCGGAGAAGCGGGGCGAGCCTCTCACACTGTCGGGATTTCCAATACGAGTGTGTCTCGTATGAACTTTATTCCGGTATGCTATTATTGTATTGTTATTTTTCTCCTTATTATTATTATTATATTATTTTCTTTAATATTATGTACTGTATTAGGTTATTAAGTACAGTACATTATATGATGCAGTTATGTAAGCTGAGAGGGACTTTACAATGTCCACCTCATCTCCTACTAGGGGCTTTCTACTGATAGTGATCTCATTGTTGGCTTGCAGATTCAAAATGTTTGGGGACTGGTGAATGTTGTGGCTAATGGAGCTGGCCAGGCTATTCTTCAGCTGGATGTGAGCTTTGGCATTGACTGGACTGAACTCAAGAAACAACCACCCATTGATGCATTTGACCTAACAGTTTATGAGCATTTCTTACCAGCTAGGAATAAGTCTGTCTGTAATGTGACTGTTTGTGCCAGGTAATTTTTTCTCAAGTCTCGCAACTCTCTAGCTATATTTCAGGGCAGCCAGAACCAAAATAAAATACTGGCCCCTGCTTTAATTTTTTCTCATCCATACTTGATTCTCTTGCTCTATTATCATCCACATAATGAACTACTTCCTGAATGTCAATCCAAATTATATACTTCTAGTGTATTCTTCACATTATCCTTCTTCATTTTCATTTCCCCATCCTACCGTACGACTATGAATTATACTGTACTCTACACACTTGTTATAAAATTTTCAGTTTCACTTTCACTTTTTCCATGTCAATTTAGGAAATCTGGTCATTGCACAATTTTCTCTGTTTGTTCTTTCTGTGATTCCTGCTTACCCTAAATACAGGGTAATTTTTTCTGTGCTTCCTGCTTACCCTAAATATAGGGTAATTTTTTTCTTTTTTATTCGAGAACCCTAAAGGATTACTCTATTTTAAGACTTGTAATGAACAGGAACCCAAAAATCATATCACTGCGAAGAGCATAAATGTTCTACGCAATTATTAAACATCATTCCTACTGATTTCTTATGTTCCTGTTTATTGCACATCCTAAAATATAGTATAGTTCTTGAATAAAAAAATCCTATTATATTTCTTTCATACATTCGGAGTCTTATGTTTTACACCAATGGCTGCTATTCGGTTCCTTTAAACCTCCCCAGCTTTGTATTCTCTGATACATTTCTCTCTCTCTCCCCATATATTTCTCAATCCACTTATTACTTCCTTTACCTCTGTTACTCTTTGATTCAATTCCTCTTTTCTGTCTCCATTCAGACTGACATTTATTAACAACTTTTATTTATTACACTCACTCACTCTATACCAAATTCATTTACTGATGTTTGCAGCTTTTCCTCTGAATCAATTATCAGAGCAGTGACATAGGATACTAAATACTGCACAGTACTGTATATATACAGTAATTACACTATTTCACTTAGCCATATAGTCTTACTTAAACGAATTCACTTCAGAAACAAAGATCCCATCTTCTCTATGAAGTGTCCATGTTGTAGGTGTGTTGAAGCTCTAGTGTGTGGGTTTGTCTGAAGCTTCTTAGGCTAGTGATTCACTTTATGTATTTAGGAAAAAGATATACAGTGACCCTCGTTTAACGAACACCTCGGTTAACGTAATTTCGATTAACGAACTGCCTTCCATAAGGATCTTCAATTCGGTTAACGAAAAAAATTCGCTTAACGAACTTCTTACGAACCGACCTCAACATGTTTTCGCTTGCACTGACCGGGCAACCAGCTTTAGTATCAGTCCGCCAATACATTAATCGGTTCTAGGGCTTAAATTCCTTACTATTTTTGTAAATATCAAGAAGTTTATACTATTCAATAATTTTAAAAGTTTAATATTCAATTTTTTAGTCATTTTAACAATTATTGAACAAAATTGAAGGTAAAGTGACTAGTTTAATGCGCGGCATCCAGCCTCTTAACACAGCAAACAGGCGTCAGTCTCTCTCTGTTTTCACTGGAGGTAACATCTTGCTTGAGACTCTCTTCAACTAAACGCTTTTTTTCTGTGTTTCCAAGCAAATTATTGGTCATTTTGAAATATATTTTATATATTGACAATATATAATGCAGTGCAGCGTTGATTTAAAGAAAATAATCTTGAATTAAACCAGAGCTAAAATTTTATGGGTGAAATGGCACCATGGGGTGACTTCTCTTCCACCCCAACTTCTTCTTCCACCCCAATGCCTTCTCTTCTTCCTTCTCCTCCACCCCCATTCTAAATCCCATCATCATCATCATCATCCAGGAGCCTTCTACATACACACCTCAAAGTAAGTGAACTTTTCTACCATTTTTGTTGAATTTAGGAAATTTTCGGTGAGCTGGAACCAATTACCCAAAAACCCATTGAAACAATGGTTTCGGTTAACGAACGTTTCGGTTAACTAACGAACGACCTTCTGGAACGGATTGAGTTCGTTAACCGAGGGGCCACTGTATTGTTAAAAAGGGGCTTCTGTATGATTTGGTTATCCAGTAAAGGCAAAAGTGCAGTTTGATTATCCAGTAAGGGTTATTTTGGAAGTGTGCCTCTACTACTGCTGGGGTAGGGGAGCAGATTGTGTGGAGTAAGGTGAGTGGTCATTTATAAGTTGGTTCTATATCATATTTTAACTTTGTTCTTTGTATTGTATGTAGTAACTGCATTTGCCATATCTCAGGTGGACCAACACAAAAGAGTCATACCAGAGTTCAGCCACAGCCATTGAGATAGAAGTCCCCACTGGCTATGTGGCATTCCAGATTGACCTCGAGAAGAGTATTCATGCAGCACAAGTTGACAGAACATTCCCTACTGTTCGTGATGTTCTTGGTGGACACGGAGATGTGTTTGCCAAGAAAGTCGTCTGGTTCTTTGATTATGTAAGATCTGTTTGTTTACATTTTGTAAAATATGTTAGGCGGACAAAATGTAATAGAACTGAGGTGAGAAGTATGACCTCCATGATGAGTTCAGTGTGTCATCATCAAAGATTTATAGCCATTTCAGACTCAAATAAACCAAAATAATAGAGGGATTTTCTGACTTAACAGGCATATTAACCTCAGGTTCTGGTAGTAAATGTCATCTGTAAATAATGTTACATAATTTGCTCTGTTATTTGGCATCTATCAATCTAATGGAATTTCCCCAATAATTTTTTAGCATGTAGTAAACACATGAAAAGTATATTATTCTAGTAAATTTTTTAAATATTAATTTTACCCAAAAATATATAATACAGTACAACCTAAATTAATTGATATCCTTTAAAATTGTAAAATAGTAGTGTTATAAAAGATTATGCTGTATCAGTGAACTCCAGAAACACTATACAGGTATTGACTACGAACTGATCCTCTCACTGAGAAATACATTTTTTACAGATACCGTCCAATGAAACTTGGTGTTTCCACTATCTGATGAAAAGATGGTATCCTGTGGCCAATTTGACTGATGTAAGAATGGCTACAATTTATGAGCTTTATCAGCCAGGTAAGTCTTATTGAAAAAGATGAAAAATTAACTGTAAAATTATATATTAAATTTCTTCATTACTTTAAGATGTTAATTGTTAATAATCTTGTTGGGGTGATATACTGTAAGTATGAAGCTTCATTTTTTAGCTCATCTGTCTTATAGTGTTGAATTCGATATTACTGTATTAATAGTCTGTCTATCAGGCATGGTCTAAATCTCCACCTTGTGTTCACTGTACAGTTCAAACAGTTTGTTTTGGTCTCACAAAATTTTTCTTGGATTATCTTTGGGTGAGATATTAGAATCTTACCAGTTTTGGTGAGGCTGTGGTGGCCATTTTGGATTTCTTTGATATTTTTATAATTCTTTGTATACTTCTGTATTAGTGTCGGATATATTACTATGTCCAATAAGGGTAAATCACTTTTGAACTGATTCTTGAGATTTTTTCACCAGATTAAAATTAGGAGTTTTGTAGTCATTGTGCAGTTTGTATTTATTTAATGAGTAGACTAATGTATGCATATAATTTATGTTTGGCATAAGTGTAAACTATTAAAGTATTCTGATACTGTATTTGTGGGAAATTGTTCAATAGAATGGTGGAGGAATAACAAGAGGAACAGTATGGAAAATATTTTATTTTTTGAACTGAGAGGAAATTATAAAGTTTTGTCAAGCTTTAAAAAGTGAATGACAGTAATATTTCTGGATTTTGAATAGGAGTGAATAATAATATCAACATACCTGTACAGTAATGTATTGGAGATGTTATATTCGAGTTCAGTGGAAGAAATGGTGAGTGTAAGAAGAGGATAGTGGTGAGAATGTATTCCCCAAGGAACAGGGTAGAGAAAGGAGAAGAGGAAAAGAGAGAGAGAGAGAGAGAGAGAGGGGAGGGTTGATGAGGATAGAGAGAGAAAAGAGAAGAGAAGAAAGAAAAGTAGAGAGAGGGAGAGAGAATGTTGATGTGTATCTTCAGAAGGGTATTTCTATTATTCTTAGTAGTCAGTGTAAAATGAATTCATTTTCTTTCAGAGCGGTTCCAAATGGTGATGTTCAATTCAACAGTGGGTTCCTTGGATATTTGTGAAGTGTGTGGTTCTTATCAGTGTCCATACTGCCCCATCTACAGCTCTGGCCCATCACTCAACCTCCCTCCACTGGGCATTCTGCTCTCTGTGGCCATCGTCACTTACATTTACCAGGTGTTGCCAGTGACATTTCCTCTGTTCAGTTTGCTCTGTATGAGTCCAGGTCGCAGAAGGTAACTATATATTGTGAAGTTGTCTCCTATGGAAGGAAAGATGCAGTGATTCTCATTACTAGTAATATATGGGTGTAATAACTGGCATAGGCTTGCCAAAGAGCGGGGGGGGGCGCGATCGCCTCCTCCCCTTGAGCTACTGTAACAAATTATTCCAAATAAAAATTTAACAACAAGAAACGAAAAAATAATAATGATAATAATAAAAATAATAAAAATAATAGCATCACTAACAACGTCAAGAACAACAAATGTATTTCAGAAAAATATTAATTATGTCGTATTTCAACAATACCTCGGTATGTTTAGTTCAAAGTAACCCCCCCCCCCCTTCTCCTCTTCCTCCTTAACAAATTTATTAGTATGCCACTGGTAAATGGTCAAATTTAGTTGTGCTAAAACATACCGTTGCTAATGTACAGTAATACTAAATGTAACCTTGAATATAAAATTTATATTTTGCTTAAAACTAGCTAGTATTTACAATTTATTATATTTATTAGATAAGCCATCATTGTGTAAATTCCACATCTTGGTATATGTGCATCCTCTATGTGTACTTAAGTATAAACCAGAAAATTAGTCGTAAAATATTTCTTTCTATAAAAGTTTCTGACATATTTATGAGATACATTATTGGTGTAATTTTTCATCCCAGATCTAAGGAGGTGTGATGAGAAATTTCTGTTCATAGTTCAATATTGATGATACAGTTTATCAGAAGGATTTGCTGCTAATAAACCTCCATCTCCTCATAATATGACTATTTGAATTTTGCGACTGGTGATAGGATCATCCAATTTTTTTCACCGTCCTTAAGGCTTATAACGGGTGTGCAACACAACCCTTGCTAGACACCATTGAGTTGCAGGGAGCAAAGCCATCACTCTGCTTAACACATTACTGTATATAATAAACTAAATGATATTTACCTGAGTGACCTGACCATTAATGTGTTACCTCACTCCTGGAGCTGTCTTACACTTTATAACCCACATGTGAGGTCTGACACTTCCAATGACCCCAAACAATAATATTAGGAAAGAAAGTTTTTATGTTGTCTATTTGATGTGACATTAATGGGTCATTTTGATATTTGCCAGTGGTGTTTTTGTCATTGTCATCAGCCACACCAAAAGGAAAAGCAATGTAATATGTATAAATCTAAATTGCTTCTGTAAATTTTCCATAAACGTGACAACATACAGTAGTTATATACAGTATTACAGTCAGCATTTATTGCGACTAGAGAAAAGTACAGGGAACGTCATTTTATGGTTGAAAGATGTTAACAAAAACCTTAATGCTTAGGATAACAAATGAGATTTTTTTCTTCACATTTGGCATATTCTTTGTCATTACTAAGCCATAAACACCAACAATACCAGTATATGCATTAAATGATGCTCAAGGTCCCCTTTTTTCATCCAGTAAGTTCACCAGACTTCAGCAAACTTCCACAGTTATTGATTAGAAAAATTGCTAAATCTTTTCATGCTATATTAACTGCTGGTATACATTATTAAGTCTCCCACAACCAAAGTTTGATTAGCTAGAACCAAATCTATGTCTCAAGGCCAGAGGTCAAGGTCACAGAAAGGTCACAAATAAGAATATGGTCCAGAGTACAGTATACATTTGATGTTAGTACAGTACAGTATAGATATTTGTATGAAACTTCATATGAATCTGTACCACTACTGGGCAGAATGCTTTGTATTAAATTAAAATATCTGGGTCAAGGTCACAGCTGACAGCCTAAGTTCAAACTCTACTTGGAGTATAAATCTTGTTTAAGAAATTTTAATGTCAACAAGGTGGTGTGTTACAAACAACTCCCAGGTTCCTGTCATGAAGGTCAAACTTTGGTGTCTGAGTAAAAAATGGGTAATTCCTCTGTTCGGGAGCCTCCATCTACTGATTTCACTGATTTTCTTGTTTTTAAAAGATTTTAAATTTATCTCATTTCATATTGTTCAATCTTAGCATTGTCACTTTCGTCTCATATCTCATTTATATTCTAAATGTAAAAAGATAAAAACAAAATACTGTGTCCATAAACTGGAGCTTCACAAATTCAATATTCACTATTTAATGTTTTGGGATGATTCGATATTTTTTGTCAAGGTAGAATTCTCAAGATTTTTTCATTTTTGAAGAAAATAATTGAATTTGCCCAAAACCTTGAAATAACTGTACAGTACTGTATAATGTGAGATGTGTTCTTATGAGAAAAAAAGTCTCACTTTTTTGTTCTTTGAAGTTCAAATGTAAAAAAAAAATATGAAAAATTCACGCTTGCACATGAGATTAAAAAAAAGGGGAGGTCTACTTGTAAATAAAACTGGGAATATATAATTATGAAACACACTTGTGAAAACAGTATAAAATGTAAGGTAAGGAAGACAGTACCCACAAAACTTGGATTTTGTTAAAAAATTATTCCAACATCTGTAATACTATTACAGTATTATAATATACAGTATTACAATTTATTACAGCACTGTATTACAGTATTCCTTCATCAACTGTGAGGGTTACATTCCTGGAAAACCCGACAGTTGGTTAGACTAAAGGCTTATGAGAAATGGAGGGTTAGGTTCCACAGCCACTGATAACATTCGTCAATGCCTAACCAAGTTACCTGTTCTTTCACACAACAGTACCTACATATAAAAGAGTGTAATTTAAATTAAATACTGTAGTAAAGTAAATTTAACAGTACAAGGGGTATTTACCTTTATAGAGGGCGATGGTGGATGAGGATGATGTGGAGGGAGCAGTGGTTGTTATAAGGAAGAGGGGAACACAGGCCCACTCTCTTTTGCACTTTTCCATGTGCCACCAGCAACACTAGCTTTTATCATAGCCTCACTTTTGTTAAGCGTACAAATCGAGGATTCATTTACCCCCCATGGTGCGTCTCACTGACACTACGCTCTTACCACGTGCTAGTCTATTGAGCACTTGACTTTCTTTCCTAGAGTCATTACGTTCCTTGCCCTGTACACTTGTTTCTCACCCTTAACACTAGTACTCAATGCACACTTAGAGGCCATTGTTAACCCCTACGCCCTGGGCTAGAGAGCCGCTGGCCGTACACCCCCTCCCGTGAGGTAAATCGAAAAAAAATTCTACTTTTCCAAAAATAATTTTTAACCTTTTTAAATGATAAAACAATCAAAACAAAGTAAGAAAAACTATATATTGACCCTCTAGAAACACCCCTGGGGCAGCAGTGGCGAGGGAGACAAGGGGATAGTGTTGTTTTGAGACAACTGGCGCTCGTGGTCACTACGCACTTAGTTACCATTTTCTGCTTGTCTTTGTGTCCGGGATGGCCAGTAATGCACATATTTACTGATCATTAATACTTATTGTGTATAAATAATTCATTTAGAATATTTTATTTGCATTATTTTTCATAAAAAGTGCTCGGTGACACACACGCAGTCTGTCGCCAGGCTGTCTGGCTGTCTTTGTGTTTGGTAGAGCTAGTAATGCATAAAAATAATTATCTGAATAATAATTCCACAAATAAAAACATAACATAATCATAGCATTAATTTCCGGTAATGCTACACTACAATACAACTACTACACTACTTTTATCAATATCACTTTGATACAACATGATAAAATGGACAAACAATGAAAATGAAACAAACAAAAATAGGTACTTACATTCAGGAAGCTTCCCTGTGGCCGAGCGTGTGGCGTTGGACTTAAAGACAAAATCAATGTTATTACTGTACAAAATAAGTACGTAATAAATATCCAGTGTACAGAGCAATAAAATATGTCTGCATGGTGCGAGATAACAACACTGAGAGAGCATGGTGGGAGGGTGGATGCTGACCCAACCTGATTAATATATTGGTACATGGAGGGGATACTCTAAGTTCAATTCCTTGGTTGGTGAAGTAGTATGCAGTACAGAGTAAAAACCGTGGCCAAAATCCACAGTTGGCGAGGTACTACTGTAAAATATTTCCCATAAATTGCAGCACCCCAAGGAACCTTCTGGTGAGATTTTTCATAAGAATGTAAGGGTCTTATCATGCGTGGCTTCCCAAATCAAACATCAAAATACAGAGTATTGTCTTTATATCTGCGGGTTGGCCACCATAATCCTCCACTTTAATTGTTCTTGGTCTGTTTTTACCAATTCGTTAAGGTTTTCTATCACGCTCGGGACTAAGATTTTAATTTAATTCATCCATCCCAGTCTCTGCCCTCCCCTGGCCCTCCTTCCCTCAACTTTGCCTATTAGTATTTGTGTTATTATTTCCTCATCCCTAATTATATGACCAAAGTATCGCATTTTATTTTCTTTATATTTCAAGTATTTCTCTTGAAAAATTTGCTGATCTTAGTACTTCTTCATTTGCTTTCCTGTCAGTGTAGCTTATTCTTAGCATTTGCCTACAACACCACATTTCAAAGGCCTCCAACCTCTTTCTGGTGTCTGCTGAAAGTGTGTTTCTGACCCATACATCTGTCCTTGCCATATGAAGCCTTTCAGCAGCTTTTTTTTTTTTTATATATAATTTAATGCCCCTTTTCATTAGGACTTTTAGATTATTAAATGCTATTTTTGCTGCCCTATTCTTGTTTTGATTTCTTCCAAACATCTAGCATCACAGCTAATGTTACCTCCCAAATGCACAAAAATTTCCACTTGTTTAAGTTCCCTGTTGCGTACCATAATTTTTATTTCAGGATTTATTTACGATTTGGTAACAGCCATTCCGTTAGTCATTACAGCATTAACTCGTAAACCATATTTTTCACCCTTTTCCACTAATCTGTTAACAGGGTTTTGTAATGCCTCTGAACACGTCTGTAAAAATTATTAATTTCTCTCGAATTCTGAGGCAAATAGTAGTAGTAGTCGTAAAAATCCAGAATTGTATGGTAATTTCGATATGTATCAATAATTTGACATTATAGTATAGGCTAATTCAACTGAACTACACCCCCGATGATGGCGAGTTAGTGAGGATTCTTCAGTGTAGCTGTACAGGCACAACCTCTCCCCAACACAGTAACACATAACCCTTAGTGGCCAAACTCCATTTCCTCATTTGTTTCACTCCCAGGAATAAGAGTAGTGTTACCTGACCCCACCTAGCATCTCACTTCATATCCTACTGTCTCATCCAATTGTAGATTCACCCAACTCTCAGCCCATGTGCTAACACATTTTACTATGTGATATGTGACTGCTTGTACTGCATCCCCTTGTTGTGAACATTTATTGTACTTTATGTTGTTTAGTGTTTTAGTGCAATATTGATGCTGTAATATAATACTGTACAGTACTGTATATAGGGGGACAAATATTACCATTATTGATGTATTAATCTGTCACATGCTGACCAGGGTGAGGCAGGTAGAGTGTAAGTTGTCTGTCGCAGAACAAGTACACTATCAATTGTAATTGATAGTGTTTTAGATTGCTTGCCAACTCTGATCACTTTGAGCAAAGTTTTGAAGTATACAGTACTGTACTGTTTTACTGAATTTTTACATATGAGGACAAACATTGCTTTGGTGAAAAAATAATCATCCTGGGATGGAACTAATTTTTCTTGTGTAATTTTTAAGAAAGTTGATCGTTACCTGATGTATCAAGTTATTTGCAGGATCCAAACCCTGCTTTCCCCCTGGATTCATCATCATCATCATCATTTTACAGCCATTTACCATGCTTGCATGAGTCTGTATTGTATAAAAACCTAGAAATATTTTTAAGTTCTCTTTTTTACAATTTTTATTTATCACAAATTTCAACTTCAATGACAATTTTACTCAGGTTTCTTCCTCACCTAAATTGACTTTCCAGCCAACTAATTAGTGGGTGAGTGGTGTATCCCAATAAATTTCAAAGTTAAAATTGTCCTCCTGGTTCATATGCAGATTGACTTTTACTTAAGTACATTATTTACCTCAACTTCAATGTTGAAGATAATGCTGTATGGACATGTAGGAAGCAGCCAAAAAAAAAAATTTTATTATGTAATTTTACACTTAGGCAAAACTAGGCAAACAATACCGAGAGACTAACTGAAAACCATCTTATGGAAGCTGAAGTCACTGATGGCCACTACTCATGGGAAAAGCTTTGTCTTGTAAACATTTAAAAAGTGTGTGATTGTTACAAAATAGTGCGGCTTGAATGACAATTTTATACATACCAGGCAGCTGTTATATATTTTGCCTTACACCCTGCAACAAAACTTTTACACATTACAACTTAGGTGTGGCTAAAACTGTCCATTTCATTTCATAATCAGTATGCTAAAATAGTTTCTCAACATATCATGTAAACTTTATACAGGTACTCCCCGACTTACAACGGGATTAGGGACCAACATCCAGGTCGTAAGTCGAAATGGTTGTAAGTCGGAAATACTTAAATAACACATAGAAAATCGAAAATTTGGGTCTCTTTTTCTTCTCAGCACCACAAAACACTCACTTTTAAGCTTGCCAGCCATTTTAAAGTGAATTACAGATGAAAATTTTGTCTGTGTACTGACTTTGGGACTCAAAAATATATAATTTTACCACATTTTGGTATTACTGAGGCGGTCATAAGTGCGGGTGGACGTAAGTCGAGTCGGTCGGAAGTCGGGAAGTACCTGTACAGTATAAAGCTACTTATTTTATCTTCTAATTCTGTTTGTCACTGCATTGATTTGTCTGGAAATGCTATACATCTCTTCATAACCCAAACACTAAAACTGTACAGTATTGGTATAGGTCTGCCTGACTAGTCTGCCAAAACATTGTGCCTTCTGAAAGTACTGAATGGTGTATACATATTTCTGTGTCCGATATGTATGACTTGTAAGCCTTCCATCATAAGTGACTACTGTACAAACATTTTATGTGTCTACATGTCCATTCTGCCAAACCTACATGACTCTCAACCATTTAGCTTTAAACTATACTTGTGTAGCTGTATGACCAATCAATCAAAACTAGGTCAAAATGTTTGTCTTACTGTGCAGCTAAAAATGAGCATTTCATAAAACCAGACACTGAAATTTGTAAATACCTGTATCATGCTACATGGCCATTCATTTCAAGTTATATTATGGTATTACATACCTGTCCATTGAGTGTCATTTAGTAAAGCTTTTCAAATTGTAAATTTTTGGAAATTAAATACTGTACTATATCTTATTGATTTGTGATCAGTTAACATGTATTTAATTTACTAATGTCATTTTATCGAGTAATTCTTTTAATTTATTAAAAATTAAAGCAATTTTTAACTGATGTAATGAAAATTTATTTAATGGGAATTATATTCATTATTCTGTACTGTACAGTACAGTATTGTGAACTAAAAAATGAAGAATATATTTTAAAAGTTTTACTGGGATCATTTGGGTAACTAAACTGCAATGCTTTTATTTGATGTAAGGTATGAATTACATCAAAGTAGAGAATTAAGTGTAAAATATTGCTGCATAAGCTGCAGTATATAGTTTAATTAGAAAGAAATTGTATAGGAATAAGTTTTATGGAAAAAATATTGTCCAAAATATTGTACCAGTTCTTTACTAGTACAGTGTGTCAGGGATGAGATCTCTTGGTTATCACTTAATTTTTTTTTGTAATGATGACTAGGTAAAGTTACAAAATTGCAGTCAAATTTTGACATTATTTATTTATATTAGTGGTGAAGAATAGTGTATGTTGTCATCGTGGTTATTCAATATTTTCATGGATGGTATATTGAGAGGAGCCCCTGATGTCAGTATGTGGGTCTTTAGTCACTGGGTGGATTTGGTGAAGAGTATTGCTTGTGCTAGGTACTGGATAATATACAGGTGGCCCTCACTTTATGCAACTTCACATGGTGCAATTTTGCTATTATGCAAACACCCTCTTTCTACCACTTAAAAAATGTGTAATTTCATGACTCTTGGGTTGGATGTACAAAGCTCGGGTGACCATTGTAGATAAATGTGCTTGTACACTCTGCTACTCTGCTATGGGGTGTGTGTGGCCTTGTAGGAGGAGAGTGAGTAGCCATGCACTTACTTAATGTAGCAGTGCCCATTGTTGTGTGTGGGTTGGCCATTATTGTTGACTAGTGCAGTGTTGTCTATTTGACCTTCCAGTGCATCTTAACTCCAACATTTATACATCAGTGAAGCTAAAGAAGATTGTTTTAACATTGAAGCTAAAGAAGATTGTTTTAACATTGGGAACAAAGTTTGAAATATCGTGGTAAGCTGAAGCTGGTAGCGGTGCATCAGCACTTGTTCATGTGTTTGGCATTGGGGAGAGCACAATATGTGCCATTAAAGGTTCATCCACATGTCTGTACATTTTGTTGCCAAAATGTGATCGACATGACGAAATGAGGCACAGGGTTCCGACTCTGGTAGGGTGCAGCTGCTTGCACTAGATCGGTGTTTCCTCTTGTTGGCGACAAAATGTACATTCATGTGGATGCACCTTAAAGAGAATGCACTCAACATCTGTTTAAGAAAGGATAAGAAGTTATTTGTCCACTTAAATTTTTGTTGAACATTTTCTTCATCCATTAATGTCTGTCTTGGCTGAAATTATTATCCATTCAGTCAAGCTGTGCATTGGATTATCATCCAATAGGATATTTCTTGTATGTAAGACTGTAATAATTTCATGTCTGAGTTTACATTGTAGCCATGTCATCCGTTGGCTTAATCATCTGTCTCAGCTAATTGTTGGCCTAAGGTTGTCCGTCCAGTCTTCTATTAGAAGAATCCATTGTACGTCCATTCAGCCAAACCCTCAAACATTGGCAGCTAAAAATCACAATTATGAAGTGTTACTTTTGTTAGCTGCCAATGTTTGAGGGTTTGGCTGAATGGAGTTTATGTTTTTATTAATGCTACTTTTGATGTAAGAATTTTACATAAAGGCTAATTATTAAATGTTTTATATTCACAATTTAGTTTTAGGTAACTTTACTGTACAGTATTTAGTTAAGGGGTTAAGAAGTGTGTACAGTATTGTTTGAGTGGCAATTTTCATGTAGTCCAGTAATAGATGTGTTATAGTTTTACTGTATGCAGCAGATGGTGCAAATAATGACTCTAATGCAGTACCGGTATATGTACTGTATTGTACATTGAAGAGGTACAATTTAGGACTGGCTCTGAAGTTTATTAACTGTACTAAATTTGCATTTTAAATTCAAATTACATTGCAGTACTATGTAAAAGTATCATCCTTGCCACAAGTACTTGTGTCACTGAACCAAAGGTGGTTTAGTGCTACTGTTTTGTGGGTCAAATTATACATTCCATATGCATGCTGATTCAATTAAGTGATCAGATTTTTATCCAGTAATATCTTACATTTAGTGTGTCTTTTGCCTCTGATCATCCATCTGTATATTATTATTATTTTTTAACATCAGGTATTCAAGATATAAACAGTAAATTTTTTAATGAATTTATCATTTCCTGTGATATTGTGTTCATGAAGATACAATAAAAATATTGCATGTGGTAACAATCGTTTTTTTTTTTCGTGTTAATCATTATAATACAAGTACTGTACAGTATTTGCATCTGATTATTGTGTATGTTGCACAGTAACCAGAGGAAAATCTCCAATTACTTAAGGTAGGAATGTTTCAGTAAAGATGCATAATGTATAACATGTTTGATATTGGTGGTATGTTATTCATGAATTACTCCATCTGAAAGGGTGAAGAAATGAAATTGGGGCATAACAAATTTCATAAAAGAAAGTGTATGGACTTTACTATTATTGTTCAATTGCAGACAGCCCTATGCATGTGTCATTACATGTACTGCAGTATTTAAAAAAAGTATCTGCCAACACTTTGTGTGAAACATTATGAGACCCACGGATGATAGATATTGGGACATGCAAAGTGTATTTATTTCGGTGTAATTATTATGATGTTTGGTTATCAAATGTAGTAGGATCAGTATGCCATGCACACCAACCATCCCAGGACATCACGAGTTGCATATAGCATTTCGGAAGTCATCGGACCCATCCTGGCAGATAGTTTTTTGAGATACTGTACAATACCATACTGTATATTCCTTTGAAACTTAGTTCAAGTTAGTCTTAGGTGTCTCAGGTGACCAAGGGTTTATTCACCAGCAGCAGCAGGACTCGGTGTATAATAACAGTCCTATACGATGAGTAACTTCCTCTTGTGGTTTTATCTTTGGGAAGTATCAAGTCCTTATCCCTTAGGCCCCGGGTGACGTTCCAGAACGTCCGCCTATTTTCCCACCATTTTTTTTATTTGTTTATTTATTTATTTATTTATTTATTTATTTATTTATTATTATTTTTAATATTTTTGGAAAAGTTGATTTTTTTTCTCAAAGATTTAACCCCGGGGGTGGGGTTGCCAGCAGCACCCTAACCCGGGGCTTAAGGGTTAACCTGGTGGTAGTGGTCCTCACACTAGTTGTTACACGAGGGATAGGCAGTTTTCTCTTCTGGTGTGTGTGTGTGTTCACATCCACAAAGTTGAGGCATTTGCTTCTTCCTTGATGACAAAGTCAATAAGAAGATTCTGAGGGAGTAGCCAGGGTATATTGTATAGGGTGTAATCAATGTGTATAGGATGTGGACATAATTCCACTCCTAAATTGAGGTCCACTCTGTACTGTGATGAAAAACAGCTCTGGAACCAATGATGTAAGCAGGCAGTAAGAACAAAATGCATGTGAATATTTGTAGTGGTATTGGGTCATGACATTGCAGCTGTTCATATCTGTATTATATTCAATGACAATTTTCCAATTCTTATGGGGTTGCTCTTATATACATTTCTTTATGAGGTAAATATTTTAGGATATGGCTTCTATAATTTTCTTTTATTTATAATAATGCAAAAAGAACGACAATTACCATGCTTATGAAGCAATAATAACAAAAATCCTTTCTTAAGAAAGCTATTCTGGCAAGCATATTATTCATCGAAGCAGAATATTATGGTCACAGCTGGTGTAGATGATGAATGTTTAAAAGTAAATAATTACCAGATATGTAGAAAATACATTTAGTGAAAACAAAAATTAATACAGTACTTTGGCAAATGATCAGGTATTTTTTATGATACTTCATGGTTAAAAACATGCAGTTCTCTTATAATAATAATAATAATGAATAATATGATACAGTAATATGGACAGGGATGATCATAGTACACTCAGAATACATGGATGACAAATAGTGAGATGAACTGCTCTCTCCGGTGGATTTACCCCAAGATACAGATGTGTGAGAGTGACAACATAGTGCAGCACTCATCCTCACAACTCACATTAATGTGATATACACTTGAAGTTAAATATCGACAAAATTTGACATTCAATTACGTGAACTTATGTTAACGCAGGAAAGTTGGCTTACCAGCACTGCTTTGTCTGTTGTTAGTAGTGTTCTTGTGGATAGGGTCTTCACTCTGGGCAGGTTCCTCAGGAAGTGTGGCTGCTTTCTTGCCCACCTTGTCTAAGAGTCTCGTCCTTAGGTACCCAACTTGAGTTTTGTCGACCACCTTGGCTCCACTAAGGCCATTCTTGTTAACATCACATGGCTGTTTCTCAGAACATAGGTTAAGTACTACATTACTTCTGGTTCTTGTGATAGGTCGTTGAGGTGGGTAGTTGGAGGCTGGCTTCTGCTCAAATTGGGATATACGGTCCTGAGCAGAGAAGAGCATTGGACCGATCTTTTTCTTCTGGTTTGGTGAGGGAGGGAATTTACTTTTCCTCTTGAGGCTATGAGTGTTGCTCTCTTCATTGGCTTTCTTGGTGTCAATAGGTGGAGGTTTCTTGACCTCTTTCTTTCTATCAAATGAATTTAAGCAGTCAGATGATCTCTGCTTCATAAGTTTAGAGGGCCTTGGCAAAGTATGACTCTTGTAATCTTCCTTCTTGACTACAGTTCTTCTATCAATATCTTCTACCTCATATTTATATGTTTCCTTAATCTCTTCTGGAGGTCTAGGAGTTATTTCACCACTCACCCGTGGACAAGACTGAGAATCAAAGGTATCTGCTGCCACTTCCACAGCCTCTTGCTTCTGAAGTCGAGGCACTCTTATTTTTGGAGAAGGAGACCGAGTTGAGCTACTAACAGACAAGCTGTCATCTGATTTTGCAGCTAAAATTTCTGTACTACTCTGTCCATTAGTTACTACATCTCCCACTTTTGTGGCCAATACCTCAAAAGGAGGAGATTTTGATAAATTACTTTTGGATGGAGAGCGTCTTAGAGTCCCCCATGGTGTTTGGATACAAAGGTTGTCTGATGATGCTTCTTGAGACATGGGTTGCAATGGTAGTTGTGGCTGTACTAATGCAGGGGATTTATCTCCCTCTCTACCATTTGGTAATGGGGATCTGTCTCTGGGCCTTGGAGATCGATCTCTGGAAGGAGAAGGTGTCAGCTTTGGGGAGGAATCTCTGGACTCCCATTGGTTCACACGGTCAGATGTACTGATGGATGGAGTAGGTTTGACTTGGTTATTGCCAATGTCTAAAATCCAAGCCACTAGTTTATTATTTGACACATATGCTAAATCATCTTCAGCTGTAGTTTGCTCTTTGTTATCTTGTTTTAGATTAGGAGATGGTGAAGTGTCCTTGGTCTGCTTATCTGCCTGAGAAACAGTCACCCCTGGTACTGACGTCAATGTCCCACTTGGACTCTTCATTAAAGTTGCAACTGGAACATCCAACGAATCTTTATAGTCATTCAGATCTTCATCATTCTCACCATTAGTTGCAACAATAAGGTCAGGCCAAGCTTGGGTTTGAGGCACTGGGTCAGGGTTAATTAGGTCACTGGCTGCAGCTAAACTTTCAATCTGAGCAAGACTGAGTGGAACATCCCGGGATGGTCGGCGATAATTGCTAGCAAGAGGAGTTCCTCCTCGGGTACTCCTGTCAGATCCTCTGGAGGGTGGCCTGTCCTCACGAGAAGTTTTGCGGCTTCGACGTGTAGGGCTCCCAGGCATATCCAATGAACCTCGTCTTCCACCTTCATTATCACTGGCATGAGAAGACAGAGAACCAACTCTCAAAGATATCTGAAGAACTGGTGTCCCTCCATGATCATCTTTCTCTAGGATGTTGGCTTGAAGAGGCACATCTCTGGATGGCTGCTTTTTGAGCTGCTTTGTGGGTGTGTTTCCTCTAGAGCTTTTAGGGCTGCATTCCTTATCTTCATTTTGCTTAGAGGTAATGATTCTTGAGGATTGATCTTTACCTTCACCTCCTTGTTCTAAATAAGGCAAGGACTTCTTTCGCGGTCTTGATGCTCCTCCTCCCAACTCCTCTTTCTGGAGAGCAATGATTTCAGGTCTTTTTAGTGGTTCCTTTGGTAATTGATCAGGGTTATTTATCTTTCGGATCTCTGTCATCATTGTTGTGGCATCAATTAACTTTTCTGGTTCTTTACTTTTATTTTGATTATAAACCCCAGTCTGAGTGACAGTCTCTTTGCCAACAATATTTTGTTTATCAGTAGCTTCATTGACTTTGGAATTATTTTTCTCTTCCATCATTCTCTTATACTCTTCATACAGTCTTTTGTGTTCAGCCCTATCAATTTCTTGAGTTTTCAAACTCTCAGCCGCATTCTGCTTTACTTCAGTGTTCACTGTCTTCTCATTATTGGCCTTCTTGTCAGTGTTTTGTTTTTGTGCAAAACTTCTCTGTGTATCCTTTATTATATTTGTTGAATTCACCTTTTTAATTTCATTCTTCTTATGTTCTTCTGTTTTCTTCTGTACACCATTAACTATTATCTTGTGTACCCCTCTCTTGTTAGTGTTATCTTGCTTGCTGGCGGTCGTCTTTGGCACAGTGTTAGGTATCTGCTCATGTTGCTCCTTATCTCCATTTTCTTTCAGGTTTTCACCTAATTTTTGCTCATCCTTCTTCACCTTCTGTGCTTCACTTACCATCCTCTTATACTCTTCATAAGCCCCTTTGTGATCTACATTGAGTATGTCGTTGATGATCTGTTCTGCCTCTAGCGGCTCTTCTGAAATATTAGACTTTGATCCCTTGGACATTTTTCTGTCTGTAGATTTGAGTTTTTCTTTCACAGTCTGACTAACTTCACTATTATTTATCTCCTGGTTATCCTTGCCCTTTGCTAGGTTTGTGTTTACATTTCTCATTTTCTCCTGTTCTTCAAATGCCTTCTTGTCTTTATCTATTTCACAATTGCTCATTTTTTGGAGTTTGTCTATAACTTTAGCTTGCACTTCTTTCGTTTCATTTTGAGTTTCACTAGCCTTCTTCTGTTCACCTTTCTTTATTTCCAAGATTTTTGTACCTTTAGGTTGTTTTTCATCACATCTGTCCATTGTTTCTTTACTTTTATTCATTTCATCATTCTTATTTGTTATCTTACTCTGCATTTTCTCTGTTTTGATCGTTTCCTCTTGCTTGTCAACAATAGTGGCTTGACATATATTGGGTACAACATGATCTTGGAGACTTTCTATTAAATCTGTCTCCTTGCTTGACTTCACTGTATCCTTCAGCTGCAGTTGTGTCAGTTTGCCTTCTAATTCTTTGGCCACTTCCTCTGGTGATGGCTGCTTGGTGAGAGATGGCGGTGGTTCAATTGTATACATTGTAAACTCCTCCTGATTGTCAATATCATTAATCAATACCCCTCGACCAGTTGCATCATCAAGGTCATTAAAGTTAAACCCGTCTTCATCAAGATGAGCGAAATCATCACCATCAGATGGTGGTGCTACACCTAAGGAAGTCAAAGAAGCTCTGGAGTCCCAGCCTCCTGTCTTCACCAGCTTCTGCAGATCTAGAGGAATGGGTGTGCCTACCAGATATGGGGAGTTAGGGTGTGAATTCCACCTCTCCACAAACTCTTTCAGTTGTGCCTTTGTTCGCTGTAGTTCTTCTTCTCTATTTTTAGCTTCAACCATTTTCTCCAATTCTTTTTTTCTATCTTCAACTTGTTTTTCTAATTCTATTCTTTTGGCTTCAACCTGTTTCCTGAATTCTTCTTCTTCTTTCTTTTTCCTCTCCTTTTCATTTTGTTGTTGCTCATTCACAAAATTTACATGAAAACATGAATCATCTGAATCTGTTAATTCATAATCAGAATCATATTCTGACTCAGATTCAGACTCTTCTTTTGGGTGGCTACGGTGGAGTATACAAGTGGGAGGTTTCTTTAGCCAGTCATCACGAAGACACTGTGCAGGGGTCAGGCGCAAACTGTAACATAAGCATTTTTGCTCATGAAATTGATAGATTAAACCCGAAATAATAATTACTGACACAATGAGCACCAAATTATACATTTCTAAAACTAGCAACAATGTGTGCGTGAGACAGCTCACATTTAGTGTGGAAACCCTGCCCAGGGACTCCAAGAAAGATTCTTCAGCAGTGGGAAGAGTACTATGGTCAGACAGAGAAGGGGAATCATTACCTTTTATCCAGCACCAGCAGCTTCTGGATGAACTCCTTGGCCTCGTCTGAAATATAGTTGAAGGCTTCGTCCTCAAAGTCGTACTTGTTGTGTGTGACATTGGTCATAGTCTCGACATAATTGTGGCCCATGAATGGTGAAAGACCTGACAGCCTGCAAGAGACCACACAGACTATAGAGTAAAGACCACACAACTGAAAAGAGACCATACAGTCAGGTAAAATAAATGCCACATAGCCTATAGGAGATCACACAGCCCTGTAATATTATAAGACCACATACTGTACTATACTTGGTAACAGAGGCCACACTGTTACACAAAGATTTCAAACCTTGTAGCAAAAAGGTCACATACATTTTGAAAAAAACCATGTAAGACAAATAAGTAATTCAGACAATATGTAACAAAAAGTTCAGATATTCTATAACAAAGACAAGGCATCATGTTAGAACAAAGGTTAGACACTGTACCACATGTTCAAAAATCCTGTAACAAAGACCAGAAACCTTGTAACACGAAAATTAAATAGGCTGTAACACAAACATCAGACCTACTGTAACAATTTATCCAGCATTCTGTCACAATAATTTTTTTTAATATAATTATACTACCATATCCTGTAACTTAAAGATCAAGATGCTGTATCATAAATTTCAGAGATCTAGTAGCAAAAAGACTAGACAGACTGTAACGAAGTTCATACGTCCTGTAACTTAAAACTCGAACCCTGTAATAGAAAGGTCAGACAATGTACAGTATTCCAAAGTTTAGAATGATAAATATAAAAAAGGTTGTAATGTGGGTACCAAATAACCTGCACTATAAATTATCAGTGTAACTCATAGATCAGACTGTAACACCATGAAAGACAGTAACCCAAAGATCGGGCAACCTGTAACACAAATCAGTCTAAAAAAAAAAATCAAGCAGTCTGTAAACAAAGATGAAACTGTAACACAATGATGAACCATGTAGTCTGTAAAATAGAAAATAGACAAACTGTAACACAAAGTTCAGAAAGCATGTAACACAAAGAATGAACAAAGGCCAAAAAGACTTTAATATTAAAATCAAACAACCTGTCATACAATCTGTAACACAATAGGGAGTCTGTAACATAGGCTACGTAGCTTTTAATAAGGAACAGCCTCCAAGAGTTAAGAGAATTTGTAAGCAGCGTGTAAAATATGGCAGGAGTGGATTACTTTTATACTATCTCTTGGTTTATGTCAACAGGAACTCATAATAAACAAACATACACCCGTTTACTCAAGTGAGGAGCTTGAGTCCACATTCATCACTCTCACCCAATACTGTACTTCTCATCTTCGCCGAGGTACAACACACGTGCCTCTTATAATGTCCCGGGTTTGATCTACCGTACGTCTGCTAGAGCCAGGACTCGAACCTAAGACGTAATAAGTGAGATATGCTGCGCTTTGTCATCACATCAACGTGGCTAAGAGTGATAAAAAATTTAAAATTTAGACTAACTCCGCACTTACGACTCAGTTCCAGGTCGCACAATAACTGTTAAATCACTTCACCATAACATCACGTACAACATACACCATAACACTACAAGACCATAATTTTATCACTACAGACATGACAACACCATAATACCACAAAGATCCCAACACTACATAATACAACATCGTTACAATACACTTACAGCACGTAACAGATGACGCCGACGCTCCACATGTCAGTGCCGAAGCTGATTGGTTCGAAATTGACCACCTCCGGGGCGACGAATTCTGGGGTCCCAAAGAGTACCTGCAGCTTCTTGCGCGGGTCGTAGCGGCGAGCCAGCCCGAAGTCGCAGATCTTGACTCTGTTGCCCTCCCGCGACAAGCACAAGATGTTCTCAGGCTGAGAAAGAAGCTGGGGTCAGTCACCTGCTCGCTACAAGGGTTTATTTTTAGCTCCCCAGATAAATTTTAGTTGTGGCATTTCGTGTACTTTTACAAATGCCAAAAAGACGATGTGTATACCAACAACTCCCAGGTCATTAACGCGAAGACCTTGGTCACACTTTGGGGTTAATGGCTGGGGCTGGTAATGCCCACCTCACTAGAGTCACAGCTTAATGCCGAAGAAACCACATGTTAAGAAAACTGCCAGGGCAAACTTTTTTGGAGTGAGAGTTGTGAACTCTTGGTACAATCTGCCAGTGAGCTGTGACAGCACGAGTGTGAGCTCATTCAATACCAGATGACCAGCTTAACCAACACTGGCATATGATGTGTAACTCCTTTTATGAATCATTGCCATTGTCCCTTGTCCGTTTATTGCATTCATGATTATGTAGTATTTTGAGGTAGGCGCTGAAGGAAATAATCCTAACACATTACAGTACACCTCTGTCTGGGTTACGGGTCACACAAGAATTATTCATTAGCTTGTTTGCTCGTTTGATCAAAACGAAGTTCAGCTGAGAATCCATACACCTTGCAATCTACCTCTTTTGAATTGTTACTTTCCAGAACTACCTTAGATACATATTATAATAAATTTGATAATTTGAACATAAAATTTTGATACCCTGTCTTATTTTTTATGTCTATTTTAGTTTAGCTACGGTAGTTTATTTGACTACTGTGATAGAGCCTGTGCCCGGCCTCCCGGAGTCGCAGAACCAGGCGCCTCGCTCTCCAGACACCAGTCTCCACTTCTTACTGTCTGATGGTCACTGTTGGCAAGGTTAGACTTTTTCTTCCTAGGTTAGCTGCAGAGGGGAGAGATCCAAGTCTTTACCACTATTTCTCACACGTAGGCAGGAGTGTCCAAAAGTGTTTAATTTGTAACTTCTGTATATATTTAGACAATTATTATGTTTCTTATGTGTATTTTTTATTCGCAATAGATTATAAGTACACATAACCTATCACTCGCCTTTTGTTACGTTTATCCTCGTGGCTCAATCAATATTTATTTAGTAGAAACATATGTGTACTCGTAAGGTGTTTCTTGTCTGGCCATTAATTAAGGAATGCTCTGGTGATTAAATAGTTAAGAGAAGAAGAATACCAATTAGGATGGAGGTGCGTCCTGCAGGTTATAACTGGCCGTGACAACCATCTACATTGTAACCTTTGGGTTTCTTGAAATATTAATCTTCTCTTTAAAATAAAATGATATATTATTCCAAAAGAATCATACATAGCACCGATGGTTAACAACAAACGTAAAAATAACTGACAAGGTGTCTGGCTACTGTTTTTGGGATTGTCTTAAATACTGAAGGGTAAAGTTGGGATTAAACTTAAGACTGGTGGTGGTTTCGTTAATGAGGATATCTGGGGGTAAGATTTGTCTACCGCAACTAGGTATACTGGTGTTGGTCTTTACTGGGAGAAATGCCTGGTGGAAATACTGGGGCTGTCTGGTTACTGGGGAAGATGTTGAGTTACTGGGTGGAAAAAGATGATGAAATGGGGTTATATTACGGACACTGACAATCATTCGTACCTTCATGTCAAGATGCAGGATGTTTTTGGAGTGGATGAATTCAATGCCCTGACAGATCTGACGGATGAACACGGTGCAGGCCTTCTCAGACAAGATGAAGTCGTCGTTGATCACGCGTTCGAACAGTTCCCCGCCATCAACTCTGTAAGCAAAACGATAGGTGGTCATAAACATTGGTCCGTACTGTTTATATACAGGTACTATATATGTATATAGTTTACATTTGATGCAATATACATAAAAGACATTTACAGGGAGACCCCAAAGATCCACATAAAATAAGAGTCACATACAAGAGATCGAAAAACCCACAAAATGAGTGACATACATACATACATACGTACAAGAAACACAGAGATTCAATCATTCAACTCACATCTCCAGGACGAGGCACATCTCCTTGATCATGTCGTAGGCGTCGTAGAGCTGTATGAGCCTCGGATGGGGAGACTCTGAGTTGAGAGCCTTCATAATTTCAACCTCCCGCCCTACGTTGGTTCGGTCTTGGTTTCTCTTGGTGTTGACGAACTTGGCCGCGAACTTTTGTCTCGTCGCCTTGTCCTCCACCAGGTACACCGTGCCGAACCTTCCCCTGCGAGTATAAGTACTGGTTAATACTGGGATCTGATAGGTTGTACCGGGAAGTGGCGGGTTATACTCACGTCCTCTACCGGGTACAGTCGGCGCCAAAAGATTGCTCCCTCCCAAAATGAAACGGCATCGACCCCAAATATGAAGAAAAAAACAGCACACCTGCACCAGAAGACAGTCAACGTAAATAAGTTTGGATACTCATTCCTGCGACTCGGTTTCACCACGGGAGCGAATTTTTGTCCGCGACTGTCCACGACTTTTTTTTTTTTTTTTTTACGGGTATTAGCCCACCCGGGCACAGGTCACTGACCTACATCAGGGCCTAGGGGGGGGATATAATAATAATAATAATAATAATAATAATAATAATAATAATAATAATTAAAAAATAGTAAAAAATAAATAATAATAAAATATATAAATAAAATAATAATCATAAATAAATACAAAAATTAAAAATACATCAAGAGTGAGAAACGTTATACAGTATGTACAGTAAGTCGGGTTATCAAAAGTAAGAGAAACAATAATATTGAGACCCTGCAATTTTGTGTAAGTGAGGCAGACAGTAGATCAGCAGCATGGGACGTGGTCACAATTTTTGTGATGCCATATGGCAGCAAGGTCTCCCAACAATTACAATTTCAAAAAGTCAAATTTAGTATAAATAATGCGGGCTGTAACGTATCAGAAAACTTCTCGTTTTCTGTTATGAAGTGTCTACGCCATGGAACACAACGCCATCTGTGACCTGTAAACGTCACAAGACCCTCTGTTCTACTTCCAGCAAGGAATGTCTAGTTAGGAAGCTTAACTGGTACCTATTACCATTATTTTCAGAGAGGCCCCTGGATTGGACCACAGCGATACCTGTTACTGTTATAACGATTTACCTAAAGAGGACGGATAGAGAACGGCAAGGGGGAAACTTTAGAATTCTTAGTTTGTAATAGAAAATGAGTACCAGTCATAGAAAACTTGTCACGATAAACTTCTTCAAATTATGATTACACACAAAAATAGTAATCTTGTGGGGTTCTAGTATGTTAGGATGGGATGGAGAAAGGAAACTCACAATGTGCTCTCTATATAAATGTTGTATTGGATGTACAATGCAGCTTGGTGCTGGGAAGGCAGCATGGTTACAAGCGTGATGTAGAGAGAGCTGATTGGTGAGGACGCTCAGAGAAGGACAGCTTGTGGGTCGCCATGCTCGCCGGCGGGAGAGAGGACCGCCAGGCAGGCGGAGGAGGAGCGAGGGCCGCCAGGCATCAGCGGAGGAGGATAGGTGGTGTTGCTGGCTGGTTGGTGTAGGTAGAAAAAGAGAGATCACCACGAGGTCAGGTCTTAAATAGCGGAGGGTAGGCGTGGCTTAGTAGTTGACCCCCGCTCCGTGATGTATGGCGGCGCTGGTTGACCAAGACCACGAGGCATACACTGGGGAATTGGTGGGGTCGGCTACTCAGCGACAAACAGCGTTTGTAGGGGAGAAATCCACTACAATCTCATTCATTTTTTTAAACGGGTATTGTTAGATATAACTAATATTTGTAACTATAGGTGAACTATAGGAGTCGCCTGGCTCTCATGGATTAGGTTTAAGAAATGTGAGAGGGAGAGGTTGATCCAAATTTGTAAAGAAAAAAGACGTGATTTCAACATCATCCAAGACTACTGTATACTTGGAATTCACCGCAAAACAGCATGAACAACATTGCTAGATATTGATTCTGACCATTTTCCAGTTTTCTGTAGTTGGACTTAAACTAAGGAAATCAGAGAAGAGTAGGTCAAAGAAAAATAGATGAGTTAGCTAATTTAAAAACATGCAATTGAGCAATTTAAAATAGAAACACAGAATGCATATGCTTAACTTTTGGAGGAAGGATTTGAAGATCAGGAAATTGAACATCAGTGGAGCAAATTTAAGGATATAACAGTAGAAAGTGGAGAAAATATTATTGAATACAAAAGAGTACCTAGTGACAGCACTAGGATACCGCTTCCTCTATCAAGGAATAAACAATTAAAATTGAAAATTGAATTGAATAAAAAATAAACTAAGAGGAAAAGAGGTGGACAACAGATGAAATTAAGGAAAAAATGGATATCAGGATAACCTTAAGAAAATGCAATATTTATGCTATAGATTATTTTTTACATACATATTTCTTGTGACATTTTTCACAGAAATATTCTTAATTGTTTAGAATATGTACACACTAACAGTATTGGGTTTTATATCTAGAAGTGTAAGTAACAAGAGTGCAGAGGTCTTATTGCAACTATATCTTGCGCTAGTCAGGCCGCACCTCGATTATGCGGTTCAGTTCTGGTGCCCTTATTATAGAATGGATATCAATTCACTAGAGTCGGTGCAGCGAAGAATGACGAAAATGATTCAGGGAACCTTCCATATCAGGATAGGTTAAAGAAACTCAACTTGCATTCCCTAGAAAGACGAAGAGTGCGGGGAGATATGATAGAAGTATTTAAGTGGGTGAAAGGAATCAATAAAGGGGATATAGATTAAGTTCTTATAATATCCGAGCAGGATAGGACTCGGAGCGACAGTAGCGCCATCCCATTATCGTGTTGACCAACTAAATTGATGCCAAATGTCGCCTTTCGGTGGGGGTCATCCAAAAGTTGAGAGTATAGCTTCCTAACCAGATATTCCCTGACTACTTGTTTTTCACTGATTATCGTATTTGATGTTGTATAGAACTGTTTGCGAAAGTGTCCTGCCATGATAGTCTTGTGATTGCCGTTGATCAGGTCGGTATTGAACGGACTGGAGTAAGGACTGTACACCATACAATCGCTCTCGCCCCAGGATTTAGACTTTAAGAGAGTAATGACTAATTATAAACATCATAATTACAAATGAAATAAGTTTTTTTTGCTATGTATAAGATTGTTGACCTCTTTTGTGATCGTGTCATTAATAGAGCATATAAGTTAACTTTTATTTTTTATGATTCCTCAATGTGACTTGTGGATGGTGACAGTTGAAAACTCACGGTGTTCAGTAGTTATGTAAAAGATTGTCGACCTTTCTTGTGTTAGTGTTTTTGGTATTAATAGAGAATTTAAGTGAACTTTGAATATTTTTGAATCCTCGGTGTAATCGTGTGAAGGTGACAAGTGAAAAATCAATCTCAAAATTATGAAAAATCATAAGAATAATCAAATTAAGTACCGTAATAGTTATTATATTCTTTATTGGGATGAATATAATGAACATACATTGAATACAACCATCTTCATACAATAATAAGTTCATAACTATGGCTATACATATAATGTAGTCTATGACATCTATAAAACCCTTATGAAATACATCGGTTATTCAGTCAATGAGCGTAAACAGTATGGATTCCATGCTGCTCTTTGAGGCGTGCTGGAAGGGCTTCAACATTTATGAGCATGCCAATCTGTACCAATGCTGTTTCCTTGACATTATGCACTACAGTGTCATGTTGCAAGCAGCTGCAGGTTCAGTTTGTAGTTAGACGAGGTCCAGAATCTATTTATCAGTTGAGGTAATGGGATAGTTTCCTCCATCACGACCTGGTCAACTGAGCTAGTTGTGTCAACCCGACCGATATGCTCTCTCACTTTTTATTGACAGCTTATTGTAGCTGTCAAAGATGATATGAGTTTCTTCCTCTGGACAATCACCTCGTGCAGCTGGCAGTACAGATTTTATGGCCTCGCCAATATTACTAAACGAGGATAAATCTGGGATTTGACAGATTTTCGACAAAATCAAGGATGGTGATCGTTTTATGCAGTGACTTCTGGAATCAGAAGTCTCCCTCCTGGAGAGGTCTTCCGACTCTGAAATTAGGATTTTTTGTGAGGGGTGGGGGAGTTTCTGGGCAAATCACCATCAAAGAAAGGGATGTTAGGAAGGTCATGGATAAAATGCAATGAGTGACATTCCATGCTTTGGGGGTGATTTCAATGTCACGCTGGTCTGAAGCAATATCTTCGGTAGAGAAGGCGGATCTCGATGGGCCAGGGGCATCGAATCTCGTAAGGTTCTGTTTGGAGATGGTAACAGTAAGCTTCTTGGTCTTGTCAACATAACACTGGAGTCTGAAGTTTCAGTACGCCTTCTCACCATTTTCCCTACTCAAAGTAGCCGATATATGGTCACATCATTAACTGAATGCTTGGAGACACCGGGATAGGAATGAGGAACAGATTATCGCGAGCTTGCACACAATCAATTAGCTAATTAGCATTGCAATCAAACAGCTATCCTTTCCTTCCGTTCAGGTCGTGGTGGATTGCCGGCTCCATCTCCATGAACTAGTCATTTGTGAGAGGACGAAAATAATTGGAGATGCCGAGAACTTTATGCAAGAGTAACTGTCATTTGATAACTATCTCTGAGTTGCGCGTCTGTCCAGCGATTCCACCCTGAATTATAGAGGCACGCTGGATTGACTGCTTCAGCTTCATGTCTGGAGTCAGCACTGAAGCTGCCACACCTGCCCTTCACCTCAAACTGACCATTCATGAAACTTCTGTACATTTCAGGTTTCTCAGCCTCGAGCACTTTAATTATCTTGAGATACCTTGACCCATACTGGAGGTAATTGGCGTCAATTTCTCGGAATATACTCACGGAAAAGTCGACACCAGAAACTGTACGTGCAGCATCCAGCTGCTCACACGATCAGCCGCAGTGAGATTTTTCATGTGACCCAGGAGCCACTGAAACACTCCCCAGATACGGCACAACTGAAACATCTCTTATGTCATTAGATTCGTTGAGAACCCCGGCGAACACTTGCTAGTACGCGAGTCTCTGTTTTGCTTTTCCACCAACACACCTTTTAATTCTACCACAGATGCTACAAAGAGTTGTGCCGTGTCATTTGATTGCCAGAACGCTCTCCAGGTCAGTGTATCCAATACCTCAGACAAATTCCTCGTAATACTCAAATGTTGTGGCCACCAGCCAACAGACTGAAGAGTGTATTT